TACCAAATATATATATGTATTATAAATTTAGAGTTTGTAGGGATAGTTAGCCTCCATATGCATCCGGTAACAAGCGATCTGCTTGGATGACCAACAAATCTACATAATCTACACAATATTGTTCATAGCTTTCATTACTTGATAAACGTTTAGATCAAATAGTAACAGTGAATCCGTTTAATCTTTTATTTGTGATCTCATGCCATCAAAATTAGGTTTACTTTTCAAAAGCAATTTATGTGTTGTTATTATTATTAAATAAAAAGCATTTTGCATCCAAACATAGCTATGATTTGTTAAACAATGTTTTGCTCTCTAAATAATATGATATACAGTTCGACCGTTATCTCAATCACGGTATGCCTCAAGTCATGAACCCCAACAATATTACACACAATTTATAACATTCAATGAGTTTTCCCCCACTTTTTTGTTATTAACTAAAATAACTGCCACTCAGTTACCACACCTGCAGTACAGCACAACATGACTCTATGGACTCGTGTTTGCGTCCGATTATCACTAATAACATATCATTCATCAAATGTGTAGTTTTATTGAACATATCCAACACTGAACTGATGTTCACATCATTTATTTGTATTGAATCTATTAATTAAATTAAACTTAGCATCAAGTTTGCCAATGTTTCATAATGTTTATACACTGTATATTTCTGAATATATTCGATACATTATGTAAATTTTTAAAAATAAAAAAATTGTAATTTGCTTATAACTACTGAATTAACATTATATATTGTACAACATAAACATATATCGATACAATAATTGAAATTATAATAATATAAACTTTTTTAACTATAAAATTACTGTAATTTTACATTTAATTGTTATTCATCATTTCATTAATGTTTAAATTCATTCAAACAAAATAAGAAATAAAGCAAAATAAAACTATTTAATTAAATATTTAAAAATTTATAATTGTAAGTTAGGCTAAAATAAATAAATTAAATAATAATAATTTTCAAAATAAACAATTAGTTTATAATAAACTATATCTATGAATATGGTATTAACAAATCAATTATTAATTTTATGCTTAATTACTTTACTTGTATATAATATATTAAAGATTACAAAATATAAGCTATAATTTAAAGTCCAATTAAACTTTAAAAATAGAGAAAGAGGTGTATCACAGGTATCACAGGTTTGAAATGAGGATTCAATGTCTTTAAATGCAACACCAGATGGTTAACCAATGGTTCAATTGTAGCGTTTGGTTAACTGTATTCAATGGTTGATTAATCATCAAGTTTGAACAATTTCAACCCAATGTCCAACATTCAAATTTTTGTGTAAAAAAAAGTATAGACACTCCACATAAGGGACAGCATTACAACAGATGGATCGCTTGTTTACTTGTTTTTTAACCGTAAGGCAGAAAACAGATCCAAACCCTGACTGTCCAAAAAAAATTAAATTTAAAAAAATTGGTCGACGCTTTGATAGCATAATAGGTAAGACCAGCAAAAAATCAATTGTGTTGTATATAACTAAACCAAAGTGAATGTAATTTAAAATTCTTAGTTCAAGTCTTATAAAAACTGTTATTCATTGTTATGTTTGGCATAACATTAAAAAAGTACAGTAATATTATTTGTAGCATAAAGTGGAAGCGTAAAAAAAGTTGGCTAAGCATTGATATAAGTATCAGATATTAGGGACTGACACACATGACACACGCCGGGCGAGCCCTACACGTGGTTAGGCATGAGTTCGCTGACAAACGTTTCGATAATAGCTAACAATTATTTCCTAAAATATTTTAATGTATTCATAACTGGAATTTTTATTAAATTAATAGTTTGTCTGACATGTATTTGTTTGAAAGGAAGTGGTTGTCTCTAAATAGGAACGACATGTTGTTTGCGTCGACCGAAAAAAGCCGTACGCTGTGGACTACACCTGCGTCTATATTATATAGCTAACCAACTATGCATTAACAGGTCAAGGAGGTGGTGGTTGACTTGACTTTGCTTCAATCGTTTACTATTTTATCCACAAATGTCAGGTGCTTTTCTTATGCCACTAATTACTATATTTATTAATAAAAAAATATTCTTTGTTTTGTGTTTTCCTTAAAGTGAAGTCAAGTGATGACCAAAAGCTAAAAAACCTGATATTCAAGCAATTGATGTCAACAGCGATTAACGGCTGACATCCCCTATAAAAGCATTCAATTAATTGAAGCAATCATTTGAATGGTTTTTGCTTTTAAATTAGGTTAACCTTAACAGCCAACACATTCTGCCAGACAATTGATATTATAAACTATAAATACATTAGTTTTCATTGGTTTTGTTATTTTTTGAATGAATTATTTTAATGAACAACATATGGGTAAAAGTTTAACTTAAATTGTTGCCTATGTTTGTGGCATTCAAACAAATAGTCTATTAATGATTACTTTTAGAAAGACATTTCCAAAACATTAGTTATTAATCATAACTTATTATATTCATTTGTTTTACTTAAAAAAAACGATACAAATTTTAACATTTAAACTTGTTTCTAAAATTAGTTCAAATCTAAACATATTATTAAAGTATAACATAAGACAAAACATCTAATTATTCAAATCTAACAAAAATGTTGTTTTTGCTAATATCAAATAATATACAATTTAATAATTGACTAGACTTTATAATTGATTAAATATGCAAAATATACTTATAATTCAAATATGTAAACAAGTGCTACATTCTAACAAATCAATATACAATTTATTCCAATAATGGAAATTATTTCTATATTAAAATATAATAGTAAATACTGTAAACTTTTATATATATATATATATATATTTATATATTGGTATAAATTATACTGTATAATGCTTAAATTATATTTATTTAAAATTAATGTGTATTAAATAATCTTTTTTTTTAATATCAATAGATTAATAAATGTTTTTGATAATCAAGTTTGACTTTAATAACACATTTAAGTATTTGACAATTTATTTTAATACTGTGTGTTTTGCTCGGAAATGTATAGCAGGTGTTAGTATTGAATAAAATGTAATTACATTTTCTATTATGTTATATAAATATAATTTTTATATAAAAATCAATTCATTTGTTTCACAATAACAAGAAACTGGTTATTGAGTTATAAATATATAAAGTATAATATACTATACAATCAGTCAGTGTGTCTACACCTGCTTTACATTGATTTTTGTCAATAACTTTAATGACAATTTAAACTTATATTAAGAAATCATTGTTGACACAAATGAATGCTTTAAGCTATAGTAAGAATTTTTTAAAGTGATCTAAAAGTTTGTGTTAAATGTTTAAAGTTTGTTGAAATCCTTGATATTATAGAAATACATTTTCTTACAATTTCTTTAAAATATCTATTTGTTTTATAAATACTATCATTATCATCATATATCAATAATCAATAAAAAAAAATATTATAAACTTTTATTTTAAATATTTTTGTAAAACATATTTTAGGATCATTATTATACTGTATAGACTGTTTGGGTACACATTGCTAATGTATTTATTATCAGACAATAAAAGCATAAAACAAAACAAATTGATTGAAGTGAACAAAAAATAATGTTATATAAAAGCGCTGTCCAACTGTCGAATTAAATATAATTTTGACGATTAAAACCATTTTTGTGTTGTCTATCAAAAAGCTTCCGTTCAATTATACAGAGGAACGCCACGTGTCTGCACCTGCCATACCGTGACAGCTCTACCACTGCCTACCCTCTGACCATTTGAACGACCAGACAAAAGCCCCGTTGGGTACGCATTGCTTTCCTATCTAAGACTACACTTTAAAATATATGTTTAGAAAGAAAGAAAGAGAGAGAGAGAGAGACTCTCGAGTCCAATGTAAAACTTAAAGCTTTGGGTCAAAGCAGTGGATAATTACATTGAATTGCTTTTACTTTTGAGAGATAGTCTTCCGAAATATAGCACTACTGCTAACATTTGAGGCGAATTACATAACTATTTATCATTTGTTGGGTAATAAAAACTTTGCAATTGAATGAATGTTGTTTTAGGAAAAAAGATTTGTTTCAAATTCAACAAAATAACAACTATTTCTTAAATATATTATCACAGAAAACATTAACTCTAAAAAATAATACTTTAATTTTTTAGGTAAAACTTGACTTAAAATTGCTGAATAAGGCAACAATGTTTAGTTTTGCGATATATAAGTACCTGAAAATCATTAATAACATAATATTTATTTGAAAGCATATCTCATTTCTTTCATTTTGACGTAAACTTTGTTTTTGAGTTCATTAATATAATTAAATTTGCTTTTAGACTATTTCTTAGAAAGAGTTATACTGTAAATGTATTTATAGTTAATTATTAGTTGTAATCCTTGTATTAAAACCACACAAAATAATATTCAACTACTCGTGTGGTAAATAAAAACCTTTAAATAAAAAACAGTTTTCGGTATCTTTTATGAAGAAGTAATGCATTTACAAGTTTTTGTAATAAATTTAACAATTTATTGCAACATTTAATCAATTCAAAAGTAAGACTCAGTTAAAGAATTGTTATTATATATTATTATAAATATAATGCTTTTAACATTTCTTATATAAAAACAGTTAAACAATTTTAAAAACATACTTTTTTAAACAATAAGCTATAAAAATATTGGTAATCTTACATTAGTTAAAATAAATATAAATTTTTAGTTAAAAGCTAACCTAACACGAACTCTTTTACACATGTTTTAACATTACTAAAAACATTTATCTAAATATTTATGTGTATAAATATTATAAGTTAAGGTAGTCCTATGATATTTTTTTAGGCATTTATTAGTCATAAATAATTGTTAGAAATAAATTTAGTATCGGTATAAAACAGTTTAAAACAACTTTATATTAATAACCTTACATACAGTGTATTACGAACCTAACTATCTAACAAATAATAACTAAAAAAAACTGAGCATAAAATATGACCAAGGTTACAACTAATTAGAACTTATTAACATATAAATGTTATTTTTATTTTTATAAATATAAGTTTAAATTTGAGGCCAAATATATTTATCTTTTGAAATAATGTTAAGAGTTTTATTACTGATTGATTGCATTTGATTAAGTGATGCATTGAAACGAAATGATAGATATATTTGCATCAAATCATTACAAATAATATATCCTTTTGTGGTCTCATTAACTAAATATGATTCATATTTATCACTTGTTTGCCAATTAATTGATTGCAATAAGACATTGAAATTATCATCTATTGGACCAAAAGTAAAATATAGTTTTAAGTCTTTCCTGAATATTATAAATGCGATAACATTTGGATCTATTGGATATAAGATCTGTATTTCGTTTCGCAGATATATTGAAAACTTTTCTGAATGTATTTTAGAGTCAATCAAAGGTATGGCAATCTCAGTATCAATGAAATCAATTGACGGCTCTTCGGCACACAAAAGACAAAGTACAACATTCTTTGCCAATTGACATACAATAAGACGAGACAAACTGGTCGGACAGTTATCGGGCAAATACACCGGTATTTCTTTAGTCTGAAGTAAATCGGTGTCCGATAATGAGTTGACTAAAGTTATAGCCAATAAAGCGTCTTTAGATGTGTTGAGTCGACTCCAAAAGGCATGACTTGCGGCCACCAGTTTTCGGTTAATTTGAAGCCAACAAAAGGCACTACAAGACAATTGTCCGCCGCTTTCGACCAACGATTGCATAAAATGTTGATAACTTTGACAACTCATTGAATACTCGATGTTATTCGTTATAAACGGTAGTCTTGAGAGTGGACTCGATATGAATTCATTTAAGATGTGATCAATCAATTGATATGAATGTCGAAGACATCGCTTTAATCTTTCAATGTTTTGACTCATGATTTCGTTGAGACCGCAGATCATAACCAAAGAGTCAAACACCAAATCCAACAATTGATGCAAATGAGTCTCAATAACGTCTGTCATGTGTTCAACGATTACTATTAAAACAAGACATCCTTTGAAGACTTTCCATCTAATTTGAGACTCTTTTGTCGAGCAATACATCAAATTGGAGTCATTTAATCGCGAGAAGAGATTAACGCCGTTAAGAGCAGCCATTCGGGCAAATGACAGATCATTGTCTCCAGAAGTGGTATTGCCGTTGAGTGACGAATTGGTCACAGACTGAGAACAATGTCTCATAAAGAGTGGAAGTCCTCCGATAGCCGTCACAGCAATCAAGTCAATGGTGACACTCATGTCTTCAGTGTTATCACTAAACAATTGATTACTTTTGTTGACAAATCTGATGACAATTTAAAAAACTTTAACAAAACATTTGTCGCCATCTGTTATCTAATGCCATGGATTAAAGTCGTCTAAAGATATTTAAGTATTTATTAAATACTGATTTAATTAACATAACATACAGAATGTTATACATATCTAAATTGTTTGCAATTATATAAAAATATAGTTATTGTGTAAAGTATTATAATATTATAATATATTAAATTTATTATACATATTATAATTGCAATTCACATAAACCGGTAATTTCTAAGTTTTTTAAACATTAATATAAAGTATTTATAGTTTTCTAACCAAATGTATGACATGTATGTGTTATGTATTTATAAATTTTATTTCAAGAAACTATACATTTATTTGTCAATTGATATGAAACAATGAGCTAAACTTATGTGCTTTATCTCATATTTTGTATGGTTTTTATTAAGTATTTGAAATATACTTTCTCTCAAAGTTTTGTGTTTTTGCTAACTTTAAATGTAAAGTATAAGTAATGTTTTTATTAAGAAATTTTGAAAATACTTTGAGATAATGTTTAATAGAAACAATGTTTTACAATAATTTCATTATTGAACTCATTCTCAGATTTAAATACAAACCATACGAAAGATAAAAATATATTATACTTGATATTCATAGAAAATTATAATAAATATTTATGTATTGATTTAATTTTAATTATTGATAATACAATTATGAAAATTAGTATAATAGACGCCCAATAGTTATAACAAATATCCATTAATTACTGAAACCAATAATCAAAACTTAAAACATTTACCGTACGGTAAGTGATGAACAATTATTTAATTGACAATAAAAGGAAATAGTATATTATTATTAAGATTGAATTGACACAAATTTGCTTAAAAATGTAGATATAATTGAATACAATAAAAAGTTAATTAATTTGAGTAGTAATAGTATATCAATTTTATGACTTAATAAGATATTCAGTAATTTATTAAATTTTCATTAATACATATTATTATATCTTATTAATTAAAACAATTATAAAATAAATGAATTTCAATTAGAGTTTCAAAAATATTTTTAAGAGATAATATCGTATGAAAAAAGAGTGAACATATGATAAGCATATGATATTTATATGAAATATTGTGGGAATAATCCAAAATACTCGGCGATCAGTCCTGAGATGCCATTGACTTTGCCTGAGCCTTGACTCGCTTCTCATACTCGGCTTTATTCTGGCAATAAATAGTATAGGCCTCTGCCTGTGCCGGGTCTTTGATGTTCGGCTCATTCAACAGATCCTGAATTCCAACTAAAATCTGTTTAATAGTAATGGCCGGACGCCAGTCTTTCTCCTCGTCCAATAGTGAAAGACATACAGTTCCCGATGGATAAACCTATTGTTGAGGAAATAATAACAGTTAATAAAATTAAAGAAACGATTACTACTCTAATCATATGTCATACGTTCGGGTGAAAGAGCGGCGGTTCAAACTTGCACTTCGGAGGACTCGACGGATAATCATCTTTGAAAATCATACGAATCTTATAGAGCCCCCCCTCCCACATTGTACCCTTTTTGCCAGGGATGGCACACTCCCAGTTCCTACAAAATGATAAAAACAATCATATTATTAGTGGTCATCGGTGGTCATCTCTGGTTATATCAAAACAACTCAATTCTATACAAACATCAGATTAAGGCTGTCGTCCGTGTTTTTGGTTGGTTTGGCGATAAACCCGAACGGATGATCCTTTCGCCACGCTTTACGTTCTTCAGACAAACGCGACAACGCTATGCCAGACATCTTAAGATGTGATTATCACTTAAACAAATCACACAAACAATTGTCTTAAATGTTAATTAACTAAACAATTGTTGCATTCATTCAATAACTCAAAGTCTTTATAAATGAATGAATGCATTAAATAGTGATTCAATGCATTTCATAAATAACGTCAACAATAATGCAATCAATTGTTATTCATTTGAATGCAATTATTGTTCACATTATTTGTTTTTATACTCAAATCACACATTTGTTCATAGCTTTAGAGCGCGATTGATGTCTACAATAACATCAAACATATCATTGATAATTGAATTTTATTGTTATTATTAGTTTTATATATGTTATTATGTCATAATAAAATCTAGCATGGACATTTGGATATAATTGAAATAGTACCATGCAACATTTTTAGTTTATTATAATTTTATTACTAATCGAAACATTAAATAATAAGACCTATAAGTAGTTTTAATTTTGTCAATTAACATAAAACTTTGGTCTTTTTTATACATAACGTTATGGAATGACATATGAAAAGGGCTTTACAACCACATTGTAGGTCATCGTTACGTCAATTCTTTTACTTTACAATAATTGAGTTATAAATACAGTGAACAACAAAACTAACTTAACTTTTTCATTGTTAATACTTTATTTAATTATGAATTATAAATAAGTATTGAAATAAGATATCAATTATAATTTATTAATTTTATTATTGAAGTAATATAATTATATAAACAGATTATTTAAAATTTGAAATATTTAATACTCTATTTAATATATAAATTATATATTATAATAAATATGGTGTCAAATGCTTTTAGTTAAAATAGTTTTGTTACTTAGTGTATATCTCAATGAAACTGAATGTCAATTGATTCGCAGTTTAGTCTAAATTGTGACCAAATTTATGATTATATTAAGTATTATTTAATTTAAAAATTCATTATTTATTTATATTTAAATAAATTTATGTAAAATATAAGTAAATATAATCAATAAATCAATAGATATTTGAAATAATCGGTAAGTTTTATAACCCATTATATGATGCAATCAATGGTGTGTTTAATCAATCAATGATTAATGTTTTGATTTTCATTCAAACATATCATTAATTATGAGTTATAATTGTTTTTATTGTTTTAATAATTTGATTGTTATTTTATGTATAAATATATTATTATTATTTGATTGAAATGATTGTCATATTAGTGGTAATCATGAGATGAAAATGTTGTGATTATTGCATAATAAGTAGTGAAATGACATGACTTTGAATTGAATGTCATTTAAATATATTATTGAATGAATTAATAGATATTTTATTGTTTGATTTGAAGGTTATATTAATTAAGTAACAATTATAATGAAGATCTGGACCTCAGAGCATATTTTTTCGTAAGTGTTAATTAATATTAATTTAATTGATTTATCTGATATCACATGATATACCACTGTAGCCATCCATGGGATACCGTAGTTCAAGCCGTTTGGCGCAAATACCCGAACCCAATGAATCCAGCGGTGGTCGGCATTGATGTTATTGATCGTCAGGTAGAGTCAAGTGGTGTAATGATAACCCATAGACTGATCAGCTGTGAGTGGGGTCTTCCCAATTGGGCTCAAAGAATATTAGGCAAAGACAAGACCTGTTATGCCAGTGAACACAGCGAAGTTGATCCATATAACAGAACTATGACTTTACAATCAAAAAATGTATTATTGATTTGTTATTAAATGCTATCATACTATATATGTTAGTTCTGTATATTAATTTGAGTTATTTTTATATCAAACAGTTATCATTTTGTAACGAGTTATCCATTATGGAGAAGTTGACATATAGTCCACACCCGAGTCAACCTAACAGTACATTATTAAAACAAGAAGCGGTGATCACTGTTCACGGCATTCCTCTTAGCAGTTATTTTGAAGACTTTGTGTCCAGAAATATATCATCCAATGCTAATAAGGTTTGATATAATTTTATTACGTCTATTAATTAAAGGACTTATAATTTTATTAATTGATATCATCTATAATTATCTAAAGGGACGGCAGGCCATGGAATGGGTTATTAGTAAAATTAATTGTGAAGTTCAAGAATTGACACAAAAGACTGTTAAAAGTGTTGATGAGTTAACAGTTAATGCAAAACGTTGTATAAGTGATGAATTTGTTACCAATACTCACACCAACTATCACTTTCAAGGAACAAAATAATTGTTACTTACTCTAGGAATTAATTTTTAAATTAACAATTGATAATAAATAATAATAATAATAATAGTAATTAAGAAATTTTCACTCATTTATATAAACATACCGTATATCAAAATTTAGGCTAATCTACAAATCAATGACAATTCAGTTTTAAATCCTATTTTATCAATAGGTGATACCATTGAGTGTACCTCTATTTACCAGAGGATATATTTTATAACAAAATTGAAAATATAATTTAATTGATGTTTTATTAGTTTGTTTACTTTAACCGTAACATAATTAAAATAAAAATCGAAAAATAAGTTTTAAAATATAAAATATTTAAAATGATATTTTAATTGATTTGAATACTGATAATCAATCTACTGTTGACTCAAATTCAAAATTTTGGACACTTGGACGACACGAGTGCCAACAATGACGACCTCATTAACTGGTCTGTCGTCAACAGTTCGTAAGTTTTCAATTTTGTGGATGACATCCATGCCTTCAACCACTTTACCGAATACCGTATGTTTTCCGTCGAGCCAAGGAGTGGGCACTACTGTTATGAAGAACTGGGAACCATTGGTATCTTTGCCTGCATTGGCCATACTTAGTAAACCAGGTTCTGTATGTTTAAGCTCGAAGTTTTCATCGGGGAATCGATCGCCATATATAGAGAATGATCCGCGACCGTCACCGCTGGTTATATCACCGCCCTATTGGACACAATTAAAACATTAATATATTTAATGAATGCAAATGTATGATAAAACAATAAGACCTGGATCATAAAATTAGGAATGACCCGATGAAATTTGGTGCCCCTATAACTCATTCCCTTAAAGCCTTTAGGATCAGCCAAAGTGACAAAGTTTTTAACTGTTCGGGGCGTCATTTTGCCGAAGAGAGCCATCACAACAGTTCCAACATTTTTATTGCCAATTCTTATATCGAAAATGACTTCATGTGTGACTTCAACTTCGCGTCCCTCCGATTGAGTAAAGAAAATAAATGCAAAAAACAGAACGAAGAGCTTAATCAACACCATTGCCAACACTATTGAAACGATAACTATTGTCTTCTTGTTCTTCGTCCTCAACAGTTCGCACACTCGTCGCCAACACATTCAGATTAGTGGTTCAGATAAGCCATCTCTTGGGACAACAAATATCAGGTTTGGACCAGTTTTATAATACCAGTCACTGGATCTCATTCGCTGGTATATAGCTTGAAGTCGGTCTCAACTCCAATAATAACGACTACTTGAGGAATGAGGGAAAGGGAGGAATGGGTTGCACTCATAGCAACACTTATCGCTTATTATTAATACAGATATTATTGTAATAGAGATTTGCTATATATTTGTTGAAATTCACGTTTTATTCAATTTATAATTTACATCTAATACTTAACTTTAATTCCTTAAGTTATTTAATTAAATATAATTTTAAATACTTTTTTAAATAGATTTTTTATTAATAGCATTATTTTAAATGAATTTTTATTTATATTTACATAAATGTTGAATACTTTATTATGAAATTCAGGTGAACTATACAATAATTATTATTTTGTTTAATTTAAAAAGTTTATAAATATTAACATTAATTATATTAACAAACACAAATAAATTACATTTATCATTTACAGTATATATATAAAATATATAYACAATTAAAAGTAATTATAATACAGTGTTAACATTAGAGACAGAAAACTTGATTTTGCAGATTAGGTCAAATCAGGTAATTTACTAAAACTAAGGGCAGGTCAGGTCACATACGGGTCTGTTTTTTTGGTATTTGATTATTATAACACTGTTTGTAGTAAATAAGTAATATTTAAATATAAAATTAAAAGTTTACTAAAAAAATAATATTGAATTGTTAATGTTTAAATATTAAAATATTGTAAATTTACTACAATGGTATTATTATATTTAACGCAATTACCGCTACTAATAACTTACAGTAATTGATGATAAATATAAGAAATATTTATAATTAGAGAATTTATTTTTACTAAATAACATGTGATATAACTTATTTAAAAATAACATCAAAAATGGTTATTTGTGACACTAAAATAAAAATCTGTTTTTACACTTTATATTATGAATAAAATTTCCTTTTTTGTAAAAACTTGTATAAATTAGTTGAATTGAAGTAAAAATAAATGCATTAAATGTGTTTTACTTATAAGATAAACACATTAAAAAAATTTGTTAGTATCAGTAGTGAAGAGAAAAAGACAAAACCATTAAATTGTTTTTGAATTTATTGCGGTTTCAGACACTCGTGACTCCCTTCAAGTGCTGTATATCTTCCGGTGCGTCCACACGACTATCACTCAAAGTTCAGTCATTGGAGAAAAATAGGATCACAACTGATCCACAACTCAACTACATTACGTTCAGACATATATTCAATACAATGTGTATGAAAATGTATTATATTTAATATTAGGAAAGGAAAGGCATACTAATATGTTATGAGTCCGAAAGCTTAGAGATATAAAGTTGTAGTCATATTAAGGTCTGTATGGTGTTTGAGTTGGCATCACTACAGGATCACTACAAAACATATACATATCTCGATAAACATAAGTTTGTATTTAAATGATAGGCCGACACCTGTTTCTCTTACATCAGTTTCCAACACTAATTCATTGAGTGTTTTGCTTTAACTGTCGATGAAAACCAAGTTATGTTAAAAACCATTTGTTTGTATTGCCAGAGATAGTATTGGTATGAAAAAAGCACTGGTAGTAGTTGTATAGTCAGAGACTGGTGATCACTGGCACCTCCACTGTTGAGAGATATAACGGGCTTTTGAACAACAGTTAAATCAATGTTTAGCTTTTGACTCTTCTCTCTATATATTACAACCGTTTTTCAATACAAACATTCATACAATTTGTTATATTGATGTCTTTAACTTGATTTTACTGCAAATGTTCATTAAATTAATTTTATTTTTTTCTAACATTCAAACTCTTATAACTACAAAACTTTAAACTTTTAGTTTTTATCAAAACATTCAAAATACTGTACATTAGTTATAAAACATTTTATTATTTGTTTTATGTAATTATTATTCAAATGTAGATTTACTTTAAACATATTGTGTTTAAAATAAAAATTTTATATAAATAATAATATTATTATAGTTATAATTAAATTTACATATTATTATTATATTAAACTATTATATCAATCTTTGAATTTGCAACTAAGATATAATACAATATAATAAACAAAATTCAAATAAAGACAAAAAAATAATTTAATTTTTAGTGTGCATATTATATTGAATTGAAATTAAACAACGAGCAGTCAAAATAATTTTTAAATAGTATAGAAAGATTTAATTAAATAAATTTATATATTTATTTAAGTTAATCAAAATATTAATTAATTATAGGTTTATATTTATTGAGTTTTTCAAAGTGAAAGCAATAGATAGTGATGTGTAGATCAAGACATCTATAGAGCACTTGTAAGAGCACTGATGTAACCGAAAAGCCGTACTATTTATAACCTCTTCTCCCAAATGGAGATTCACTCCAAATGTCTTAGGTTTGTATGCATTGAGAAATGAAATGCACGTAAACCCACATGTTTTCAACTTAAGATACACTACACTACTGGCATATAACTCCTCAATGAGGCCCTCCCTTCCCTTCCCTCCCTTCTCTCTCTTTTCTTTCTCATTTCTGTGATCATCCCTGTCCTCATCACTTGTACTTTCAGTGCTCTCTTTTAAAGTCTATTTGTAAGTTAAAACGTTTTCATCTAAAAGTTAAACAGTGACTGAACAGCTCATCACAAGTATAGCCACTATATTATATATCAGCTTATGGTTAGACAAAGATGCCCCGGGCCTTCCTCATCACCAATAAACGATATGATGCCAACACTTTGGACCATAATATTGAAACCATTCATTCCAGAGGTAATCTATTATTCAACTCTTTATTACACTATTAGTTAATATCTAATAACATTTTTTTTAATTTAATTATTAATTACTATAAACTCTTGATTTGTTAAGATAATAAAATTTAGTAAAATATAATTTATAATTATGTCTTTTATTTGCTTTATCTGTTATATTATTATATAATTAAAATAAAAACTTGATATTCAAATTAATTCACTGAAATTAGTTGATAATATCAATCGTGCGTTAAATATATATTTTGCAAACCTTTCCAAGAAATGAGTTATAATGAGATTCAGTAGACTTGTGGCCCATTCGGCGCACTTGTATGTAGTGTCAGTCTTGCAGTTTTTGGGCCATATTTGCTTTGTTTTTCAAATTTAATCTCAATTTCATTGCATATTTTGCATAACATTTTCATTTACATAACAATTATAACATTTCAAGTATTTCTATAATACTTAGACTAAAAAAGTGTTTTACATTTATTAGAGGGTAGTCCTGAACACAGCGTATATACTGCAGAAGACACCAAAGATTTTGAGTACCAAATCCCAACAAATGTTGATTTGTTAACATTGAAAGCCTCGAGTCCTGGATCACCGGCACGACTATACAATAGGATATCAGTATTGTCTCACACAGACTCTATATCTACACTTAACAGTCCCGCAAATACCGGTAACTTATTGTTATTATTATTGGATATTCATATTTCATGCGATTATATAGTATTTTAGAAATTAAATTCTAAAAATATTTATTAAAAATTTAAAAATTAGAAAATTCTTCAAATGGATCCCAATTCGATGAATTTGATTACAATACTGATATCTCTGAACCACAAGATCTATCTCTTCATCACTTAAGGAGTGGAACAGAGATTGTCGTTAAGAAAGAAAATACAGATTCTTATAATGTCGTCAATTGTATGACCGATGACTTAAAAGTAAGTTTATTAAACATTAGTCTTTAAAAACAAATATTTATAACAAACTTTGATAAATAAATCACTTTTTAAAAGTTAAATGAAGACCAAAGCGAACAACAAACGATATCCAATGATATTCATGTTTGTCCTGATTGTGGCAAAAGGTACAGCACATCCAGTAATCTGGCCCGACATCGACAAACTCATCGCAGTGTTACCGATAAAAAGGCCCGAAAATGTCCACATTGTGACAAAGTTTATGTCTCAATGCCCGCCTATTCAATGCATGTTCGCACTCATAGCCAGGGTTGTCAGTGCCCTTATTGTGGAAAATGTTTTAGCAGGCCTTGGCTACTACAGGGACACATACGCACACACACAGGTTTGTTAGTTTTCAAACATTTGTTAATTATCATCAATTGATGTCTGGTTTCTAATCTGGTGCTAAAACATGTTATTATAGGCGAAAAGCCATTCAAGTGCCCGATCTGTGGGAAAGCTTTCGCCGATAAAAGGTATAGATATTTGTATTTATTATTTTTAGATATACGGTTAGTGTCCGTTATATAACAACTTTTGAATTAAATTCAATAATAAATATAACAAAATTATATAACAATAACTAATATGATTATCACTGTAATGGTATAGTAATCTTCGGGCTCACGTCCAGACACACTCGTCTACTAAGCCATATGTTTGTGAACGCTGTGGTAAAGCGTTTGCATTGAAAAGCTATCTCTACAAACACGAAGAGTCTTCGTGTATGCGTTTGCATCGACACACCGGTCACTCACAACAGAGATCTGTATTATCTCTTTATGACGACTCTTCTTCGCCAACCTCTTCGGCCTAATGTATTATCTAAAGACATGAAACTCCTATTTTTCTTCCAGATATCTTACTTTTCCATTTGTATTTTTAACAATAAATATTAGTTTTTATAGAAATTTCCTAATTTTTTAGAAACATTTTTACTTCATTTCGTAAAAAAATATTTTTGCTGTTTTTTTAGTAACACATATATTTACATATTATAGATTTTATTTTGTAATTATATTTCAACATAAATGCATTAATTTTATATTCTCTTAATCCATATATATATATATATCTTTCAATGAATTTATATAAATATTCTTATACTTAATATATTTATAACAATAATGATTATTATTTTATAGAATAAATAATTTGCAGTCAATTATTGCAAATTATCACATGGTTTGAGTGTGAATACTAGTTCAATGTGTCACTTATATACCGGTATAATTTACCCCTATTTTTGTATATTAAAGGTGCCATAATCCCAAAAACTTTAAATATTCTAGTCGTGTATTATTTAATTAATATCAAAAATTTTGCTTAAATTTATGTTAAATTTTAGTCATATATTTCTAATGTCATATTAATTATAGCTTTATTGCATTGTATTGATTATATAATAATTTTTAAAAGTCCGTATCTATTATCTGTGTTTTAATAATAATATTTTAAATGTATTTTGTTAAAATAAAATTTTGCTATTTATAACATTTTTTTATCCAATTATTTTTTATTATAAAACTGTCGACTCTTAAATCATAAGATTTAGTAAATTGTGTTTTTAATGGTGTAATTTAATATAAATATAAAATAGTGAGACATTTAAGTTAATAGATTGCATTTGCATTTAAAAGGACATCACAAACACAACTGTCAAATGATATGTAGTGAACACCGGATGCATTGAGTGCTCATTATTATAGAAAGGCCTCCAAATGTGTAAGTTTTGGTGATATATATAACCACTATTTCCTCTGACACGCGTCCGTATCATGTTTTAAGACTAAATGAAAGTCATGTCCACCTGTTTCTAGTGTCTTAAACATGAGATGGGTATTGTTGCCATGGCTACGGTCAATGCCTATGACCTGCCTGTGCTGTCGGGTCAATGGTGGGGCCGGATGTAAGAGAGACGATGGAATCTAATGGCCAGTAGTAGTGAAACAGTGATGGTCTACATGAGGGCCATAACTGTTTTTAAATCACTTGTACTGTACATCACTTCACTTCCTATACTGTCATGTCTTACGCCACATCGTTTCAAATCTCAGTTCAAAATTCAATGGGTTTAAGGGTTTAAATAGTTTAAAGACAGTTAAGAGACAGACAGTGAAGTTGTTTGCAGTCAAAGGTTGTCTTTAAAGTTATAAACGGCTTGAAAGGGGGACTCAAATGGCTTTAAAGGGCTCTCAAGTCACACATGTGTGCACTTCTGTGGTTTGGGACGCGCGACGAGACACGCGAACGGCACACGTATGCCATACCATAACCAGATACCAGTGCAACAAACACTCCAAATATATGAATGACCCAAAAGAGCTACAGTTTCTCCTTTGACTCTCTTGTCTGCCGTTCCTTTTGATGACTTTCCCTTTTACTAATGAAAGTGAATCTTTCTTTTGGTTGTCAAGAGTTAGCGCTTGAAATGTCATGAAGTGATCAATAAGTGAATCAAAAGAAGAATTTGCTGCAAAACACATCAAATGAATGAATAATATGATTGCAATCCATATCTTAAACACTGTTATGTCTTATAATATATGATGTTATCCTTGAACTAGACATTGCTGTGCACAGCATTACCATTGCTTTTACATTAAATTCATTAAATCAAACTAATGTTTTACATTACATACTGTTTATAATTCATTAGTTTTTATTATTGCTTTGCGCAACAAATTCACAAACACTAAGACTGACAGCAAATGAAAAACAGTATTACATCTCTAAAAATAATAACACGTCTCTTATCATTGCATTTATTGCTCAAAACAATTATAATACAAAAATATGACAGATATGGTAGATATGGTAGATATGGTAGACATTAAGACAACCAAAAGCATATAAACGAGTTAATCAATGGTTTTCATCCACAAGACTTAACTAATTATATAAATATTTTGGACTTCAAAACAATAGTTAATGCATTTTATTTTCGGTATTTGTTTGTCTACAAAACATAAGGCAATGTTTGCAGTATTTCTATCAATCTTTTAACGATTTCACTCATTTATCTATAACTATATTATGAACTCGTATTGGTTTACATAATGAAAGTGAAAGTTTTCCAAACGGGAAGTTCAGTGTATGGCTTAAAGTGTGACCAAAAATAAGAGTTAAAATGCAGAGTTTTCTTTTGTTTTTCACTTAAAAGGATCGGTAGTCTAGAGTATAGAGTATTGAAATATTAAGGCTATAGAGATGAGCAACAGTTGCGTGAAACTGGAATGTAGTCTTTATGTAGACGACAGGAAACAGGAGAGAGAGAGTGTGTGTGTGAGAGAGAGAGAGAGAGAGAGWGTGTGTGTGTATTTGTGAGAGAGAGAAAGAGAGATAAAGGGAGATGAGAAATCACGGGTCTATTTATATATGGGTGCGATTATGCCGACTACGAGTGCCTACACAGCAAACTATACATTGGATGCTGTGCTCAGCATAATCTGACTATAGCTATGGTGCCACACGTGTGCCAGTTGTGCGACTTGTAAGAGTCAACACCACAACACTGACATACACTTCTTAATACAACTAATTCAGTGCATTATGTATACAGTATTACAGTATATCATCATTTTGTGGGGAAACACATCACTCGAGACATAAGGTCGCATAGCGGACATATGCCTGGGCTCTACTCTATTAAATAAAGTTCACTAAAAGTACGCTATTATGAAGCGCTTCATTTCATTTGTCTGATATACCCATCAACCAGAATATACACCAAAAACTGACACTAAACCGACATATAGTTTACATAATGTTTCATCAAAAACATGTATTACACACAAAGGTCTAAAACTTATGCATATATTGTACTCTCTCTCTCTCTCTCTCTCTCTCTCTCTCTCTCTCTCTCTATGTGTGTGTGTGTGTGTGTGTGTCTGTGTGGTTATATAATTTATATTATATATATTCAGAACTTTAATTTGTATATTTTAAACATACCATTGCTTACATAACTTATGGGCTATTTTATCATTCAAATCGGATATAATGCATATGTACAGTATATATAAATTTATATAATTTATACATGTATAATATATAATTTACAGTAATATATACAATATGAATGAATGAATGAAAAAGTTAAGTTTAACTATAAATCTGATCCAATATATTCATCAACTTATCTATTGTTTAATTTTATAACTGAATTATCAAAACTTTGATTGTTTAGATAAAAATTATTTCAATTATACCATTAGTTGTATAACTAATTGATTTGAATTATTTCAATAACATTTTACTATTATTGTTGTTTAGCAAAGTTAATAAATTTGTTTACATTTTTACAACAAGTGAGTGATCCCTCTCATAGATCCAAACTAACGCTCAAAATAAATACTGTTTTTAAATTTTAATGGATTGTATTCTTGTAGCTGATATGGCAGTACTTTTTTAAACTAAAAAACCAAAATATTTTACATTTTAAGAAAATATGGTTTAACTTCACATACAGGCATTCATTTCTTACTACTTGTTGTTATTGCTTATAATCATAATAATTGTTTTTTGTTTGATTTGTTTTATGTATTTCAATGTTTATGAGTTCAATAATTATTTATTAGTAGACAGAGTAGTCATTGGGACACAAAAGTTAGTTATTTTTAGAAAAAGCAAATCAATTGAATAATTCTGTTATGTGTGAGACATCTGTCAGAATATGTGAACAGAATAGATGTTAATAGCAATTGTTTTTAATACTCTCTCTCTCTCTCTCTCTCTCTCTCTCTCTCTCTCTCTCTCTCTCTCTCTCTCTCTCTCTCTCTTAAAATGTTGTCTCAACTTAAATAACATTCACAGCACTTATGCTTTTTTCTAAATAATTGAGGACAAGATATTTATATACCTTTACTCCATCCATAGGCGCCCACGACTTAAGTTTGTTTCAACAGTAGATTCAATGGATACTCATATTATATATAATACAGTATACAAAACATACTCAGATAGGGCGGTGTCTTACACTGTACTTCATTAGGTAAGTACTAGATTTTCACTCATTTTTTAAAATATGAAATTTCAATATTATTTATAAATATATTTGAAATATTATATTAATATAGAAATAATTATGCTTTACATAAAAATAATTTAGTTAAATAAAAATTAATTAGTTTTAGTTTATTTTTTTTCTAAAAAAATGTATTCACTTTTTGTTTTCACACACTTTCCTGTGTTACTACCAATTATGGAAATCATAGTAAATATCCAAAAGTTTAATATTTATGATATGAAGGACCACTAATATTAAATAAACTATTAATATTGCTTACATTTATCTAAATATTGCTTAAGTCTAAAGTATTTATATTCTTAATTATTATTATTTTTTAATTAATAGTAATATTTCATATAATTATAATTGTTTAACTATTTATTCAGTACTAATTAGAAGTTACTGAAGATAAGTGTTGGAACAGATGGCAGATCCACCAACTTATACATCTGAGGGTCCATTCTTCGACACAGAATTTGCTACAACTAAGTATGGATTGGCAAGAATTTCACAATTTGTAAGACTTTATTATTTATATCAATTTAAATTTAATTATAATGATTATAATATTAATATTATAGTATATAAAACACCGTAAAGAAATAATATATTTTAAATTTGAGTGTAATTTAAAGTTTTAAAATATTGTTTATTTTTATGGGTATATTTACATCCAAAAAATAAAATAAAATGTGTTATCTATAATCTTAATTTATAATTATTCTTTAATTCATTATAACTTATTTTTGTAGCCATTAGTTAATAATAAATTATAATTAAAAATTAATAAAATTATTATTAAATAACAAACAGGCGATTGCATTATTGAGTTTGATTTTAGTGGAGATCCCGAGCTGTTCGTGGAAACGAAGTGTTAGTTTCTTTGTGTTCATAGCTTCGGCTTCATTAGTATTTTCGGTAGTTATCCTCATATTATTTTGCACCCGATTTCATGAACAAGTGGCCAAATACATCAATATGCCGCTCACGGTATTTATTAAACTATTAAAAATTAAGTTATTATTTATCAAAAAATATATTTTTTCAGTTATTAGTAAATGAAGCAATTGCTGTAATTTTATGGACAATCGCGTCGTTACTAATCGTATTTGTCAGTTGTGACGGATCGGGACCTAAAGTTGCCTTCATTTTAGCCGGAGTTGGTTTTATTCAATTTTCAATTTAATTTTTTAAATTTTTATTTAAAATATTTTATTTAATTTATTTACTTATAGCAGATAAATTTCTATACTGTATATATTGTTTAATATAATTTTAATAATATATCTAATATATCGGTACAGTATATCAAACATTCTCACTAAATCAAATTTTATCTATTGCATACTTTATTTTTAAATTAAAATTATAAATTATTAAATTGTTTGTTGTTAGTTAATGTTTTTAAGTAAAAATATTTTATATGTATTATAGTCTAATGAAAATATTTGCTAAATATACAGTACTTAAGTGTTTAACAAATTGAAAATTTTTGGAGAAATTTTGCAAATATTTAATTTAACACAAAATTGGGTTAAATATTATAATAAATATTATTATAATAAGGAAATTAAATGCAAGTTATTTATAAATATGAGTTTTAATTAAGTTTTAGTTTAATTATAAATAAAAAGACGATGAATACCAAATATGATACTCACACTATAATTACAATTAGTTATAATTATTCAAAAATTGCAATTTTTATGTTTTTAATTATCTTATAAAATATAACAATAATTAACTGTAAATAATCGATTATATAGTGTATATTTAGTGTAATATTAATAAAATTTAATATAATATATTTCATTTTATTATTTATACTATAAGTTATAAATAAACTACAATAGTATAATACTTATTTATAAATTTTATCAAATTAAAAAATAATAATTTGTTCAACATTAATATAGTTAAAATTAGATATTTAAATTTTTAGGTTATTTTAGTATAAATTATTATATATATAAAATAATTTTTAAAAATGTTTATTCAAACAGATATTAGGATTTCTGGGAGCCGTGGCTTTTGCTTATTCGGCACAAATATCGTACAATTGGTTTAAAAATGGATCACTAAATACTATATAATTTTATTATTATTAATGTTATATTTTATCAATTTTAAAACATTATCGAATTGTTTATTATAAAAATTCTAATTTAATTTGTTAATCGAAATTAAACAAAAAAGTTGATCAAAAGTATATTAGTAAATCAATTTCAATTATATAATGTGATTTATTAAACTAGTATACAATAAAATATGAACAAGTTAAAAGATATAACATAACAATATTTACAATTTTAATTAAACTTCAAATCAAAATTTGGTATTTTTTGGTTTACCGTTAATTTTTACATTTTTCAAAAGTTAATTTAATTTTGTTTTAATTTTGAAATTTTAATTATTTCAAATAATTAGTGTTTATGAATAAAAATGGTATGTACAGTATTTGAATTTAGATTATTATAAATTTTAAAATTTATCATTAGATAAATAAATATTTTATCATAATATATTATTATTTCATTTCACTAAAAAAATAAAATTAAAAATAAATAAACAAAAATTATGTATTTTCTTTAATTTAACATTATATGAATTAATGTATTGTATAGTTTATTGACATCAATGTTAATTTTATATTTTATTTTTCATATGACCACTAATCAGATCTCACATAAAAAGCAGATTAACTGAAAACAATTGATAAAACAATGTGGGGTTTCATACATTTTTTAATTCAGGATTACAAATACAATAAATTTAATAATCATATTATTATAAAAAAAATTAATTAATTATATAAACAATATTTTCTCATTATATAAATAATTTTGACTATTATTAATCAATTTTATTAATATGAATCGACATAAATGTAAAAATAGTTGTCATAATTGTAGTGATGATGTTAAATGTGGTTATCTTAATGTTAAACTAGCCATCAATTTGGGTCCATTAAGCAAAAAATACAAAAGTTGGACACGAAGATGGACTTGTTTTATATGTAAATGTGATGACAAAAATAATTTACTTATTAATGTATTAATATATAGAAATCAAAAATCAGTAACAATTATATTTGACAAATCTTTCAAATGGAGATATACTGCTATATTCAGGAGCAGGTCTGTCATACTTAAAATTATTCAAAATATTTTCAAATATTTTATTATTTAAATGATTATTAATTTCTTGTTATTTGATAATAATAATTGATTGATTAGATCACGATCTCAAAGCTATTCATTTACGATATACAATACAAATAATAAAGAGTCGGCCATTCATTTATCAGCCGATTGTGAGACCGAAAGTCAGTTATGGATGCAATGGCTTCGTAACCATCTTTGGCCTCCAAATCCTTTAATGGAATTTGAAAATTGTAATCAATTTTTGAGTTTTTTCATATAATTTAAAAATATATAAATAAACTATACTTATCTTAGTAAATATTTAATATATATATATATATATATATAATTTATATATACCTGTAGTATATATTGCATAATCAATCAAATAATTTGATTCAAAATTTACTTCAAAATATCATTATAATAATGAATACATTAGCGTAAAATAGTTACACATTATTTTTTAAAAAAAAGATTTGCAAATGTTTTTAATTTTATAGTTCATATTAAATAAATTTTTCAATAATTAGTATTCAAAGAGTAAATAAAGACATAAGTAATCAAAATAATAACAACTAATAATTAACTTTATTAATGATTTTCAGCTACACTTAGGGGTCATTTTTATGCCTCTATTATCGATAACGAGGAAACTTACAGAAGTGGTCTTTTAGGTGTTTATGGATATCTACAGATCTCACAGACAAATATAGTATTAACTCATTGCCAAACGGGACACGTTATACAAGAGTGGCTGATATTACAAAATAATGTCACAAAATCAGATGAAAATGTGCTCAAAATTACAAGAAATATCCAAAGCTATGAGTGGATCCATTGTACGCCAAACTGCTTTAAAAATAATGCAATTTTTATTTATTGCTGTGAAACCAATGAAGTCATCAAAAGAGTGAACCGGAATAAAGAGCTGCATATGTATAACAAAAGTCTTGAAGACACTGAAACTGGAGGCAAAACAAGAGCTAAGAAATCAAGTTTTTCTAATCATTTTATAAGTCACTTCCCAGACAAAGGTGACCGATATGTTGTGAACCCATCATATAATACTAAAAATATCATTTCATACAATGCTATTACAAAAAACACATATCAAATAAGTACTATCAATGATATACCTGAAACTATGCTCAACACATCCATTACATCATCAGATGATTCAAATGGGATAACTGATGGCAACAATGAAAATAATATTTATAGCCTACCATTTGATTCAAATGCTGTTAATAATAGAGAATCCACACATTATTATGAAGAAATTGATAAAATATATGAACAAATTTTCAATCAAGATATGGATGATATTTACATAAATTCACAAACCGTTAGATCTAATATAGAAACAAATATCAATGATTATGACAAATCCATGACATCCAAGCATAACCAATGTTCACATGCAATCAGTGATACTATTTGTCCCAATTCTCACATCAAAACAGATAACAGTCTAAATAGTGATAAATATTGTGAAATAATGAAAAATCAAACAGATTTTCAAATATTTAATTCAGTCATTTGTGAGAATTCAATACATTTGCCACAAAACGATTCGCATTATAATAACAATAAAAATAATGATTATTATGAGATGAGATCAGTTATCACATTACCATCAATGTATCATTTGGATACAGATTATGTCACTATGGATTCACTACTAAATTTCATCAAATAATTAAATAATGGATTAATCAATCAATATGGTTTACCAATTATTTATATATAATATAATAATCAAACAAACTCTTAATAAATAATTTTTATTAAATACATTTGTCACGCAATGAATTACATACATATATTGCAATTATTTTGTTGTGAAAAATATTACAATAAAATAGTAAATCTATAATTTATATTTTTTATAAATAGCAATTTTATAATAATTTTTATTTGCTTTGGTATTATTTAAGACTTGGGGTTTTTATAATTAATATAACCGTACTTTTGTTACTATCATTACTGTTATTGGATGTGAACTTAAAGTTCCGGTTTATTTAAATTGATTGATATTATAGAGTATAATAAAAATCATTTGTTGTCTTATATATAATAGTATGACTAGAAAGGGCTGTTACGGACTGTTCACACGCTCTCCTTTCTCACTCATCTCTCATATAATTGACATTAAAATCAATTTAAAGCCATAAGACATAAATACAATAATAATAATAAATTAATTTCAACATAACTTTGCATATCAAAAAAGACTTGAATGGTTATCTCAATTAATAATAATCTATTTTAAAGTATAATTTTTTTGTATCAATTAATTACAAAACCCTTTGTTATAATTATTTTCAAAGTAATTATAATATATTATTAATAAGTTTGTGCTTTAATTCAGTTAATCTAATGATTTAACACAAATGTTAGGAATGAAATAATTATTTTCTATTGTATAATACATTTGTCATTTCATCATTTAATAAATATTATTTATATATATATTTGTTATATTGTTTTTGTTGTACATCTGAATAAATTATATACATTTAATAATTGTTAAAATGTTGATCACATAATCTACTGTATGAAATGACTTAAAAGATACCAATCAAATCAAAAATTGGTGTACAAAACATTTTTATGCAAAATTGTTTTTCTTATTAAATTCTTTAACTAAATAAAGAATTTATAAAAAAAAATATTTCTATTATTTAATACAAAATAATCAATCATTAATAAATAATTATTAGTTGCTGAATACCACTGTTAAAAATAATTATAATTACATTACATTCACTTGTTATAAAAATGAAATGCTAAAAAATTTAATTTGATAAAATACTATATTAAAAATTTATGTTAAAAATAGCAAAATTGAAGGCAATTTGTCAAATATTTAATCCACTTTTTTCAATATTTATATAGATATGAAGTGTGATATGTTAAATGGAGTATTAGTAGGTTTTAAATATAACTAATTAATGCATTAATTATTATTGATTTGTATTTTGTTTGAACACTAAAAAACATAATGAAACCGACATTTTTAGGTCAACTTAGGCGCAGACCTATCATTAGGAGAATATACTTTACGTAATTGCTTGCCTCGCCTTATTTGATCCATTAGTGATTCGCGATATAATTTCACTTCTTGTGGCAATTGAACCGAATTAAACCAAGAGTTTACACGAGCGGTAATGGCGTTATCAAAGGTTTCAGTATTTGATGGCAACCTCTTCATGTCTTTAGTGGATTCATTTTGAGATAAATAAGAATTATTATTGTTTTCAGAAATCATTGGAGTTGTTTGTCGGACGTAAACATCAGTCATATAGTGCTGACCACTAGATGTCTGGGCGATTAAAGGACGTCCATTCGGTTCACAGCTAGTCTTTGGTGTCATCGCAGATCTGCCGGTACTTTGCTTTTCATATAAGCTTTCAGACGTTGGTTGTCTAGTTGTTGTGTTGATTATCTTGAGTCCCATCGATGGTTGTGAGCTTCTTCTCTGAAGTTGTTGCTGATGAAGAACTGGACCATAAATCTGTTGTTGTGATTGTGGTTGCGACTGTTGTTGTTGTTGTAACTGTTGTTGTTGTTGTAACTGTTGTTGTTGTTGTTGCATAAGTTGATGCATTTGATGTGAAGACATTTGACTGATTGCTTGGTTATGCTGTTGACTGGATTGTGATATATTTGAAACATTAAATGTGTTTTGTGTCGGATAATGGTTTTGATTGACATTAACTAAAGGAACGGATTGTTTTCGTTGCATAGCATTAGCTGCGGCCGCCTTTGCGATTTCATTTTGTTGTCTTTGAGCTAATCTTACATTAAGACTAGCCATTAGACTCTCTCTATCACAAGAAGCCAAAGTCAAAGATCCTTTTTTACGTCCTGTTTCTGGGGATTGTCTTCTAAGGCGTGACGACGTGGAGGAAGTGGATGAACAACGAGAATGATTGCCAGACATAAATGACATCAATGTTTGCTGAATGGTTTGAGTTGCGGACCGATTCGATGAATTACTTTCTGAGTTATATTCATCTTCTCGAGAAAGCGAAATACTTCGTCTTTTAGGTAAACGTGGACTGACTTGTGATCCGGGACTGAATTGTCCTAATTTAGTGTTAAGAGTTTCAAGAAACTGTCGGTGAACGTTTGTTATCTTATTGTAATGATGACTGTGATGATTGGTTTCACTGTCTGAAAAAGCTTCGGGTGGTGGCGCTGGTAATGGCATCGATGAATCTTCTTCTGACGTATGAATTATTGCCTGTTGTTGTTGTTGTTGTTGTAGATCACGTGTAGAGACACTTTCAAAGACACTTTTCGCCGCTCGATATTCACTATTCTTATTGGCATTTGTTTGCAAAGTAGAGTTTGACATTAAGTGAGATGTATTACAATATATAACCTCTTGAGGACAATTACTATAGGGACTAATGGGATGATTTGTAGTCCCAATAGCACTGAGATTCTGTAGAGATAACGTTAAATTTTGGATCTCTTCATAGGTATTAAGGCCAACACTTTTTAAAGTTCCCAATGTTATGGCATTTGGATTGGAAATGGTTGACGTTCGGCGAAGTGGAGGCGGTGGAGGGGGTTTCGATGGACGCACGGGAATAGCTAATGTCGATGCACTAAGTGATGAATTTTTGCTATTTTGGGGCAACATCTCAGATGTAGGACTATTAGATCGTTCGGCATTTGTTGGAGTAATAGATCCCTCAGAACAGGCGACATTTGATTCATCGTTCAGCAGTTCCATCGAATTGGCATAAATTGGTTGACATTCTGTATAATGCGATATATCTGTTGTTATCTGACATTGATTTGAATCTATATAAGATGTTTGAGGTTTAATAGGAAGTACTGGTTTTTCAATCGTTATATTTCTGGAGGGCAGGTCTGGCTGTGCGCTAATACTTTGATTGTTTTGTGTCTGTAATACAAGTGTTGATGAACTGTAATTGTTTTGATTGTTCAGAAGTGGGACCACACTTTCTTCACAAGCATTTGTTATTTTAAGTGATTGTGAATCATATGATTTTGAAAGACATCGGTTTGTATCGTAAGCATTAATACTATGGGATCTATTAGCCATCGTATCGGTGCGTTTATTAGAGGCAGGAATACTGGATGTGCTCGAAGTACTGCCGCTACTTTGTTCAGAGAGACTCGAAACCTATTTGTAAATAAATATTTGTTTTCAATAGTATTAAACTATTAATACATTTGTTATCAAATCAATTGACTTCAAACCTCATTATTCTTAAATTGATTGACATATGTCATGGGAGTGGTATATATAAATGGTAACTGTGCGTAATGTATAACATTATAGTCCTGTGACATAAACCCAGAATCTTGTGAAGATATACTAGTGTGACGAAACACAGGACCCGGTCCTACACTTGGCTTTGTGGCCATCAATCAAAATAAATAAAATAATAATAAATAAATAAAAAAAATAAATAAAAACAAATGCAAATAAAAAAGTAAGAAAATTAAAAATAGATTACATTTGGATAATGTATATAAAGGATTGCTATAAAAAAACAAATATAATAACATAATATATTCATTGAAGCAATCAAAATATAATTTGACAAATAAATAGAAAAGCATAAAAAATAATTCAATGCATTGCAAGTTTATAACAATAAAAATAAGTTCAACAAAAAAGATGAAAATTATATGAATTATCACGCTTTCAATTACATAACTTTATATATATAGTTGAATTCATTCATTATATTTATAACACAATAGCTCTAATTTATTTTTATTATTACTAAGCAATTATGCGAATAATACAATATATGTATATATAATATCATAACACAGACTGTAAGTAATTTTATTGTATTTTTATTTAATGTATTTGCTGTTAGATATTATACTTTATATATATATGCTTATACCAGTATTTACTTTAAAATTAATTAAATCTAAATATAAAAATACCTGAGAGAGGGAACGATATCGGCAGTTATGTGACGGTGAATGAGTGCTACCACTGGAAGAGCTGTTAAAGCTGCTGATTGAACACATACTTGATTTGCGGGAACCAAAGGATGAAGGACTACTGGGAGGTGTCTGTAGTGTGAACGCGATGGTATCGGATGTACTGAGTCTTAAATCTGAAATAACTAATTCACTGGCAGTCGGTAGTGAATATGGATCGGCAGTCAATTTGCAGAGTGAGTCCATTATTTCTTGGAGATGTGTTACCTCCTGAAGCATTGCCAGCTCCTCTTCAACAACAGGACGCAAAAAGTTAACAAATAGACAAAAACGACTCCTTTCCTCAATAAGTGCCCGACGGACTGCTTTTTTCTCCATTTCCTCAAAAATAAACAACTTCTCACTGGCTTCCATAGAGTCCATGGATCGGGACATTGAGTTAAGACTATTCCAGTTGTTTGGATCCATTTTCATCTTATTTCTCACATGTTTTTTAAATCTTAATGTATTAGAAGTTGAGGCATATATGGGGTCAAGAGTTTTCTTTTTCAACTCTTGTCTCAAACGTTTGTATTCTTTTGAGTGCTCTTTATCTAACAGTCCGCATGTCTTCTTCCACTCTTCAATTCTGTCTTGAAGTGGTAAAATCAGACAATCCATTATAGCACTCGTAAATGTCTTAAGTCTGGCCTCAACTGATCGGTGACGAAGGCATATACGAGTTAATGCCGTTCCTATCTCTTTAGTGCCACCTATTTATTATAATTACATTTGTTATTATAGGTAATACTATTGTATGACAACAATTATTATACCCATCATCTCATTGTTTTATTTTAAAGTATTGTTAATAATATCATCAAAACTCTGTCCTATATGTGTTAATTATATTAATTTATAATAAATATATGACATCATATGTTACGAAACATTATCATACCATATGATGTATCATAAAGTACTGTATAATATTATTAATATTTCAATAAATAAAATTAAATGTTTTGAAATACATTAAAACAATTAATAACATTAAAATTAAATTAAATGCCATAAAAATATATAATTTACTAATAATTAATTGAAGTTAGTATTGCAACAACACGAGTGGCCAAAAGCATAGTTGAAATCTATTATCTAAAGAATATAAGACTAGAACTAGAAATCTGATATTAAGCTAACTTTCAAAACCATTAATTATTTAGCATATATATAGGTTGGTGCTATCATTTGATAAATTATAATATTTTTTAGTCAAAAAAATATCTAATTATAAGATGAGTTCAAATCTATAACCAATTTGATGTAAAACAAATGATCCCTAAACGTCAAACCATAAATTATCAAAATCTACATAATTTGCTGCTATAGTGAAGCAAATATATCGACTAAATTTAAAAGGTAATGTTAATTAATAAATCAAGTCAACCGCCCTCTCAGTCCTACAGTTAATATTTTTTATATGTAAGTCATATAATATATTCATTATAAGGTATAAAAAGTGGAACAAAAATATTAACTGTTTTCTGGAGTAAACACTTAATAATTTACATTACAATTGTAAACTAAGTGTAGGCTCTAAACATCAAATTAACTTGTATTATATATACAATATTTAAGAATTTAATTTATGATAATTATGTTAAAACTATAAAATATGAGTACATATAAATTTATATACAGTATTTGAAATTTCAAATGAAAATAAAAATTCAAATTAAATACAATCTGGATTATCACAAATGCTGTATATATTTATACTAATATATAACTTAACTCATAAGTCATAAGCATTTAAAAAAAGACTATTCAGGACAATACAGGAAATAACTTTATGTTAAGCTCAATAATAGTACTAATAATAATAAGTTTTAATTAATACGCTCATAGTATTCACTAATTTTTACATATTTTTACTATTTGTTATTTCTACAAATATATTTTAATAACTCATAAAATAAATTACTGTACATTGTTTGTGCTATAGTATAATAAACTCTATTCATTGTTAACCATTATTATTAAGATAATCTGTTTAAATGCAAACAAATTTGGAAGTATAAAGCAAATCAACTTCAAAAATGATTGAATAATAAGTAATATAAAAAATAATACAATTTAAGAGTTAAATAGATGCCAAAAGAAGCGGTTAAACTTTGAAGACATTGCAGGCATTTATTTTTAAAGCCCTATAAAAAGGGGTTAATTATAGCAAAAAGATTGCTAAGTAGTAGTATTAATAGTAGTGGTGTTGTTATACTAATAATAACAATGAGAGATGAGTCCAATAACTGGATTATTCATATAAAAGTTGTTTTAAGTAACAATAAAAACAAGACAACAGTCGTGATTATAAGCCATACCTCGAGCACTGGTCGCCATATCAGCAATCTTTTGAAAGGCATCGAGAAATGCTGTCGACGCGGCTATCGTTGCTCTGGTAGATACACATCATTTGGAAAGGGAGTAAAAGAGTTAAATTAGTGTCAATTAAATATAATATCAAAAACACTAAAAACATATTTAGCGGTAAACTACTTGAAAAACAGTAGATATATCACATAATTAATAACAAATTATAACTCAAATTAATGTTAAACCGCTTGCTATGAGAAAAAAGTAGTCGAAATGAATTTGGTTTCGCATCAATTGATACAAACAATTGCCTTAAAAATTGTCACTAAAAAAAAAGTATCGCAAGTGATAAACAATTTGAACGCAAGAAAGGGTTTTACATTCTCTCTCTCTCTATAAGTCATGCATTAAATTATTAATTTGTTAATCAAATGCTTATCGCTTTCGTTAAACAAATCAAATGAAAACAAACAATCAAATTATAATAAAAAGTTAATTAACAATCAAAACTGTGGTCTTACTTGAGTTGTGTCTGAAATTTGGTGGCTTTAACAACAAAGTCGTCCCAATTTCCAGTTCCCGACTGTCGGTCCGATTGTAAAGTATATGATAAATAAATTAAATTAATTTATATATTGATAATCAATATATAATAATTTAGTATATATTAATAAATTGCAAAATACTCGAAATTTAGGTTATGTTTAGACTATAATTGATTAGACAACTGTCACTCAAAAATAGGGATCAGATTATGGATCAAAAACTTTTGATTTTCATTTGCAAAATAATCAATATATCTATTGTTTATTGTTATAGCAATTCATTGTTTATTTTGATTATATCTACAAAACTATTACACTATTTATGATATTTAATATAAACATACATTTGATTGTATCAAACAAATAGTTCTCTAATCTATTGATTATTTTTAAATTATTAATAATATAATCAATAAAAATGGGATCAAATTAATAGTGACATACCTTCATGTCGTTGATGATTATCTGGAAGAGACCACCCAATGCACTGCAATCTCTTTCAACGACAAACTGGGGCTCCATTTGGTCTTCAATTTTGATGTCAATTGCGGTGATAATCAATCAAATCGGATCAATCAAATCGGTAATTAAATTTTGTTGTCAATTGGTTTGGTTATCGATGACAAAGATATCTATTAGATTTGGTTTATTTTATGAGTGAAGATAAAAGTGTGTATTAGTCGAGACAATGGCAATGACTTCCGGTGAAGACAAACGAGAGATGTATTGAAGTCATCGATGCATTGCTTAAAGTGTGGGCTCAACTCACAGACGACACTTCATATACACTATAATGTCTTTAACAGACTTTCACTATAAGACACACCAAATGATTAGATGTGTTAACACTGTTATCACACCAATTGGTGGTCACTGTGGGTGACTGTCACCCCAATGGATCCAAAGGTAAGCAGCATTTAATTGATTGAATGAATGACTTGAAGACAAAACAATGACTTCACTATTGAATCGATATTTGCATCGAAAATATACTCAATTCATGTGTAGTTAGGCCTACAGTGTGTGTGTGTGTTGTGAGTGTTGTACAGTATATCCACATTCAATACTCGCACATACATTGAGTTTAATATTAGAGAGACTGTCACACAATTACAGTACTACCAGAGCTGAGGAGTCGACTATAACAGAGAGATTCATATGAATTACATGGAAAGGCATGAATGGCAACGACAGTAATGTATTTTAAAAAAGCTGTATTTCTAGCTTTTCCTACATTTAAACACTGGCTCTGGGATTGGGATTTAGGGTTAGACCTAACTTGAAGAGATGTGAGCAACTCTACAACTGATGATAGAGAAAGAGAGGTAATAATACACATCTATTACTGTAGTATGAGATACCTTATCCACGAAACAAACTAAAACTGGACTTTACTTAACTACTATTTTTTATTATTAGTCAACTTTTTATATTTTTACAACATTTTTAGATTTTTCTAAATATTGCAAACAGTAATACAATATATAATATGTTGTTTGAATACAACAACCAATGTATGGACGCCTACCTTCACATCCATAACAGGCTCTACAGCGACAACCAGTGGCACTTGATTTGACACTTTCAACAAAACCAATGATGGCATCAAATACAGTGACATACAGTTTACATTATCATTGTATGATATTTATAGTTATTCATATAACTCATTAATATTTTAAACCATATTAAATGATAAATTAGTTTCAAAAAAAATTAAATAGCATTATAAGTTGACTAATAAATAAACAGTTCATCTTATATATCATACATGGATCATATATACTGTATATATAGGTAAACCACTTATTGCTAAATATAGCTGTTTTAAAAGCGTATCAGCAATACGTGTGCGATTGATCTAACGGTGCAAAAAATAGCTATGATTTACACTACACTGTATATCAATGAGATTATTGTCGGATTAGTATTTTAAAAAATACATTTGTATTGTATATTACAGTATATAATGGGTTTATAAATACTTGTATTAAATTATAATGAATTTTGATACTCTTATCTATTCATTGTGAATATCTTATTATATTAATAATTACTGAATCTGCTGTTTGTTGGCTTAATATATATAACAATTAGATAGCAATTCATTTGATTTTTATTGAATTAAAGGTTAAGATTGAGATCAGACACGGTTTGCATACAATGCATATTATGATGAGTTATAAATACATTTATCACATACAGTACTATAATATACTGTATTATGCAATGGTATGTACGGTAATGTTATTTAATCTACTGTATGGTACAGTATATTGTAGTAGAAATAGTATTACATATTTGTGTCAAAAGTAATAGCAAACACTCAATGCTTTGAACTAAGATTATTATGTTTCGTATTCAATCATTTGTTATTAATACAGTATAATGTATATTATTTAATAAATTCAAATAATATCAACTATTTTAGTACAGTATATCACATACAGCATATAAAAATGTATGTACTCAGGTTAGTATATCAATTAATTAAAATTTATAAATATATATATATACAGTACTAAGTGATGAATATAAAAGAGATTGCATATTTCTTACACAATTTACAAGTTTTATTTTTTTTAAGTTTTTCAACAAATATCAAGTGTACCATAATTTTCAACTCATATTATATAAAATTGAAGAGTTTTAGACATTGTATTTACAGCTTTAATATTATTATTACATAATATGTGTGTGTGTGTGTGTGTGTGTGTGTGAGAGAGAGAGAGAGAGAGAGAGAGAGACTATGTGAATGACCTCTAAAATAAGTAAAACAAAACTTATATAATATAAGAGTTAGATTTATTTACACAAGTATTACTTGACTTTTCTTTAAAATACTAAATACAATATAAAGTATAAGTAATAAATTAGTTTTTGGTTACAATATCTATGGTATTAATCGACTACATGTCAAATGCATTAACTATTTAGTCAATAACACAACAAATATATAGTTAAAGAAGATATGATGGGATCAGTAGTTGAGATAACCAGTTGTTATTATATCTCATCACTATTTATGGGCGTCTTATTCATTGATATACAAAGTGTGGGATCTCTCACTCCATATAAAGACGACTTAAATGTATATTTAGTAATAAATATTTGTATTTTTTTAAAACTTTAGATTTTAATCAAATGAATTCAATGTCTGTTATTTCCATTTCTATAAGATATTATTATATTTATTTGAATTTATTTTAGTTTTTATAAATATAAAAAAGTTTTAACAACTATTATTTAACTAATACAACTAAAAAATTTTGGAAAATTAAAGCTTAAAATGTTTTTGCTATTATACAGTAGTTTAATGGATTGTATACCGTATACGACAATATAAAGATTAATCTATTATTTTATTTATAAATTAAATTCAAATAAAATTTTATAATTAATTTTGATTTCCTATCAAACTAAATCATTATACAAATTAATTTATTTTTAGTATAGTGTATCAGCACAGTTATGCTGTCATAGAGATATGTCATATATAGAAAAATGTGAATAATAGTGTAATTTAGTACAAAAATTATATACATTATAGAAATTAACTGAACATATTCTTGCAATTTCAACAATAATAAACAGTTTTCAAATAAAATGTCCATGTTTACTTTTTAAAAATAAATATACTGTAGTTTGCTATATCAACTGGCAATCTATTTATTTTAAAAATATATACTATTTTACTGTAGTTTTTAAGATATACTCTAATGTTTACTAATGAATGTCGAATTGTAACCAAAAAAATATTCATCAATAAATTTAGATCCAATACTTAAAAGTTAATGACATAAAACAGAGAAATACTATTTTATATTAAACAGATATTCGAAAAAAATATTTCTTTACTAATTAATAATTTTTAAATTTTATTAAACAATAATATATAATGTTATACATTATAAGATCTGTCGTTAATTCTATTTAATGTCTCAGAATTTCGACTCCAGTTTTGATGCTTTTGTTGTACTAAATGGAAGTGTCGAAGAAGTTCTTTAAAATCCATATTTGGTTGCATTGGACTACTTTTGGTCTTATTTTTCCTAATTATTTAATTATATAAATAGTATTATCAAATAATCAAATTGTAATAAATTAAGCGTAAATTGTATTACTTTTGCGAATCAGATGATGAAGAAGTAAGTCTAAAATTGGGGACACATTGTAGACGTTTGCGTAACAAATCAAAGGCATCGCTTTGAGGTAAAAGCATCAAAAGTCCGTACAAACTCTTTATTAGATCCCAATTGTTTTCAACATCTAATAAATCTAGTCGTAAATCTGTAATTCAAGTTTCAAATGTGATTAAATACAAATAATTAAAAAAATTTATTGATATTTAAATAAACTAGAAATAAATTATTAAAAAAATACAATACATGCAAATATAGGCGATTCCAGCAGTTGTACCATTTGGTCGAGTTCTGTAAGAAACTCAAGAGTCAGATTAAGATCACCAAATAGTAACAACAAATCACTGGCATGTTTGTAGTTTTTGGTAAGAAAACAAAGAGAGACAGTAGCTATTGGTGAGTGACACCACGTCCTATACAGACAACAAAATAAAGCACAGCTTTCATCAGTTTTTAAATGTTTCAATTGGTTCCTGAGCTCAAACAGTTCACTTGAAGTCAGCAAAATAGTATTCAATGTTTGAACAATTGTATACGCAAAACGAAGATCTTCATAATTTAAAAGTATTTCAGACATTGATCTGTATATATCTTCAGCTGTCATGAGCTGACAGAGTTGTCTTATAATGAAAGATCCTCTTTCTTCAAGAACTGAGCTATTCTTGTGAAATAATTTCAATAATTCTCTCATAAATTTATTAAAATACGAGGTATTATCCATTATATTGTTGACCGAATTTGATGATACTGTTGGCGCAGAAAATATTTGAGCCAAAACTTTCAGATCCATTAAAACCACTTCATCTGACTTATCCGATAGTGTTTTAAGAAGACCTGGAAATAGTTCGCTCTCTAAGTGTGTGACAATCTTTTGTGGTACTTTAGAATACAGATGAAGAATCCATCGAAGAACAGCTAATTTGCTTAAAGTCGAAGCATTTTCTCCTAACTTTAGTTCTCTGACTAATATCTCCAAAACACTCGTCAGATCCAATGAGTTCTGTACCAAATCTGATACATTAGTATTATGTGATTCATTGTTAATGGCATGAGTGGGACTCAAACCATCTTCGTGTTGATTATCTTGAAGTGTCACTAATTGCATGAGACTATAGTTCAAAACTTTTGCCACTTCTCTAATGTTTATATTAGTTGTGCTCTTATTCTTGTCTTCAAAATCGTCGCCATAATCTGAAGTTGATGTTAGACAAGGAAGAATTGCTGTCAAAATGCTGGCTGAAAATGGCAATAAATCTCGACTATTGGCCAAATTAATGAACTCTTTAAGCCATGTAAGAGCAGTGTATTGAACTAATGGTTCATCTTTGACCTGCGAATGGATAGTTAGGATATTGATCATTGAAGGAAAGTCAACTTTGGATGGATTTTGAATTATTTTAAACAAGAACTCTGCCATCACGTTCTCAGTTGTTCTATTGATTTCTGGTGTCGGATCTGATAGTATATGAAACAAACCATCGAGAAGTTTAGGCAAAAAGACTATCATATCAAAGTCGGGAACCGAATCAAGTAAAGCAATCCATGAGATTATAAACTGACGAGAAAATTGATTTGTACCATGAATTCTGTCTCTAATTAAATCTATTAATTCAATCAAATTAAATGTTGGGCTCTCAGTGACAATATCTTTCATGAGTCTGTCTAATAGTTCGGCACCACTCTTGACATTCTGGTCGGGATCAGCTGCTAATTTGCACAAAGAGTCAAATACTTCATTAAAAAGTGGCAAAACATCACATCGACTGACTTTAACCACATTATACAGCGCTTCACAGGCATAATATCGGACACGTGAGTCTTGGTCTGAAAAACATGAAAGCATCGGTCGTAACATTTCCTCGATATACGGCTGAGACTCTTTGCCCAACGCAATGGCCATCGCAGCTAACCCTATAAGACCTCCTTTCCTTGAATTTGGATTATTAGATAAAGTAAAGTCTTGACCCAAGACTTTCAACAATTTCTTTAGTTGTGTTTCATTCTTAATATTATTGAAATCTCTGGCCATTCTTCAACAGTAAATAATCAGTAAATAAAACAAATTAGTTAATTATAAATAATTTTAATAAAAATAATATTAATCAAACAATCAATCAATCAGTTACACATTTTAACAATCAGCAAATTTGTCCAATTACTTAATTAACTATAAATATCATATTTTTGTAAATAACTAAAAAAAAGATTTATTATTAACTATTTTTCAGTTAATTAAGTTTTTATTAATTATTTTAGAAAATAATATTATATACAATAACAATAAAAATTTAATAATAATTTCTATCAAGTATTTGACCGATAAAAATGAAATTATTGTATTTATTATGTAAATTATTATAATCACACAAATTAACCGATTATTATATTTATTATAATCAATAATATGAACACAAAATCTCTTTAAATTATTAAATATAATAAGTCTTATATATAATTATCAAACATTAACTTCAATTAAGTGTCAATTTATACCTACTTTTCGATCTCAAGAGCGGCGGCTTTGCGTTTGTCATACAGTTTGTCATTCAATGCCCGAACACATGCACTACTCAATGGTGAATAGTCTTTGTCTGCCATCTCTCCACAAGATTATCTTCAATCACTTCCAACCAAATTTGTTATTGAATTTATGGGCATTTAGTTACAAATCAAATCATTTGACACAAAACATTGTTAATTGACATCAATTAAAAGCAGATTATCTTTTTGATAAAATGCTAATAATATAATAATAATAATCAATTTGTTACTGATTTGGATCAATCAAAAGTCATGTCTTAGTTGTTGACAAATCATTGTTTATCTCAACGTTTATCCCTTTAAACGCCTTTTTTATTGACATTTAAAGTGAAACTTAAGTACAAAACTGTAGAAAATATTGTGAAAAGTTCATGCATTGAATGCTTTGTATTGTTCACAACATTTGTTTTATTAATGAACTACACGTGTGTTTCGCAATAGTGATGATAACAACAAACACTTCAAACACTAAAATCAAATGATATTTTAAGACATTTGGTGACAATTGGAGTTAATTAAACCAAAGAGAACTCTTGATGATGAAGATTCTTGTTCTTCATCCAGACTTAGGCATTGGCGGCGCCGAGCGGTTGGTAGTGGACGCGGCTCTGGCCATGAAGTCATTGTCTCATGAGATACATATCGTGACCACACATCACGACCAGAATCACTGCTTTGAAGAGACAAGAAATGGTACTCTGAAGGTGACAGTAGTGGCCGATTGGATGCCGCGTTCAATATTTAATAAGTGTTACGCTTTGTGCGCGTATTTCCGTATGATTATTGCCGCCATTTATGTGGTATTCTTCTCGAAACTCGAGTTTGATCTCATATTTTGCGACCAAATCTCTGCGTGTATTCCTTTCATACGAATATCCAAAAAGAAAATTGTATTTTACTGTCACTTTCCGGATCAGTTACTTACTGACCGAAAAACATTCCTTAAAAAACTATACAGATATCCAATAGATTGGTTCGAGGAGTGGACAACAGGTTTGGCCGACACTATTGTCGTGAACTCTAAATTTACGGCTCAAGTCTTTAGGCAGACGTTTACACGTTTGTCACATAAAGATATAAAAGTTATCTATCCTTCACTTCACTTCACGACATTTGATCGTAAACTTGAAGGAGATCTCAATGATCTTAAACTCAAAGATATAGCAACTGTTTTCTTATCGATCAATCGATACGAGCGCAAGAAAAACATAGGTCTGGCCATTGAGGCGCTTAAAGAGCTTTACGATGATATGATTTCAACTAACCCTAACTTAAAAAAGACGGTACACTTAATAATTGTCGGCGGATTTGATCCGTTAGTTCAAGAGAATCGACAATATTATGATGAACTCCATGATAAAGCAATGAAATTGGGAATTGAAGACAAGATTTCATTTTTGAAGTCACCATCAGATGATAAAAAGCAACTTCTTCTCCATAGTTGTACAGCAGTTCTGTATACCCCTGATAACGAACACTTTGGTATCGTTCCACTGGAAGCCATGTATATGAATCGACCAGTAATAGCTATCAATAGCGGTGGTCCGCGGGAGACAGTCATTGACAATGAGACCGGATTTCTTTGTAAACCTGAACCTAAAGATTTTGCTAAAGCAATGAAAAAGTTTGTCGACGACCGAAGTCTGGCCCGAGAGATGGGTATTGCTGGACACGAACACGTCGTCAAGAGTTTCTCGTACGACAAGTTTGTACAACAGTTCAAAAATTTAATCAATGAATTACATATCCAATGATTGAATTATTTTTTGCAAATATAAATTTTATAAAAATTGGCTTAAATATGAATTTTTTTATTATTATTTTAATATAACTAAACATATTTTACAATCTAAAGCAATCAAATAGCTAATGATTTAAAATCAAACTTTTCTCAAATAAAATGAGAATAAAATCTTATAATAATTAGCAATTAAATTCATGATAACTATAAACTACTTCGCCTTTTCTGATTGTTTTGCATCAGTTTGTGGTAACGGCACGTCTTCAACAGGCAGTGTCTCTACATCACGATAATTGGGGAACTGTTCCCACGGAGATTGCAAATCAAATTTTCTGAATTCTTGTGTCATTTCCAAAGGCTCAATAACCACTCGTTTAACTTCATCGTCATATCGACACTAAAATTCATGTCAAATAGTCAGTAATAATATGGATTTACTGTAATCTATAAAATACCGGTACTAATGATTACCGGAATAATAACACTAGAGTTTTGTTTCACTTTGAATAACACTTCTTAAGACAAATACACTGAATATCATTGTAAAACAAAGTGAAAAAATAGTTTTGTATACAGACCTCTGTATAACCACTCAATGGAAAGTCTTTACGGAACGGATGTCCTTCAAAGCCATAATCAGTGAGAATACGTCTCATATCCGGATGATTAATAAAAAAGACGCCATACATATCCCAAACCTCTCTTTCATACCAATTGGCGCCTTTGAACAGACAAGTGATAGACTCGAGTGGTGTCAACTCATCAGCGTATGTCTTGACACGGATTCTTGAGTTATACCGAAGTGATAACAAATTATATACCACTTCAAACCTGTACTCACGAGTCGGTATATCGACACCACATATGTCAGACAGGTTTGTGAACTGAGCCGATTGGTTGTCCTTTAAGAAGTGTATCACAGGAACGACACCTTCGGGTGCTATCAATACTTCCAATTCATTGCTATGTGTTATCTGCACCTTCTGGACAAACTTCGGTAAACACTCGGCAACATAGCGACCAAATTCAATCAATTGTTGTCTTGTAGCCATATCTTGTGGCCGAACTGTCGGGTGTAACGGCTTTTCGATTGGTGTTTGCGGTGCAGTAGTACTTTGCGATCGAAATTGAGATACCAGTGATGGTAACACTTGTCGCCGCATTGGTGTTGATATCATATGAATTGGTTTCTGTAGTAATAATCTTAAGGATGCCATCGTTGGTCACAAATTAATGTCAATAATTGATATCACTTTTGATTCAATCCAAAGATTGTTTATTAATATTATAATATTTGTCCACTTATTACGTCATTTGTTTGTTTCATAAACTATTGATTTAATAACATTAAGTCTATTAAAATCAATGCAATATTTATTGATTATTGAAATTTATGTTTTGTTTGTTAGAAAATATCAAACCATTTGAATGTTTTGTTTATTTAATTAATTTTTACGAAAAATAATTATTTAATTAAACGTTACGTAATTCATATCATAGCTATCAATGATATGAATATTGCATTATTTGATTCACAAACTATAGTACAAAAAGGGAACAAATATATTGTAAATCAAATGTTGTATTAAATATATAATGAATTATCAGAGGGTTTATCAATATATATATAACACAACGTTATATGTGATCGACATTTAAGGTCATTCAGTGTTGACATCAATTAGTCTTTGATTTTGCCATTAAGTGATAACTCAAGAGATCACTCATTTGGTTATCATTTATACTATAATCGTATCAAACAATTAAACAAAGATGTTGTCAAATGTTATGCGATTGAGTCCATCATTTGCTCCCATTTACCGAAACAGCGGACGACTATTGTCGACAACACCGGTGACCTCTCAATCTGATCCAATCCAGAAGTTATTTGTCGACAAAATACGTGAATACAATCAAAAGGCAAAGTCAACTGCAGATGGATTAGTTGATGCAAATGAACGAGTGATGAAAGGACTTAAAGAAGACATGGATCGCGTGGCCAGAAGTTATAACATTAAAGATGAAAACAATTTGTCAAATCTTAACCTCAAGTTTGATGCAGAAATCAAATTGGATTCAATTAATTTGAAAGACTAATTGATTACAATCTTAATTAACAATTATTTTATTAGTATTTGTCTCCAAATTGATTGACTTTAATGTTTGATTTTTAGTCAATATATTATATATGTCTAAAAATTGTGTTTTTAGTTACTATTAATTAACTTTTCAAATAAATTGTTTGTTTTGAACACTAATTTCTAAATTTATTTGTAATTAAATATATAAATTAATAGAAATAATTAATTAGTCAGTATATGAAATAAATTATATTATGACAAAACAAAACGTGTTATAAAATTATGCAAATAAATGTTTTATTAAAATAATAGTTATTAAATTATAGATAAATATTTAATAAAAACGATTAAAAATTAAGAAATTAAAATATAAGTAATATAATGAAAATAAAAATTTTAAAAATAATTTCAATTAATATCACATTAAAAAAGTGATAAAATTGCTAAATAAATATTTTTAATTAGACATTTTTCTAAAATTATAGTCAATATTTAACAATTATATTTTTCATAACATTTTTAAAATTTAATACTTGTTACCCACAGGTATAAAAAAAAAGTTATTTTAATTAGTAAATAATTTATATATAACTTTTATTAATCAATATATATACTGTATATATATATCAGTGTTCTCCAATCCAGGAAAGTTATATATAAATATAATAATGTATTATATACAGCATACAAAAAATTAACCATACAAAATAGTTTTTACTTTTCATAATTTTCATCATTAACTCAGATTGTTTATCAAAAATTTATATATATTTATTTATTGAACTTATTATATATCTATTATATTAATATTATTTTTGATAAAGTACTTTTTTTATTTTAATAATTAAAAAGCTAAAAAATTGACAAGACATTAAAAATATAATTAAACTTAACTTTTAAAATCTAATTATTATATAATTAACTAAAATTAATAAGAGTTATAAAAGTTATATTTTTTAATTATTAAATTTATATATATAAATATATAGAATAATAATAAAATTAAGTAAATTGAATTAATGCTCATTATTATATATTATTGTTATTAGTATTACTAAATATTTATATAAAAATAGTTTTAAAAAATTAATTTATAAAATTCAAGTTTAAAAAATTGATAAAAACTAAGTGATTTGGCTATTAAATAATAATTATTGTAAATTAATTAAAAATATTCACTAAATTTTAATAATTTAAACTTCCAATAATCCAACAAATATTTGCAACAATTCATTTGATAAACAATCTGAGTTAATGATGAAAATTATGAAAAGTAAAAACTATTTTGTATGGTTAATTTTTTGTATGCTGTATATAATACATTATTATATTTATATATAACTTTCCTGGATTGGAGAACATTAATATATATATAGTATATATTGGTTACTTGAGGCTAAATAAACTGCAAAATTACATTATTTTATTATAATGTAATTTTTTATTACTATATCCAATGATTTCAACTTAATGTTTAAATATTATAAAAAGTATCATTATTTGAATGAAAAACTTTTTAATTGTTATTATTTATGAGAAGTTAAAATTATTATCTATTAATGTATTTATTATAATATAAACTTTTAAATAATAATTTTTTTGTTATCCGATAAATATGATTGTTTTATTAAACATTTTTTTCTTAATATTATGTGAAGTTTGATTAAGTAATATAAATAATAAATGCTTTATACTGACAAAATGATTGATATTTAATTTAATTGAATAACTAAATTGATTTAAATATTATTATAACTAATCGTAATTTGTTAGTTCAATGTTAGACGTAATGTATAACCCAATAGTGAAAATGAGTGGCAAATAGGCCTAACATATGATTGCGCTCTAAGTTATAAATGACAATAGTTTTGATGAGATGTTAGTCTTATTAGCGATTAGTTAGTGTTTAGTACTACACGACTATAGCATAGAGAGTATGATTGACTACACTTTACATGTAATCAAATTGAATTAGTTTTGATTTAATTTATAGTTAAAGACTTCGGGTTTTTAATACCAAAAGACTTTATTGATCACTAAGAAGTGTCAATTATATCATATAAATAGTTGTCACTTGATTTGGTCACTGTTAAACATGTTACACGTTTTGGCGCCCAAAGTCAATGGTACCAAAAGACAAAAGTCTAACAAAGATATGACACCTAAGAGGCAAAAGACAAAAAACAAAGAGTTGTCGACACCGACGATGTCTGTTGATTTGTTGACACCGACCAGTCGTCACACTTCCCGGTGCTCTCCGTTGCCGAACTTTAGTTGGGCCGACGCTAGAGAAGTATGGGATCTGATGATTAATAAAGACACTGTTTATACGCGAAACGCACTGATGCTTCACAGACATCCTTCACTTCAGGCAAGAATGAGATCCATTCTTATGGATTGGTTAAGTGAAGTGTGCGAAGTATATCGTCTTAATCGCGACACTTATTATCTGTGCATTGATTTTATTGATCGCTATCTGTCCTATCAATCGGAAGTTCCCAAACAACAGCTCCAATTGATAGGTATTACCTGTTTATTCATTGCCGCTAAGGTTGAGGAGATATATCCACCAAAAATGAGTGAATTTGCGTACGTAACGGACGGTGCGTGCATTGAACCAGAGATCACAACCAAAGAACTAGTCATTTTGAAGTCTCTTAAATGGGATTTGTGTCCAATGACTGCCAACAATTGGCTCACCGTTTATATGCAACTCTACGCTATTCACGAAAAGGAAAACTCTTTGCGAAGAGACGGCGACGCCTTTCTTATCCCTGAATATCAGTCAAAACTATTCGCCCAAATCGCACATCTGGTCGACCTCTGTATCCTCGACATCGGATCGTTGACATATCAGTACTCAATAATAGCCGCCGCAGCGCTCTATCACTTTACAAGTGAAGAAGTTGTCTTTCAGTGCACAGGTATATAGCTTTTTATCATTTCTATTGTATTGATGTTTAACTCAATTGACCACTTCTTAACAGCCATTAAGATGCAAGATATGCGCGATTGTGTTATTTGGATGATTCCGTTTGCATTGGCTGTCAAAGAGGATGGCTTTGAAAACCCAAAGCTTCTTCAGCAAACTAAGAGCGATGACTCGCAACCATTTAATTACATTCAATGCCATAGCGTTGATCTACAACTTCTGGTAAATTAATGATTTGACTTTTTATTGATTATGATTGTCTGATAAGAAAGACATTTATAACAATTGTATATTAAATGTAATGATTTGTTGAAACACTAGGAAAAAGCTCATCTGAAGCAAAGTCAAACAAAATGTGAATATTTGGACGATTCTGAGTCATTGTCATCGTCGTCGTCATCAGTTAGTAGTCCAGTGGCCACCCGTACCCGTCGGTCCACTATTTTGACACCACCAAGAAGTAGTTCAAAACGTTGCTAATCATTTGATTGCAATTTAACACCAAATTTTGTGTTTGAAATCAAATAATTATTTTTAATTTATTATTTATACTGTAATCGCTGTCAAAGCCATCCTCAAAGTCCTAGTCTTTTATCAAATTTACAAAATGTTTACAAACTTTTTAATTCTTGTCCTCAATTGGTATTTATAATGGCTTTGGTCTTTAAGACTTTTTAAACTATTTAATATTTATTTCAGTTTTTATGAGCTTTTATTTCAATTAAAGTTTTAATGAATACTGCCATTAATGCTCAAGACGTTAGACATATCATATTAAGACTGAACTTACGGTTATGGTGTTTATCCGTATATTTTAATAATTTATTATTTTTGGGACTAATTTTATACAATTTATTTTATTATTATACACAATATTTTTGATATTTAATCCAAATAATAAAATAAATGCAAAACCAAACATTAAATTGAAGTTATTATCAATTCATACGATTGCTTTTAAAACGTGAAACACTTTTCTTTGTTGACTTATTTTCTGTTGTATTCATCACTTGAGACCAATCAATGTCTACATTACGCTCTTTGACCTCATTTTTAAAGGCTAACTCATCACTGATTTCATCGGATTTTTCTATTAAATTTGGCGATTCTGTTGTTTTAACGGAAGACTTGTTTTCATTAAACGTGTCGAAAGTTTTAACATTTGGTGCAAAAGAGACACTTTTTTTAAGTATTGACTTCGGCTCTGATTTTACTTCATTTTTTTCTTCGATTTCCATTTTACTTAATCTTTCATTTATTTCTTTATCTTCTGTCTGTTTCATCGATTTTTGTTTAAACTTATATTCCTGAAGACGTCTTTTATGCTCTTCTTTCCATTTCTTTTCTTTTTCTTCATCATATTCTTCGACAATCTCAACAAACTCTTGATTTTCTTCATTGATTTGTTGTGTAAATTCCAACCACTTCTTGAGATTGTCTTTCTCTTTATTCAAATCATCGATCATTTTATGGCAACTTTGAAGTCTTCGGCTAACAATTTCTTTGGCCTGTTTTGCTGATCTCTCAACAAAATAATTATCACCCAATAAAACTAATATTTCATTTGTATGTTTGATAAATCCTGGCATAAAAGCCAGATCTGATCCGGCAATCGGTACCATCACTTCATGTGTTGTCCGATCGGTAATTGTGGTCAATCTGTTATCTAAAGCCTCATAATCTTTCAAAAACTTGTTCCACTGTTGTATCTTTTGGTCACAAATGCTAACATCTTCATTGGTTTTCTCATACAATCTGTTCTTTTGATTTAAAGACATCTTCAGTCTGAAGACTTCATAAGATTTCAAATGAACACTAAATGTGAGAAAATGTAAACAAAACCAAAACAAAGTCACGTGTTTTACAATTAGTTGTATTTGTTTATAGAAAGCAATGCTTGAATTGCGTGCAAAACGTCAACAAATGCTTTCAAAAGTTATTTTAATATTAATATTCAAGAGTTTGATATAAAAGCCGACAAAATGTCATTATTTTCATCTGTTTTGGGATTAAATTCACAACTAATAAGAAATGTTTGGCAAATAACGAGACAAACATATTTGTTACCATCGATGGTCACTATTGAACAGAAAAGAAATGCTTTTAAAAATGCAAAGACTGTGAAGAGACGCAAAACACATCCCTTTCATTGGTGGCCAAGAGTTAGACGAAGAACTGACTTTCCTTTTAAAACTAATATCACTCATGAAAATCAAAAGTTTGTCGACGAGTATATCAAAGATAAATATGGAATTGATTCAACTGAAAGCCCACTCAAAGGAATCGATTTGAAACGAGAAGAATGGACTGAAGAATCACAAAGATGTGGAGTTATTGCCCGAAAGATTGGTCACTACCCGATGTGGACAAAGAGTGGCAAACGATTGCTCACCACTGTTGTACAAATAGTGGATAATCATGTAATTAAATACTACAGTCCTGAGGAATGGGAGCAAAATAGTCGATCATTTTATAAATATCATCGCAACTTTGGAATGGGTGTTTGTATAGTCGGTGCCGAAAGTACTGATCCCCGAAATTTTACCGCTGCTTATAGAGGATTATTTACTGAGGCCGGTGTTATGCCTAAGTCACGACTGTCCCGATTCTTTGTCACACCAAATGCAAAGCTGGCGCCGGGAACTTCTTTAACAGCAATGCACTATCGGGTCGGCGATTATGTGGATGTTTGGGGCAAAACCATAGATCGAGGCTTTCAAGGGGTTATAGTTAGGTGGGGTTTCAAAGGACAAGACAAATATAGAGGTGTCACCAAAGCTCACAGAAGAATTGGTTCTATAGGAAGAAGCAGAAAATTGATGGTTTTGAAGGGCCGTAAAATGCCTGGACATATGGGCAATGAACGACGGGTTCTTAAAGGGTTAAAAATTTGGAGAATTAATACTAAACATAATGTTATTTGGATTCACGGACCTGCTATACCTGGTCCTTGTCATGGATGGGTCTACTTATATGATTCACGAATCCCAGACAAGTAATATAAAAAATATATTAGTATTTAATTTTATTTATTTTTAAAAATATTTTATTGAATAGAGAATTAACGGCAGAAAATTCGCCGCCATTTCCCACATATTATGCCGAACATAGTAATGAAGAGCTTCCTGAAGATCTTTATGATAAAGATTTACAATCATTTGATTCGCCGACCATTATATTTGAAGAGACAGAAGCAGAGCGTAAGGCAGCCTTAGCGGCGGCCAAAGCCACTAAAAAGGCTAAAATCGCTAAAATTCGTTAATTTTATGTCAATATTTGATTTGAAGAAAGTTTATTACTTTGTGGTAATATTAACATTTAATTTATAGTATAATTAAATACATTATATAAGTTATTGACACAAACTTACAAATTAGTCATTAAATAATTTCATTGCAAATTACCGGTACATTGATTTGATTTATCAATACAACCGATGGTTCATTTCTATTACCATAAAATTTAATTATATTGTATTATTATAATACATTTTATTTAGTTCTAAAAAACATAACAATTGTGTATTGAAAACATGATTTTTAAAACTACCGGTAAAATGAATTACTTTTTATATTGCATATTAATTACTCGCAAATCATATCATTATTTTAAATAACTGATATATATATTATTAGATTAATTCTAATACATGAACCTATTTAGTGACGCTATGCATACCATGTGCTAAATAATCTACATTTCCTGAAGTAACTCCTGCCATACTTATACGTCCATCTTTAGTCAGGTAAACACTGAACTCTTTGGTAAGGCGTTCCACTTGATCCTTATCCATACCTGTAAAGCAAAACATACCAATTTGGTCGGTAATGTGCTGCCAATTCTTTGTCGAGCCCTCTCTCTTGAGTCCGTCTCTAAGTTTAGTTCGGACCGAAATTATACGATCAGCCATTCCTTTGACATCCTTAAGCCATTGAGCTCTAAGTTCGGGATCATTCATAACAAGTGCTGCTATTCTTGCGCCGTGAATGGGAGGGTTTGAATATAACTGTTAAGGAAACCCATAATAATCATAATTATATCAAATTGTTTATCAGATGTAAATACCGGTCTAATAATGATTTTGATCTGAGACATCACTTTTTCCTTTTCCTCTTTAGATGCCGTAACCAAACTGAAGGCACCTACTCTTTCAGCATATAAACCCATATTCTTAGCAAAAGATTGAGCCAAAGCTATTTGGTGTCCGTCATCAATGAACTGTCGCAAAGCAGTGGCATCTCTATCAATGTCTCCGGTGGCAAATCCCTGATAAGCCATATCTATGAATGGAAACAGATTTCTCTGTTTCATAACTTTGGATATCTCTCTCCATTGTTCCGGCTTTTCATCAAATTTAATTCATTAATAGTTACCAATAAATACAATATTTATACACACTTTTGGATCGACTCCCGTCGGATTGTGAGCACATGCATGCAAAAGAACAACAGATTTTTCGGGTATTTTAGCCATATCTTGAAGTGCACCGTTAAAATCAAATCCACATGTCTTCGGGTCATAATATCGATATTGTTTGACTGCAAATCCCGCTTTTTTAAACAATGGGATGTGATTACCCCACGTTGGGGTCGGCATATAGACCTCTTTGGGTCCGTTGTGGAAATCTCTTAGAAAGTTTGCGCCTAACATTAAAGAACCGGTTCCAGAGATGCCTTGAACTGTAGCATTCTTGAGATATTAAGATATTAACTACTTTTAGTCAATCAATTATGAAATGTCAAACAACATACCAATCCTTCTTTAATAACTCGACTATTTTCTCCAAAGGCTAGTTTGGCCGCTGCGGCAGTAAATTCAGCCAAACCACTGATCGGCAAATACTCTTTGTCCAAATTTTTACTTTTTAATATTTCTTCTGCTTTCAGAACAGATGGCAATAGATATGGTTTACTATTATCATCTCTATAAGCACCGACACCTAAATTGATTTTCTTAGGATTGGTATCTTTCTTGTAAGTCTCAGTAACACCAAGAATGGCATCGGGCGGACCCATCTCGACGTGAGACCACCAACAGCTAATCAATTAGATATTTATTATCATTTTATAAACCAAAACTTGTCATTCAATGTGTTACTACTTACTGTTGATGTCTGACCAGATTGACAGTCGGTGTTATCGCTGCCAACGATATTCTTGTATTCATATTCGACACTAACTTCAGAGTTGCCATAACTGAGCGTTTGGTTGACTTTGCGGACAAATGAGACAATCAATTGTGTCAAATGTGTGGAAAGTTTTCAACAAACAGTTTGTCTCAATAGTTAAGACAAGTATAGACTCAATTGAAAGCAATTTATTTGATATTTACTGAAATAGTTATCAAAAAAATTGATCTCAAGTTTGAAGTCAAGGACAGACTGACGACTGAGACATAAGCAGTGCTTAACAGTCACTACAGTAATGCCTCTAACGATGACTTCAAACAAAACATTTAAATTTACTATACATTGTATATTCATTCATATTATTCTATAATAATATTATTAATATTCAATACATTGCACTTGGATTGCAATTATTGTTAATACATTACAATCACTTAATATACAGTATTTTATATTTAATATTTTATTAATTAATTGATAATCATTTGTAAATATTAAATTAATAATACACTAAATTTATAACAAAAATATTCTTAATATTAGTTAAAAAACTAAAATTACCTGAAATATTATTAATAAAATTTTTAGTTGTATAATACAACTTGTATTCATTTGTATATTTAATTTTCTGTAAATTATTTTTTTTATTAAACCATATGTCTTATGTTATGTAATTTATTTATACTGTAAATTAAGTTATCGGTCATATAAAATAATAAAATAAAATTTAATTATAATTACAATTATATTTATTTTTAAAATCATTATTAAATTAATCAATAATTTCAAAAACAAAATTTATTATAAATTATTTTCTTCTTTGTTTTCTTTTATTGTCCTTTTTATGATTACTCTTGTGATTACTCTTTCGTTTCTTTTTATGTGTCGATCTTTTTCTTTTTTTATGTCTCGATGAAGAAGAAGATGATGATGAAGTGGATGAACTATTAGTATCACTACTGGAACTACTAGTGGATGATTTTTCATCGAGTAATGCCTTCAATTGTTCCACTTTTGATAATTGTTTTTCTTTATCTTCATTTTGTTTGATATAATCATACATTGGGTCTTCGTGTATATATCTGAATTGTTCCGATTCTTTATTGCCACTCAAAAACAATGGACATTCTTTATCTCCGGTTCGATGTCCATAAGTCTTACATCTCCAGCACTTCATAACCTTAACCTCTTTGCCTAATGGCATCCAAAGACCTTTTTTCGGTGCGTGAGCTAAGAAGTCACGGGCGGCCGAATTCTCGGGCAGATCTGGAATGCAATCTTCGGGTCGTTCCTCTTCCTCTTTGATAAAACCCGGTGGCGGCGCTTCGTAACTATTGATATAAAACAATGACATCTATAGTTGACATCAATTTATAAACAAATATCTTTAAAAATACAATGTATTGTAATGTTTAATGGCTTCAACCAGTTTTGAGTCGAAACCTGTTTTCTTGGTATTGTTATCTTCATCGACACGACTGTCCTTTCTATTGTGTGACCGACGGTTTCGACTTGAATTCGATGACGACATGAGTGGTCAATGTTTGACGTATTTATGATCTCATGAAGAGGTGATCCCAAAGTAGACAAGCGATACACCAATTGGTTGAACGCATGCGTCGATCACTCAAACAATCATTTGTTGTTTGTTTGCATTCAAACCACTTCTCAATTATTGTCCGACAAATCAGTTGACGTCTCAAACCATTTGTCGACAAAACTTTCACCACTTCTCACATCAATAATTATGGTATGTCTCGACAATTGTCAATGATTTTTGTATTAATAACTTTTAAAAGTGATTTGTTTTCTTAATTTTTATTTGAATAACAATTTTTGTTTTTATCGCCGATAATCTATGATTGATATATCTTTGATGATAATTAACCACAAGATTTATAATTTAACTAATTATAGGCAGACACAGATGAGATATTGAAGCGGATCCAGGCGTCACATAAAGGTGTGATTGGGACGATTGTGGTCGACTCGGAGGGTGTCGTCATAAAGGCAACAATACCTGATAGTCCAGACATCCAACAATTATATGGAGTGACAATCAGTCAAATGGTCGATAGGGCTAAACAGGCCCTCAAAGACAACGATGAGCTGACATTCCTCAAGATTAAGACCAAAAAACATGAATTCATTGTCGTTCCCGGTATTGGTTTTAGTTATTACTCGTAAAATTAACACTCATTTTAATACATGATTTATTTAATAACAATTTTCAAATATTATGTCAAATTAAACATTGAAACCAAAATTTAAATCAAAAAATATATTAACGAATCGACATTAAAATTAATTATTAGTTTTTACAACTTTGCACTTACGGTAGTCTTTAAAAACAACTGAAATTTTAATTATCGTTTACAATAATTTTGATTTTACTTTTGGATTCATTGGACAATTTTACCCAAAATTGACTCTTTAATAATTATTGTAAAAATTGAAGACATTTTGGGATTTCAATGTTTAATTGTACCTTAAGTTTTATGTTATGTTTAAGTTTTATGTACCTTATGTTTAATATTTATAGGAAATATTTATTGATATTATTTTTTATTTCTATTTAATTTTAATATACTGTTAGATATTTAATACTCAATATTTTTTATTTAAACAGATAAGGACTATGTGTTGATAACAGTAATCAATCCAAACGAGTCCAACGCCTAAAATCTTGGTTTTTATTAGTTTTCTGTATTTATAAATTTAGTTTTTTGTGTGAATATTTTGGCGAAAATTATTTTTAAATAATCATTTATTAAATAATTCAATTATTACTGAGATTAATAACTGTTAATACTTTATTTATACTAAAATCCAATTTTTTTATATCCATTTATTGATTACATGTAATTATGAAATGATAACTATTCCTCACGAATAGACTCTAAGAACTTTTGATATGATTGTTCGTCCATAAGTTTGTCTATTTCTTGAGGTTTAGACAATTCAATTTTAAAAAGCCATCCCTCGTCATAACACGAAGTATTGACCATACCTTCAATTCAAATAACATTTATTAATTAACAATTATTTGATTACAATCGCAAACAATATCAAACCCGGTTTGTCTTCCAGTTTTTCATTGATTTGAACGATACGACCGGAAACGGGAGTGAATATCTCTGACGCGGCCTTAACACTCTCGACGGCTCCCACTTCATCTACAAAGATATAATTGATATTTTATTCAAATGTTACTTAAAACCGGTATTTTTTTATTAAAAAAAGTCCAACCATTTTGATCATAACTTGTGTCCACATCTGGCAGTTGTACGTACACTACATCTCCGAGTGCTTCTTCGGCATACTTTGAGATTCCGACGGTTCCTACCTTTTTGGTTGAGTCTAATGAAACCCATTCGTGTTTATCACTGTAACGAAGATCTAAATGAAATAAAAAATTATTAAAAATTGAATTATCGGTAATGGATTGGTGTTATGTATACAGATATATACAATATATAAGATATTATTTGTGGTCAAAAATTAAAGGCAATTAAAGTTTATTAAAGTATTACTTATTTTTAAAAATATATTGTATATTACAGTATACAGTGTATAATTTACATACAATTTGTATAATTTATATAACTGTAGGTTACATGTTATGTTAGTTTAATAATAATTTTAAATAACTTTATAATTTTCAAATTATTGACCACTTGTTATAATATTTGCTATCAATGCCCACACTTATAGTCACTAATTATTAGTATTACAAATCAATAATTATTAATACCTGACAAAAGTCTGATCTGTTGATTGGCAGCCAAATTGTAATTGTTGTGTAATTTATAAGTATTGGACAAAACTTTTATCACTTGATTTACATTTGTTTTCCAGAGACGACTTCTACAGAAAGTGCTGACAATTGACATTCTTAGAGACAATTTGTGGTAACTTTGTTGCTATCAAACCAATGCTATTATAAGAGTTGTTTAATGAATGCAAATATCAAATAAATTTAAAAGATAAGACACAATTCAAGGACCAAATAAATGCCGACAAACTCGTTAAGTAAGGCTTCACATGACTACCAATGAGATGATGAGTGCCTCAGAGTCTTCACTGAGAGTCTGATCGTTAGTGTTGTGGGAAGGGATGCGCATAACAGTGCTCTACAACCATCTCCTTTGCCACTCATGTGGTGAAAGTCAGCTGATCTATGATGAAATAAATGTGTTTTCAATAGTAAACAATTTCATGTCCTTTTACACCAATTTAATGTCATTTAAGTGATAATTAACTGCAAATGTTGTTGAAATTAAATCAAACATTACTGTCTTTAAAGACAGTGTCCAAAGTGAGACAATTAAATGCAATCCAAGCCATCCAAGTCTACAGATATAGCGACAAAAAGGTTGAATCTTATTTCAGTGCAATCGGTGGTCAAACTGATGAACCGCCACCTGATCTCAGTCCTCAACAGGTATTATATTCTATAAGATAACTATTTTAGTCATTTGTCACTTAATTAGTGGATTACATAAACAAATATATTTTTTATCATATAATACTCAATAAATTGATTAATAAACGGATTGATTGATAAACAGGTGAACACAATATTGAGGACAAATGAGACGAGAATTGAGAAAAGCGTTTCAAACGTTAAACTTATTGAATGCAATCAATTGGCTTCAAATCATCCGATTGAAGATCGACTAAGAATATCAAGAATACATAGCAATAGCAATGAATGCCGTCTTTCAGATTCTATAGTTATGGCAGTATTTGATGGACACGGAGGTGGTTCTTGTGCTGACATAATATCTCGTCGACTCTTTCATTATATAGCTTTGGCATTAAATGCAAAGACAGAATCAATTGACTTAAATCAATTGAATCATTTGGTTGAAGATCTTTTCTATTGTCCCAATCCTTACCATAATATAACTCACAAATATGAGGACAGAGCGGCTGAATATTTAAAGAAACATCTCTTAGAATCAGAACAAAGAATTTTAGATAAATTTACAAAAGATTTTAAGCCAAGAGATGATATATCGAGTGCTTTGGAAACTGCTTTCCTCAGATGTGACAGTGATTTAAGCGATGAAATTGAACACAATTTGTTGTGTTCTTCGTCTAACACTTTACTTCATTATTATCTATCTCTTGCTGTCAGTGGTTGTTGTGTTACTCTTATTCTTATTCATAACAATATTGTTTACATTGCATCCACCGGTTGGTCTCTGATCTAAACTTTGATGATTGTTAATATTTAATTAATATTTATTAATTAGATTATTAATATTTTAGGCGATTGTCGAGCAGTTCTTGGTCTAACTTCTGGTTTATCAACCGGAAAACCAACGGTGAAGACAATTGATTTATCTAAAGAGCATAACAGTGACAACATTTCTGAACTAAAACGAGTCTTTTCAGAACATCCAAAGAGTGAACAAAATAATATTATTAGAAATGAGAGACTTTTGGGGCAATTAATGCCATTAAGAGCTTTCGGTGACTTTAGCTTTAAATGGAGTATTGATAAACTTAAAAGATTAGGTCTGACCCGTGCTTTTGGCTCACATATCATACCATCTTATTATATGACACCTCCTTATCTGACCTGTAAACCTGATGTTGAAGTATTACAACTCAAAGAGATTGAAGAATACGATAAAAAATTTATCGTATTAGCCACGGATGGTCTTTGGGAACACTTTGAGGCCAATAGAAAAGTAGTCAAATGTGTTAAAAAATATATGAAAAGATTGGATAAACAAAAGTCAAGTGACTCTAATAATGATAAAATTAGTTTTAAAGAAAACACATTACTTAGTAATATATGTGACCTCTTGAAGGACAGAGCAAAGCCTGTCATTAATTCATTTGACACAATCACTCGAGACGATGACTTAATTGAAGACACAAACTGTGCCACACATCTAATTAGGACATCATTGGGTGACATCCCTTCAAATGATACTAATTTAGATCAATATCAGCAACAATTGCAACGACACACACGGCTTGTCACTTATCTAACTCTTCCGCAATCAGTGGTCCGTAATTTTAGAGACGATATATCATTGATTGTAATTGACTTAAAATAATTCTCAAAAACACTAGTCTTACGAAATATTAAATTATTTTAATTTCATTTCGTTTTTAAAAAATATATTCACAAAACTTATAATACAAACAATCATATTATACATAAATTTTAAAATACGACTTACAGTACTGTAAATTAATAAATAAAAAGTTTACAACAAAATAAAACAAACAAATATTTAAAGGGTAGACAAATGTATAAAATGTTTCTTATTCTTGTTTTTCATGTTCATCATCGTCTTCATCGTTGTCTTCATCTTTAGCGTCAAAAATATCGGAACAACAAGTTGTATATATAATGATTGACAAGAAAGCGCCGGGAACTCCAAAAAGTAGAATTGTTAGGACAGGGTTTCCGTAATACATACTAACAAATGAGGTAATGGTGTCGAAAGCCATTCTCTGAATTCGATGCCAAAACCTATCGCCACCCAAAGCCTATCACAACAAACGGGTGTTATTTTTTAGTTAACAGTAATTAAAAAAAATAATAAAAAATTACATTTATTTTGGACGAATCGTTTGTTAAATTATCCAAAAACGATATAATATTTTGACTGTTTAGTTGGCCATCAATTAAGTAATATTGAAGTGTAGTTGAATTGATGACAATAATGTTAGGCAATGGTGTTATCGTACGAATTGCTATCGAATTAATTGTGGCCACATCTGGAGTCCAACCAATTATGAGATCATTGATATTGGGATAACTATAAGCAATTGATTCCATCAAATCATAAAACCATTTGTGCTTTGGATTCACTTTATTGGATGACTTGTATTCTTCAATTAAAGCAATCACTAAATATTTTCCTATTTTTATCAACAATTACCGGTAATTAATATATTATAGACTTTAAACTATGATAACAATTAATATACTGACGAGTTTGAAGAAGTAAATTGAAGTTACTGTTAGTAATCCTAACAAATTGTGCAAATCGTTGTAATTTTATCCATTCCTCCAGTTGGGCTTCATTTTCATCTAATAGTTAAATAACAAATTATATATTTTTTAATAATAAAAATATTTCGACTAATTGTTTCATTTGTTACCAAATTTTTTATAATAGTTTTTGGCTTTTAATGAATAAATTCCGTCAGAAAATGGATTGCATTTGAGTGAAGAATAATAAAACCAATCAATGCTTTGATAATTGGTTGCAATTTTAGTGTAATTTTCATTAACAGTGGAATCAAAGTTAACAAACAAGACATCGTGTGTTTGTCTGAGAGCGTCGATATGCGAGCAATCGGTGATATGTCTGACGGGCGGACCATTGACTCGGAGGGCAAAGTCAATCATTTCCTTCTTAGTTCTTTCGCCTCGAAATTCAAATCGTTTATCTTTATTAATGTATAAAATGGTTGGAAAGCCTTTAATGTTGAAGTGAGTGGAAAGTGTGGTATATTTGGTGCAATCAACTCTTCCCACATAAATTTCCTTATCTTCATTGTGGATCTGTTGTGCCACTTGACCCCAAACTGGTTCTAGTTGTTGACAATGATAGCACCATGGTGCATAAAACAATACTAAAAACGATCGCCACTCGCCCTCCCGGTTCAATACTTCGAGGAAGCGCTCGTTCAACTCAATCACCCGATTGCTACCAATTGAGACCAATTGAGTGATACATAACCATAACAAGCATTCAAACACTTGTTTGGCATTCATTTGATCCGTTTATCTGTTTGATGATTTGATTACAATTTTACCGATACATAACCAATCACTTGACCGCAAATAACTACAATTATCACATCAATTGGGTTTTATATATTCCAAGAATCCATTGTTAACGACATCTATCGTTACAAACCATAGGAACAGCTCTTTAACGCACTGTTTGTCTGTTTTAGCGCTAATGTTGTCTCCAAACGATAATTCAATGCATTTAACAAATATTTCACAGATTTCTATAGTAATGTCAAACATATTATATAATATGTTATCAATAAGTGACGTAAATAGACATTTGAGAGACAAAACAGTTGCAGAATATTCTGTTATCAAAAATACAGTTATTTTTGTTACTTCAAAGTTGTATTAAATTTTTAATTTATTTAATAAAATTTTATATAATTAATTTGATAAACACAACTAATGATTAATTTCAATTACCGGTATATAAATTTAAGTTTATATATTTTATTATATTTATTGACAGTTTATTCATAAAATTTTCAGCTTATTTTCTTAAAATTTTATAATAAAGTCTACTTTATAATGTAGATATTAATGTACAATATTAACCAATTTTTGACTATTTCTATGAAAAGTTTTAAAAAATATTTTAGGAAAGTCCTAACTTTCTTAAAAATTTTCTGTAAGTTTTTTTTATTGATTATAAAGAAATTATTTTAAAAATAGATTAGACTTAAATTTTGTTTTAAAACACATTTAAATATTATTAATAATAATTAATTTAAAAAATAAGTAAATACTTAATAAAAGTTTGCTATTCAATACTTTATTATACTATGGTATAATTGAAAGTTACCTCAACTCTAATTGTATTAAATGTATTAAATGTTATAAAAACTTTTTTAACTTATGATAAAATGTTAATTAATTATACTGTAATATAAAGGATGTCTTTTATCTATCAGTTGTATGTCTCACAAGTTTTCTAATGAATTTGCAATAAATATTAAAAAGTTTTTATCACTACATTGTATTAATATTAATAGTATTGCAGTTTTAATGCATTACACATATAGTACAGACAGACATACAGTGTGTGTGAATTGAATGATAAAGTAAACGAAACAAACAATTTATACGGTATTTGTGTGCAAACATGTGGCACATCATTGACATCACATTTAGTACAGTATTATAGCAGTGATTGCATTACACAACAGTTTAATCATTATTTTAATGCATTGGATGTGAAATAGCCGTCAATTGAGTGAATGTTTAACTCATTTAATATCTATATATTTCATACATTTTTATTAATCAATTGGAATTCAATTTCTAATAATTATAGTGTTATTCAACTGATAAGTCATTAAAACACGTTTTCATATATTGTTTTCAATTTATTATCACTTATTTGAAGCACTGATTGATATTAGAGGCAAACATATTGTCATTAATTGTCGAAACAAATAAATGATGTCTGAAGTGAACAACATTGAGGTTATTAGTGACCAATTGGGTGATCAAAAGTTAAGTAAAGAAGTTAATAATGACGTGAACGGAGACGAAGACAAAGTTGATCCGTGGAATGTGTGCTCCAATTCAGCGACGGGTGTCGACTACGACAAACTGATCGGTAATAATAATAATGAAGACAATTGGATCCAATGAATACTTATCATTTAATTTGTCTTTTAGTACGATTTGGTTGCAGTAAACTAACGGATGATATTCTCCAAAGAATGGAAACACTGACAAACCAAAGGGTACATCACTTCTTGCGAAGAAAGATATTCTTCTCTCATCGCGATCTTCACGTGATTTTAAAACGATATGAAGAGAAACAGCCATTCTTTTTGTACACAGGAAGAGGTCCTTCATCTTCAGCTTTACATTTGGGACATTTGATACCATTTATATTCACTAAATGGCTTCAGGAGACCTTCAATGTACCGCTTGTCATACAAATGACTGACGACGAGAAATATTTATGGAAAGGATTGTCTATCGATGAGATCAAGAAAGCGACCAAAGAAAACATCAAAGACATCATTGCAATGGGTTTTGATGTCAATAAAACATTTATCTTTTCCGACCTCTCTTTTATTGGGTTTGTTTTTATTTTTATATTAATATAACTTATGATATATTATATAAATTTTGTTTATTTTTACTAAAAACTCATTTAAAGATAAATATCTTAATATTTATTATTTTTATTTACAGCAAATGTCCGGCTTTTTATGAAAACATAATTAAAGTTCAGAGGAGTGTAACCTTCAATCAGGTTAAGGGAATATTTGGTTTCGGCGACAGTGACTGTATCGGCAAAATTGGATTTCCGGCCATTCAGGCCGCGCCTTCATTTAGCTCATCGTTTCCTTTTATTTTTAAAGAAAAGAAGGACATACCGGTTCTGATACCGTGTGCTATAGATCAGGACCCGTACTTCCGTATGACTCGAGACGTGGCACCGAAACTGTCGAAACCGAAGCCGGCATTAATTCATTCGACATTTTTACCTGCACTGACCGGTGCTCAGACCAAAATGAGTGCCTCTGACCCAAACAACTCGATTTTCCTCACAGACAGTGCAAACCAAATCAAAAATAAAATCAATAGATATGCTTTTTCTGGAGGCGGTGCCACTATTGATGAGCACCGGGCAAATGGAGGCAACTGTGATATTGACATAGCGTTTCAATATCTCAAGTTTTTCCTCGAGGATGACAATCGTTTGGAACAATATAGAACTGATTATAGCAGCGGACAACTATTGACAGGTGATCTCAAGAAAGAACTGATTGGTATAATTCAAAAAATAGTGTCACAACATCAGGAAAATCGTAAAAAAGTAACCGACGAAATGGTCGATCAGTTTATGGCTTTAAGAAATTTAAATTTTTGATTTTAATGTTAATTTTTAAATTATTGTCTTATACTACATAATTATTTTATTATAACTTATTTGCAATTAAAGTTATATACAATTTAAAAATAACAATATATATATTTATTTATATATACAGTTTAAATTATTGTATAATTTTTAAAACTAGACAAAATAATTTTCTTAAAATTTGTGATCTTAATTAAGTACTAAATTATTGTATTTATTTCTTTGGAAAAAATATAAAAAAGAAATTTTGTAAATTAATAAATGTAAAAATCTTTACAAATAATACTAGTAAATAATTTTTTAAATTACTCAATAGTTGACTATTTTATTAAATTTAATAATAATATTTGTTATATTGTCCATAATACTTATAACAGGGATAATAATATTTTCCATAATTTCCATAAGTATAAGATCCGTATTTGTAATAACTACCAGTTTTGTAATAATCTAAAAACATGTTAATTGTAAAAATGATTAAATTATCATGGTCAATTAAAATTAAATCTGTTTGTTTTTACCTGAACATTTATAATAGAGATCATAATAATTATAATAGTCATCGTAGTCTGAATAGTAATCGTGTCCATAACCGCTATAGTATTTTCCATATCCATAGCCACCATAACCTCCATAACCTCCATAACCTCCATAACCTCCATACCCACCATAGCTTCCATATCCACTGTAATATGTGGCCAACGATACATTGAATAATGCAATGATCATCAGTAGAATGTAAAACTGTTTTTTTTAAAATAATGATAATATAATTTAAAAATCACAAAAACAAAATCACAATTTTATAATACCATTGATTTCATGATTGTATTTTTTATAATTTAAAATTTATATTAATATAATAAAATTTAACACTTTTTTGCAATGTATAATATTTATGCAAATTTTTGTTATATTTATATATTTGTGGTCCGGAAATGATTTCAATTGATGAGAGTGTCTTAAAAATTATATTTCTTATATCTGATATATTATTCAAAGTCATTATTAATTGATTTGTTATTGTTTTAAAAGTAAAGTTATTGATTTAAAGGATGTGAATGACATTTTTGACATTATTAAAATTTAATTAGTAATTTAAAATAAATAAATATATTTGTTTATTGAATTAACATGTATAATATTTATATTAAGTTAATAATTACTATTATTAATTTAATAATATGTATATATAGTAAAAACATATACTTATACACAATATACAGTAGTTTTATACCTGTATTATAATATAAAGATGTTTTCGTGATATAAAACTATTACACAAAGTTTAAGCCTTGTTTTTAACTTTATATATAATTACTTTTTTTATAGCATTGAATGTTAACTTTAATTGTTTTTACAATAATATAATAATGATTTATTTTTTATTAAATTTTATATAAGATGCTGGATAATTAAATAACATCCATCAATAAATATTTATAAAAACAATATTATTATAAGTTAAGGTTATAATTTATTAATATTATATTATAAAGTTGGTTAAAATAAAAATTGTTATCTGATTTCTATTAAATCATATCTATGGCTATTTGAGTAATTTAGTTTTGTAGTAAACTACTTATAGTACATCAATGTTTATAAATTATACCAAGTATTTACTTTTAAAAAGTGCCCTGATCAATTCTGGCAACAATTATTTTTAATATAATAGTATTTTGCTGTAAAATTCAAATAATAATATGATATTAATAATATATTTCTATAATAAGTTTTATAACATTTCTATAGTGTATTTATCTTATATTATTATTATTTATATTATTAATAGATAAAAATTTATATTTATAAATATTTATTAAATAACTAATATATTTATTAAATATATTTATAAATAAGATATTTATTAAAATAACTAATTGAGTTTTATTTATAAAACCATTATATAAATTAAAGCCATTATATTAAAAGGTATGTATTTTAAATAATTATAAAATAAATAAATATTAGATAATGTTAAAACTTTATTAGGTGATGTAAGTTAAAATTACTGTATAAATAATACCCATTAGACAGCATATAATACCGATGAAACCTAAATTATCTACAACACAGTATGCAATATTAAAATTGCAAACTATCGCTGTTAACGACATATACGGTATATTTATTAATTAATTGTTATTTAGGTATATTAGATAATATAAAATTTTTTATATAAATATATTATAAGAAAGTAAATAATATTAAACAATTTGCAAAATAAATTAAACCATATTTTGAGGGTCAATACATAGTTTTTTGGGAAACCCATTGATTACAATGAGTTTGCAAAACTTTATGCAATACTCATATAATTTGTGTCACTTTAAGGGTCACAACACATGAAACAGGTATATAAAAGCTGATGAAAGTAAAAGTTTTTCAATATCTTTGCATTTGTTTGTATATTAATCTTAATACTGTTGTATATATTGTCTTTTATACAATTTGTTTGGAAAATATTTTAAAAATGAAAATATTTGTAAGTTTTATATAAATTTATTATGTTTTTTTTTGTTTAAAAATTTAGTAATTTATTATAATGTATTTATAATATTAGTTCATTTCATCACTGATATTGGTTGTAGTAATACATGTTTTTGCTGGTGAGTTATTGATATAAATTATTTTAAAATTGAATATTTTTGCTTAATTTTTATTTTATATTAATTGACAGATAAATACAAGAGATATGAATCATATAAAGGTTATGGACTAGGAGGATATGGAGGTTCTGGATTAGGAGGATATGGTGGTTATGGTCTCGGAGGATATGGTGATCACGGTCTCGTAGGAGGATATGGTTTAGGACATCAAGGAATCGGTTACGACAAACTTAGATCAAAGATTGTTTTGAAAGTTAAGGCAAAACTTAAAGGATTTAGACCTCATAGATATGATAGATATGGACACAGACCTTATGGTGGATATGGAGGTTATTCTCCATATAATGATTATTATGGATACAGACCTTATGGATATGATAGATACGGATACGATGATTATAAAGTTAAAAAATAATTTTTTTAATTGTAATAAAATCTATAAATTTTTAAAAATTGTTATCAAATCGTATTAACGATTTACTGTTATATACTCTTAAATAATACAATAAAATATAAAAAATATAATTGACATAAAATTTTTTAATTAGTAAGTTATAAATTAAAAGAATAGTTTGATAAACAGTACTTCAATTGATTAACCAATTGTTCGCAAACAACCAAATCTGAGAATAAAACTATAAAATTAAATATAAAACAGAGAGAAAGTATTAAACATATAATTATCGTTTCAAAAAATATGATACAAAAATAATTAAAAATCTATTAATCAAACTTACTTTCTTTCAAAGTTTTGTTTTTTCTAAATTTATAGACTTTTGTTAATTCAATCGGTATTTTAATAAATGAAATTCCGAAAACCAATTCATCAAATAATTCAAGAAATTGTTGACTTAAGAGGTTATAATTGTTATTATTAAACTGATTGTTTGATTTATCAGTTAACATGTGGTGATTATCACTTGACTTTGCAATAATTTGATGGTTTGTTTTCAAATTAGAATCGCTGTTATTGTAAACAAACTTTTCATAGACTTCTGAAGCCTTTTGATGACAGCATTGGTTTTGACAATTCATTAACACTTCTAAGACATCAATTAAATTCATTCCAAAGTTCTTTGAACTCCAAGTAAAGAGTGATTTAATTTGTCGAACTGTTTGCGAAAGATTTAGATGTTGGCCATCACTGGACTCGTGAATCAATTTAATTGTTTTACGAAAACAATTCTCGGGAATTATGACCAGTTTTGTTGGTCTGTGTATTAGTGAACCATTTGTTAAATATTGCATACGTTTACTCCAATTACGAAACTTTTTGTGAATTGATTTATAGCTTGCATTTTGCTTCAGTTTCATTGTTTGCCACATTTCACTAATTAATAGCTTCTTCGGCGGTGACTTTCTGGTCTTAGTGGTTACCGGTCTTAAATAAATTACAAAACAATCGTATAATTGTTGCGATAATCGACACCCGATTTGCGACTTTAAAGCTTTAAATTTTTCTTTCATATTCATTGAATTCATTAAACACTAAACTAATTTATTTGTAAATAAATATTGCATACAATTAACTAAAAAATATCTTTGAATTTATTTTTGAGTTATCCTATCATCAGATGAGAGATCAAATGATAAAACAATATCAATGGAATTGCATTCATATTATTAATGTTAGACTATTAGCCATTTCTTGTCTCGTGTTTTCAATAATATTTTTTTTATGACAAACGCCTACATTTAGTGTACATCTGTTGTAATACTCATCAAAACTTCATAATTTTAATTAAATTTTTATATTTTTTAGATTTATTTAAAATAGCGATTAATAATTATATATATATTTATTTAAATAATAACACTTTTATTAGTCAAAATCAAGCAATAAGGCACACAAATAGTTTATTATATTTGATTCAGAAAATCTTAAAATTATATTACAAATTGTAAACTTCTTTCTAAAAAATGATTATAAAATTTATAAAAATTATAATAAATATAATGAAATTAAATGATAAAAACAACAATCAATGTCTTCACTAAAAAATAGAATTTTCAATAAAACCTTTAATACTCTTCGGGAGCGGAAGTGATTGAATTTGAGAGAAACTAGTGGTCCGTCGGATAACAAATTTGCATAAATATTGTAATGACCGGACTTCGCTAAATCGGGAGATCGGACGCGTCAGTCGCACTGGAAATGATGGCGAAACTGGCGAACGACCTCTCGAATAACAGAATATCCCTTTCTCCGAGTTAGACAATGACTCTTCAATCAAATCAATGAGCGACGAGTTTCCATCACTGGAACCGTTGGAATAAAAACTAAACATTCCGTTTGAGTATTCAATACGTGTATGAAGTGTCCGACCAAATGATCGAAAGCTAAGACTAAACAAATAGTGATTATCAGAACTGTCGCGCACTAAGAATGATCCGTCCATTTGGTCGCGAAGTTTTTCTTCAGCTTCTCGTCTAGTAATTGGTCCCCAATACCAACCGTTGCGTACAATTCGGTCAATCTCTTCAACTAAACTAAATTTCTTTTCGGTTGCATTTCTTTTAGATGAACCCCTGTTTTCAAGACTTTTGTCATCAATTGACAATTGATTTGAAAGACACGACAAAGATTGCGAGTCTTCTGAAAGTGAGTCAATTTTAATAAGACTTGTCTTAAGCGGAGTACTTTGATTTTGTTGTCCATCACTAGTGTCGACCAAAGTTGCTATTCCTTCATTAAATTCTTCACTTAAGTCCACTTCATTTAGTTTACAATTATAGTCATCTTTTGTCTCTTCGTAACCAAACTCAGCTTTTGATGGCTTGAAATCAGAGATTTGATAAGTTTTTTGTTTGTTTTTATTTTTCTTAAATTTTTTGCGAAAAGATTGCAATAAAACTGTCGGAAATTTCATTAAATGATTGGTTTCTGAGTCTATAATTGAATTATTGTTGTCTGAATTGGTTGACAATCGATCGTAAGTGATATCAAACTCATGTTTGGTGTGATTATCGTCATCGAAGTCGTCATCTTTTAAGTCATCCATTTGTTTGTTATCTTCGGTGCGATTTTTGCATCTCTTCTTCTTTGACTTTCTGTTTAGTCTTTCTTTAAGTTTAGTTAAAGACATCCTTTTCATCATTTCATTCATTTTGCAAACACTTGTGTATTGACTTCAATTCAATTCAATTTAATTGTGATTAATATATCATATAATGATTACAACAATAGCTTGACATAAACTTTTGGTTTAATAAACAAATGTTAAGTCAAATCAAAAGTTGCGATAAAAGTTTGATCATAAATATTAATAGTTGTAAACTCATAGCTGATGTCAAATATGTGACCAAAAAATTAGTAAAATAGTCAACAAATGTATTATTAATTTAAAATCAAATATTTGTTTGTTTGAAGTGTTATTCAAATGAGACATCAATTCAATAGATTAAGAGCTCATTCACTCATTTCACTCATTTTTAGCGCATGTCTTGTCTGTCTGTCTCTAATGTGTTAACAATACTATAGTTTCAACAAAAAGTTTATTCACTGATTCACTCATTTATAGACTGCTATTCTTAAAGGTTTAGTTTAATTCATATAAATTTAGTAAAACTTTATTAGACTTTATTTTATCACATATTTCACTATATTTTGTAATATTTATTTTGAAAATTCATAACTTTTAATGATATTACTGTATATTTATAGTAAAATTAATGTACCAAATGTTAACTCAACCATTGAATAAACCTTTTCTCGGTTTGCAAACAATTAACAAAAATCCGAACCGAAAACGGAATTATATTTTTGAGAGTTTTGAGAAATATTATAAATCTTTTAAAAATATATTTTTGTAATAATTTTTGTATTTGTAATCAAATACAGCTTTTGGTTCGGTTTTTGAGACTCTCTTTCTAATCCAATCTCTAATAAAAGTTTCAATAAATTTTCATTCAAGTGACTAATGAAAGACATTGTTTTGTTTATAAATTTATTAAATAAACATTTATCTCAAATATTTATTTATATACTTTTATAATATATTTTAATTGTTGTTATATTTGTAATATAATTTTCTCAATAAAATGCATAGATTTTAAAAGATTAATGTATCAAATGATTATAATTGAAATCTACAATTATATATATATAAAATAAATATACAATTTTCCAAATAAATTAAAAACACAATAAAATTATAACAAATAATAATTAAAAACAATGAAACCAAAAATATTAAATGATTGGCACAAAAATGAATTACACAATGAATGAATGCAATCAATTTAAAATGACTTCAAATAAATTTATCATTTTTGTAGTGAAGAATTTGAAGAAGAAGAGTTGGAGCGAGACTTAGACAAAATGGACGACTTTTTGGCTCCACTTCTGTCGCCTTTAATTGATTCTGAATTGTGTTTACCATCGATGTCGGAATCGATGTTCTCATCTTTACTATTAAGAGATAACTCGAATTTGGCGCCAATCATACCGACAACCGATTTTGGTCTTTGCTTTAATGGCGGAGGAAGTGATTGTCGTATTGAAGAGCGATTTGTATCAGTCAGTGATATACTCATAGAAGGCGTGTCTTCAATGGCAGTGTTGGGTATTTTGTTTGGAGATTTCAAAATGTCACCGAAAACAGTGGCTCTTAGTTTGACACCTTGTAATCCATTATTAGAATTGTTAATTAAAGGATTTGAATCAACTATGGAAAGTGGAGGTGTGGTAGGAGTAGGTGCTAATGAACGCCTTCCCTGTTTGGCCTTCATCTCTGCCAAAAGATCTGAGCGCTCAGTAGGCAAAGGACTTGTTGTTCGTTCATTTGAATCAAGAATATTAGTTATCTCTTCAGCACCGGGAGAGTTGTTTCGAGAAATTGGTATGGAATGGGAGGTCTTTTTCACCAAATTAGGTGAAGATCGGGAACGGGTCACTTCATCTATACGGGCTGACAACAGGGAAGTTGGAGCACAACCTATGCTTACATTAGATTCGTTGTTTAGACCACTTTTGTCACTTGAATTAGGCTTTGAAGTGTCCAATGGTTTGGTGTAAAGCTTTTTAAAGAGACCAACTCTGGGCTGAACCTGTGGTTTGTTTATCAGTTCAGAAGTAGTTGTTTTCGTAAAAAATGAATCCAACCCTTCATCTAATTTCTCAACTCTATCACCACTTTGTTGAGCGTTTGGATTAATAGTCTCAGTCTTAACTAACTGTGTATTAGTAGTGACTCGAGTTGGTGCTCGAGTCTTGGGTTTCTTAGGTCTAGTCTTTGCCAAATGCTCTAACCTATCACTACTCGTTGATTTCAAAATACTAGAATCTATTGAAATTAAGCCACTCTTAGAACTGTCAGCTTTTGGTAACAGATCGGGAATCTCGTCGGGACTGATGCCGTCCATCACTGATTGTGGTCTTAATCTACGGACATAAAGACTTTGTCTCTTTTGATTTGATTGTTTAGGCGTCGCCTAAATATAGTTAAAAAAATACATAAAATTAATTAAATTAAATAATGCTATTTCAAAATAATATAAATTTAAATTAAAAATCAAAATTATTAATATGATAATTACATTGTAGGAATTAAAGCAATTTATCAAAAATTCAAACATTATCAAAAATAACTATTGATAATCACTTGTTTACTATACTATTTATACTATTATACTATTTTTACTAAATATTACGATGCAATCAATTGCTCTGTTAAATTGATCTAAAAATGTTAAATCAATGTATTACTAAATGATTAGTTATGTAAATGCTGTACAAACGGGAAGTAATAATATTTGTATTATTATATAAATATTGTACATATTATACATTTACACATTACGGTATGTATTTAATACAATACTAATTTATATATAAAGTTCATATACAGTAATACTTTACATTATATAAAGGATTTTATTATTGAAATGATGTGTAAATATTGCTGTAATTCCGACAAAATATAATATCATTTATTAACAAAAGGGAAATACAGAGTATTATTGAAAGACTCACTAAGTTAAGCCACGCTAACCACTGGCAGCATAATAATGATTGATAGTAATAGTCAGTTAATATTAAGTTTTAGTATTAAATAATTTATAAATAAATAAACTATACTCACATCAGTCGGTTCCTCATTATGTCCATCACTGGAAAGTATTGCTTCAGAAGATGATTCTCGAGAATCTTCAATCCAAGTCCTACTCCTTAAGACATCGGGTGTAGAACTCCGTTGACTTAAAGACTTGATGGGTTCCTGTCCTGTAAGTGCTCTTTGACTCATAACAAGACAATCATTCACTTCAACTAAAACTTTATCACAAATTTGAGCCGCAATTCCCAGAAGTATTTCTTCGATTTTAGTGGTAAGTAAAGCACCGACACTATCGCTGAGACAACTTTGAAAAAAGTTAAGCGAAGGAAGTAATGGAGAATTTTTTGTATTATTGAATATACGATTTAATTCACTTTGAAGACGTTCACTGTCAGCAATAACATGTGGACACTGTTCTTGAATTGTTTCAATCATTGATGCGATGACACTATTTATGTGCGCTTCAAATGTTTTCTTCAACTCTACGGATGTCTCTATAAGTTTGGCCTCAATTGGCCGACAAATGGAAAGTGTAGACAAACGGCGACCACTTTCTGTAATTTCAGGAAATATCAACTTTTGATTCAAATGAGTTAATAAGTGTTTGGCATTTGCGGCGTCTTTCAAATAGCTTTCAGCTCTCAATACTTCTTCGTCTTTGGCATTTAATTCAAATACAGACTTATTGTTCTCATTTATGGAACTATTATTCAATATATCAGTCAAATTAATTGTTAGTTTATCGACTGAATGATAGACATTAGAGTCAATCTGCATGTGATGGTTATGCAGACGACTGTTCTTTAATATTGTTTGTGGCAAATGATTTCGTCGCAAAAGTTCTTGTATTTTAGTTATAGCAGCTTCAGTGCGTTCAGCCATTTTAACCATTGCTTGTTGAACGTCCTGTACCGGCACCGGCATGTATTTCAGTGTATAATTTCTTTCGAGAGAATACGCAATATCTACAAAACCAGCGGTTGGTATCAAATTGCGGTCCAAATAAATTGTTTCCAATTTTGAATTTACTTGAAGAGCTTTAGCCAGAGTTCGAGCCCCTGGCAGTCCCATCATATTACCCGTCACATCAATATTGACAAGAGATTGGTTAGAACCCAAAGCATTTATCACAAGACAAGTATCATTCCTAAGCTTAGAGTCAACCAATGAAAGTGATTCCAATACAGAATCTTCATCTTGTAGTAAATGAACGAGAGATTCAAGAACTCGAGGAATATGTCTACCGATAAGAAAATTTTCAAAATAATTAATAAATAATCTAATTTTAAAAAATAATAAAATCATACTTTGGTTTAATATTTGCAAAGTTTTTTCCGATTGATAAATATTTAATCGATTTATTTTTACCCACAGAGTTAATGACATTCATAACATCGACATCGAAGCTATTATCACTCAAATCTAATCCACTAATACATCGAATACCTCCTAAGGCAAACTCCAGAACTGTGGCTCCGCTCGACTTGAATTCATTTGAACTTAAATTTATGCGAACATCGGATGCGATTTCATTGCAAGCAAACCCTAATAGCATGGCTTTGAGTGCTTCGGCAGGCAATCGATTAGACGACAAATTTAAAGTCTTGAGCGCAATGGTGGACGAAAAAAAGGTTTTAAAAGACGGCGGAGGGTTCACATCTTTATGACTCTTCTTGTTATTGAACTGATTGCGTGCAAGATTTAAATGAACTAATTTTTGAGTGCAACCTCTTAACAGTGCAGCAAATATTGTTTCTAATAGACATTCAGTTCCCGAAAGATCCAAATGTGTAATACAATTAGGATTGGCTAAGAAATTGTATAATTTCTATATTCAAGCAAAAAATAAATAAAAAATAATAATAATTACAAATTGAATATTATATGTATTATTCTTAATATAACTTACGTTTACATCATCTTTAAGAAGATTATCACTAATATTAAGATGAGTCAGTGATTGTGAAATAGATTTGTTGAGAAAAAGCGAATCCGAGAGATCTGAGACTCCTTTACTTGTTATGGATGTGTGGCTTAAATTCAGATGAGTTAAACCTTTATTAAGTCTCAATGAAATACTACTAACAATCGACTCATCGCTAACACCATTGTTGAGAAAAGATTTAGCGACAAAACCATTCAAATACTTAAGACCTTTGTCTTCAATCACATTGTTTGACAAATCAATGTAATGAATAACAGTTTGACTATTTGTCAGAATAGCCATAAAAAGTTTATTTACAGAATCAGCTTTAAGTCCAGTATTATCTAAATATATTTCTTCCAAAACAGTGGACCTCTTAACCAAATTAAAGATTTGTTCGGAAACATCAGGCATGACATGTCCGAACACTTTTATATTACTGGCTCTAAAACGAGTGAACCAACCATTGTATGAAAGGGCAGCTATTATTGGAATAAAGTCTTTGTGATCCAAGTGTTCAAAATCGAGAAGAGAAAACTCTTGATTGTTGTGCGTCGAGTATATGGTGTCCACATCCCAAACCACTTCCTCACGATATACGGCATTAAAGTAATCACAAAGACATGCGTATTGTGTGGAGAATCCTCCGCACGGACTCTCAATCGTGTTTAGAGTCGCTCTTTGCTCAACACTTTGGTTGTACTCAATCATTGACTGCAATCGAGAGATCGGTTCCACTTCAAGACGACGAATGAAGGAGTCAAGAGAAATGTATGGAAATATAGTCTTGAGTGCTGTTCCCAATTGAATTACCATTAAATTAATCTCTTCGCCATTATTAGCATCAATTGAATAAAAAGTATAACATTTGTTTTCGGAAGTGACACCAATAGTCAACTGATTCTTGCGTTTGCTTTCAATTGAGTTAATGTCGAGATAATGAAATGAATGTTCAATCTTTGTCGTCACTTTAGCCGTCAAAATGAAGAGACGACAGGCACTGAACGCTAAGATCTTGTTCTCTGTCTTGTCGTTCTTGATCTCCATTTTGACCAAACATTTCAACGATATCTTCACACTTTGGCCCAGAAGTGTTGACACACTCTCTAATGACATCAATTCAATTGAATTCATTGTCAATATATTACTAATCGTTTTATATATAAATTAAATATTTACTATATTTACTATAAAAAATTAGTTTTTAAAATAATTTTTAGCACATATTTGTGACACAAGTAATGCAAATGAATTAATGAGAACAACAAAAGCATTGATATTATGATTAAAATATTGAATAATTAAAATAATAATAATATATCAATCAATTGCTAATAATTAATATTATTTGTCATACACTGTATGACTGTATTAGTGACACTCATGTAAGCATTAATTAGTGAATAATTTATAACTAATTGCTTAACAATTCAATGCAAACAAACATTTGTTTCCTTTTTTTTAAAAAAATGTCACAAAAATGCTATTCATTTGAAATTAAAGGGAAAATAATAGTAAACTAAACGTTGAATCAATTAAATGCTTTACATTATGTTATAGTCTATAACTTATATGAGACAAACACTATAATTATAATGTCATAAACAATACACTAATGTATGGGAAGTACAGGTTTGCCACAGACTTAACATATGATAACAAATACGGAAACATTTGATAAAACCATTGATGCCATCAATGGCTGTATATATCTATCAATTGATGACATGACTTACCGCTGAGCTCTTTAGTGAGCGACCCTTTGGTCGACATTTTCGTTTGTGTGACCAAACAATTAAACAAACAGTTAGTCAATCACTATTGAATGTGCGGCCAATTTACTCAACAATTAGCTATTGATGTCAAACAACTAATTGTTTTATTTGTGGCTTACATTTGAGTCACTTTTTTAGTCGTCAATTGACTTATTGAATGCTATGAATGCAATGCTATAGACTATTGACAAACACATAGCTATAGCACAAACACAACACAACAGTCAATGTATGTAAAGCTAAACGGGTTTCACATCCCCTCCCACTCACACATACAGTAATATACAGTCTATACTACAGGACATACAACTTATACTGTATAAGACATATCAATATACAGTACTAATACTATTACATATTAATTGATATCATTTATAGTGAACAACCAATTAATAAAACAGTTTAAAAATTTTTTTAATAATAACAATTATATGAATCGATTATATATTTAGTGTTAATATTTTATCAATTTTTCAAAAACTATTGTCTCGTTTTAAAGTGATTACTAAAAGTGTGATAAAACAGTCAACTCTTTTAAAAACTGTTTTTTTATTTACAATACTTAAGTGAGTTGAATGTCCTGAAAAAAGGCTGTCTGGACATCAATTGTCTTAATAAGCAATCATTAGACATAACAAGTGATAATAACTGTATATTTTATTAAAGTAAGACTTGTTATTAATATAAATAAATCACTAATTTATGCAAAACATAATACTGTATACTATTTATTAATACCAAATTCAATGCAATCATATTTTTAACTTCAGTATAACTCTACTATAAGTTTTAGTAAAATCTAAAAAAATCTAACATTATTTATATCATATAAATTATATGTTATTTAATTAAAAAAATAATATATAAAAGTAAATACAATTAAAACAAATACATTAGCAAAACATATTAATACTATAAGTAAATGTTATTAATATAATTGTTATCTTTTATACAATAAATAACTCAAACTGTAATTTATTTATCAAATATACTGTACTGTAGTTAAAGCTATTGAATGTCACAGTCAAGTGATGTAAATTAATGAACGATCCCTTAGTATAGACTCTAATGGAGTCATCAAAACATTAAAGTTATAAACAATCGATTGATTAGTTTGATTGAATCGGTGGTCAAAATCGGTAACAAGTGATGGCCTGTACTACTGGTCGTCCCATTACAGAGTTTGCCTCTTACTTGAAGCGCGAGCTGACGACACACACCCGTCGGGTGCAGAATATTTACAAAAGGATTTGTCGTAATGAAGAGTCTTGGCTTCTCGAGAGGTCTGACAATAGTTTCATCTATTGGTTTGTTTTCAATACATTTTGTTTCATTTGCAGACATGAAATCCGCTACAGACTTACTATAATTCGGGCGGAGTTTGAGAAACACCGACACGTGAAGGACATGCGATTGGCCCGATCGCTGCTCGACGAAGGAGAGAGATATTTGTTCAAAAATATTCATCCGTCTCCGCGTTATTTTACGTTCAGTCCCGGAGGTGTCTGTTTCGAGCGATACGCCGATTACCCGGACTGGCATTTAGACCATTGGCATCCATTAGAAAAGGCAAGATATCCTTATTATTTCGCTAAACGAGAGCAAAGAAAGAAAGAGTACATCGAAATGTGGGAAAAGGGAAATCCCGGCAAAGCTCTCGAAGACCTCAAAGCTGCCACTCATTGAATCCAACGATATATTGTTAGCAATTGTGTGAAAATAATTTAGTTTTAATTCAAAAAAAAAACAAATATATAAATTAAATGTATAGATATTATTAAATTTGAAATAATAATTAGCAAATAACAAAATGTCGATATTTTCAGACTTTTACATATTTATAGATAAATGATTTGATCCATTAAGCAGATGGTTGATTGCCAGCAACACTCTTCGCTTCTGAAGCAATGTTGAGTCGTTTATGTCTAACTATTAATTTAAAGTCCACTTTCTCCATATCACTGCTCGAAGAGTTTTCACTATCACTGCTATCACTGTCGTCATAGTTGCCGAGTCCGGGAAGGACTCCAATGCACTCAACGGTTGAATTATTTGTCACCACTTTTTCATTTGAATCGGTGTTTGATTTATTTGGTGTTTCATTGGTTGCTGTATTGGATTCATTATTATCGTTACTATTATTAGTGCATAATTTCTTAGACGATTTGTCTTCACTATCTGATTGTGTCCTCTTTCTGACCACATTTGCCAATAGTGCCGATTGTGAGCTCTTTTTCATCGTTTTATTGTTTGTGTTATTTTGAATAAAAAAGTTTGACTTTTTTTCATTCAATCGTTTTTCTTCCTCTTCATTCTTGAAATGAGAGACCGCTCTCTTAAACTCTTCGATCGTTTGCTTTTCCTCTTTAAGACGTTGTGTTTGGATCTCTATTTTCTGATTATCAACCATTTCAAGAAAGGAAACCTCATCGCTGTCCAAACTTTTAATCAAATTCTTCAATTTATGTGTTTCTTCATATTCCTCTTGTTTTCTGTCCTTTTGTTCTTTGAGTCTTTCATAAAGAGTTCGCGGATCATATTCCTCTTCAGGTGCTTCTGTACTCATATGAAAATCAAAACATTAAATATATTCAAATCAAACACAAAGTGATCTCAAACTCAACCTAAAGGCATGTCTTCAGTGCGAGTCTTCTCATAATCTTCTTGTCTTCGTTTACGCCGTTCATCGAGTTGTGTCTCAGAAACAAACGATAAACCCTTCGGTACATTACTGTTACTCATTGTTGGATGTGCTGTCTTGTGGTGTCGTAAATGATATTAAATAATGATTTTATTATTATTATTGATAATAATGTAATTATTTTTATATAAATCAATAATTAATAATAAAATTCAATATTTTTTTGTTGATTTCAATTCATGTCTGTATTGAATGTCTTAAAATCAGTCATTCATTTAATTATTTGGACGATCAATATATTACATTACATTACTATTACTTTATATATTAATATTGTTTTATTTATGTTATAATTAATTGTAATATTAATTTACACTAATGTTTGTCAATAAACTAATTGTTATTTTTGATATTTTTTATGTTTACATGTCTTATAAAAAATTATTAATTTTATGTTTAATTAAATAAAATTATAATAAAAACAATTTTTATTAACGATTTATATGAATGACTCCTTATATGAAATACAATAGAAAATTATTGTAAAAACAGAGAAAATGTTTTGATTTAGAGTTTTGTATTATTAGTGAAGTAATGATTGCGTGAACACAACAACAACAACAACAACAACAACAACAACAACAACAACAACAACATTAACACTCAAAACACTTCATCGGATCAATTAATTGATATTTAAATGAGTCAATTAAAAGAAGAAGAGTTGTCGCAAACCACCACAGAATTGGTGACCACTGAGTTAGTGACCGTAAACTCTATCGATTCTAGCATTTCGTCACTCGTTGACAGCGAAGGCAAAAACTCAAAGAACTTGTCGTGTCTTCACTGTAATTGTCTTCTCTTGAGACCAAACATTGGTTTATATGTTAAGATTGAGGTAAAGTTATTAATGTTTTCAAAACTAAACTTTTATTAACGGAATGGTTTGATTGTTTAGAAAGAGTTACCATCAGTGATGAGCCGAAGTGAAGACACAAACCAATCGGAATTATTGTCGGATTTTTGGTTGGTTTCAGATATGTTTCAGTTCGAGAATATGGCGTTCAGTAAGAATGTCAAAGATGTGAAGTACTTGGCCTGTGCTGAGTGTGATATCGGACCCATTGGATGGCATAACTTGAGTGACCAAAAGTGTTATATTGCAAACAATAGGATTAAACATAACTAATAAATCTGTCTTTTGAAGAGGACATGAAATAAAGTGACTTTTGGGACCAATTTGTTGTCTATTGTCACGTTTACAGCTATTATTTAAAGTTCAGTATATCTTAAATATTTTAAGTCTTAAGATATCATAATTATAAATAACAAGTCAGTACTTATTTAACAGATATATGATATTTTTTTTAATTATATCGTAATATATATTAATTTATTATATTATTTAATTTATATATTAATATATTATATCTCCATTTATTGTAATTTTTTAATGGTTAATTAATGTCAAATATTTTATAAAATATTAACACAAATACATACTGCTATTTATTTTTATTAATAGCTTTTTTTAATTTTATAAATTATGTAATGGTTTTTTTTAATAATAATTATTTAATATTTTTGTATTGAAAATCCATTTTGTGCCTATATTTATAAAAATAATTAATATTAATATTTTGTTACATTTATTACATACTATGGTAATATGATATAAATTATTTTAAATGCAATGCATGACTTGATGTGTTAAATTAAAAATTGTAAATAATAATATACAGCACAGTAGTATAGATTAGAGTAATTGCGACAATTTATTTAAATATCTAAAGTGAGTTTCAATTATAATTATGATTGTGTTTTCAATAAATTACCATTTATTTGAAGTTTGTATTAATTACTTGAGTTTTTAAACTGTTTGCCAATGTTTCTGCAATACCAATGTTATTATTCATCTTTTTTTTGATTAGTGATAACAAATTGCATTATTATAATATTATTTATAGTTTTAATGACATTTATCTTCAATTTCTACATTTAATTGAAACATAATTTAATGCATACACACATAGTATAGTGTAAAAGATTTTTATACTGTTTTACAATGAGTTTCAGGTCAATAAATAAAACAATTTAATACATTAATAGTTTAACTGTTTCTTTGACTACAATGAATACGATTAGTGATTAGAGTATTAATATAGTTATGATATCCTAATAAATATTGATATCACAAATGGTTTCTCTGCGACCAAACAATTCAATTACAACAAAGAGTCTCTTAATAATAATGTGAAGTACTTTCAGTAATAATCATTACTTGTCTGCTCTTATATAACAAGGTATAGGCAAAAGTCAAGTAATTGACTAACATTTGTGTGACTAATAATACTGTCATAAAGTTTAGTATAGAAATTGGACGACACATTAATTGATGGATTTAACCACAATTGGCATTATTGTGGGCGCAGTTGTTGCCGCTGTTATCGTCGGTATATGTTTAATATGCTGTTTAGCCCAATGGTTATGCGGAAAAATATTATGTGCCCCTTGTAATTGTATTAAATGTTTGTGTCCATGCTAAACTATTATCAAATTATAATTACACATATTGGACATCTATCACATTATTTTATTAATAATTCAAGTTACATCAAATTATTTTTGTTAAATTTTTCATAATTGTAATTTCTATATTTTTGATATAGTGTTAAACTAATATGTTGTAATTTAATTATATTATATTTAAAATTTTTAATTTATTGTTTATTATAAACGATTTACTTTAGATAAACGTTAAAAAATATTTATTATATAAATTAAAGTATATTAATATTAATTGTATATCATGTTTTAAAAAATAAAACCTTAATTTCATGTATTGGTAATCATATCTTAATTTTGATTTCTAATGTAATAACTTGTCTGATAACGTGTTATATTTGTATTTTTATAACAATAGTGTGTATTTTAATTAAAATATATTAAACATTTTTAGATCTATTTTGTAATATCATCGTAATTATAGTAATTTTTATTTCATAATTAATACAGTAAATATACAGTAAATATACAGTAAATGTAGGTTTAATGTCAATTAAATCATATTTTAATATTTCATTTGGTATTACTAATGCTGAACTGGTAAGACCTAGATAGAAATTTCTTTTAGAAACTTTCTAGAAATTTGTCTATTATTTTATAATTTTTTTTATTTCAACACTAATTACTGTGTATAAGTTATATATATATATATTATACAGTATAAAAATGCTATACTTATATCAAAACGAGTATATGAGTACAAAAATTCATTAGATTTATAATTTTTTAAATTTTTTATTGCATTTTTAAACGACAATTCTTGCCAAATTTGACTAAATTCCCAATAAATTCCCGAACTATACATATGTAATATTTATTTAATATAATATTTAGTATTTTAAAATATATTTTTCGTTTATTAGAAATAAAAAATGATTTTTTAAGTTTAATTATAAAAACTGTAAGTTTTTATTGTTTTGTTACATATATTACGATATTAATTAGTGTAAAAAATGTTAAATAGATGTAATTAAGTATTTTTATCTATTTATTTTGTATAATTGCTTTCGGCGCCGAAAATTGCTAGGGGGGCCATAAATTTTTGACTTTAGGACAGGGGAGGGTAAGATCCAAGATTTCTCCATCTCAGGGGGATGAGAGGTCTTACACCCTACCCCCCCTTTAGCAACCCTGATTTAAATATAAGTTAACTAAATGCTTGACAATCATCAACTATTATACTTAATCTCTATTTGTTATGTGTGTCTATATCTCTAAATGTGTTATTAAACTTTTAAATTGTGTAGAATAGCATATAATAGCAATGTTTTGTAACCAATAACTAATGTCAATGAATAAAATATATTAACTCAATATAGAATTTCTTTATATTTATGAATATATTTTATTTGGTTATAATATTTATATTAATAATTTATAATAATTATAATATTGTATTCCATATATTTACCTCTACTTATCTTTTTAAGCAATCTGACCCCCACACCCTCCAGGACTATTTGACCAAACTTGGACTTATTGGTGCTATAAATAAAAGCCAATTTGTTTGTAACATATAGCAATTATATATATAAAAAAAAATTTTAATTAAAAAATTTATTGCCTCAAAATTGGTTAGGCAATATTAGAATAAACATTGTTAATTATTTTAGATTATTCATTAAATAATTTTTAATTAATTTATAGCATATTTATGCTAACCTAACAACAGATATATTATCATATGATATAATGTGATTATTCTAAGTTATTAGTTATAAGTTATAACTTATAACTTATAGGCTATAATACAATAGAATGGGATAATGTTTTAATAATAATTTAATAAATTATACTCTATTATACTATTATCTTTTAATTAAAAATTTTTAATAAAAATAATCTCTTAAATTAACATTTTCAATCAATTATATAAAATATATAATAATTTATTAGAATTAATACAATTAACACAATACACGATAAACATATTCAGTTTAAAAATTGTTAACTTTAATGTGAATAATTATAGATTTACTATACTGTATAACTATCTTTTAATATATTGCCAGTAAATTTATTTACATATATATGATAAAACAATATAATATTATATCTTAGATACAATAAAATCAAATTCTTATTATGACAAATCTAATTATTAATTAAATCAATAATTTATGTCTACAATTATATATTGAAATTATTGTAAGCTTATTATACATAAATATATTGTATAATTAACAAAAGTTTTCATAATTTTTAGAGTAATATTTAATATATTTTATTAAAAATCATTATTTGATAAATTATAATTCAAGCAATTAATGAAATGTATTTTGAAAACAAAGTTAAATAAATGCAATTGTTATTAAAATTCGTTAACTATTACTAAATATTATTATAATATGTGGATCCATTGGATCCATTAGATTTATTAAGATTATCACTCGAGGAGTGCCTAATTTTGGTGACAAACTTAACGTTTTGCTGATTACTCTCTTTGTTTTGGTTGGATTCATAAACAATGGGAACACTTCTGTAGACATTACTTCCATCGTTAGAATCTAATCTATTGAGTGTCACTGAATTGGTTGTCGCGTGTCTTCTTTCATTCAAAAATATTGTCGATAGTCTTCTTCCACTATTAATACAGACCTTTGAGAATCTTCGGGCCATATCTTCGCGCTTTTGTTTATCAGTTTTGCATAAAAACACAATCACTAGTATAGCCATAATTAAAAGCGTTAGACTAAACACAATTAAACCTATCATTGATTCAGATGTAGCGCCTAATCATTAATGAAATTATAATTAATTAACAAAATATTATATTATTTGCAAATAAAAATAATTTACTGCAACTTTGCTCATCAAATGAGTTGATACAGTTGTTAATACCATCACATTCTGTATATATTGCATACAAATTAATTAAAAATTAATCCCAAAAAAGTCTAAAAACTAATTTTAAGTCTTACCTAACATATTATCAATGCATATCTTATTATTACAATTAAACCTAAGCGATGAATTGTGACCACAAATGCCATTAGAATTGACTACTAAATAAATGTAATGTTATTTTATAATTTTTATTAATTATTTATCAATAATATTATTAATATAATAATTGTCATATAATAAGCCATACGTGTAAATAAAGTCAAAATAATTTTGAATCCTTTGCTATACAAAGAAAGGGCAAAGTTTTCCGATCGGAATATCACATAAATCTCTCCTTTGGAAGCACTCGACACTACATTCACTTTTGGTAATAGCTCTTCATTTGTTCCCAACCATTGATAAGAAGTCATATTATAATCTGAGATCACTTCCAAAGAGTCTTCAAGTGAATACAGTTTTCTTAGTTTAACTCTCTTCACGTAAGCGATGACACCGTAATTTGGCGGCGCTTTTATAGTGACATTACAGTCCATATTAGGTTTATATGTTTCCCGTTTCAGTTTAAATAAAGCATAAGTTGTTTTCTCTGTGGAAGGCATACCCAAGTTAATGGTCGACCCCTTCAATATACCACAATAATTGCTTATGTAATCTAATATATCAGTAAAATTAAATAAATGATTTTATTATTTTCCGATCTATTGTTAAGTAAACTCACAATTTTTTAAAGTATTAATATATAGTTTGATGAGACATACATTTTGGATATGAACTTGAAATTAGTTGAACTTGAAATATGACATAAATTAACAAAATTAATTGAAACCTAAAACATAATTTAATAATGAAATGCATTTCGACAAACAGTTATAAGAAAAGTGTAAAAAACTATTTATGTGAATATTTTTAAGCGATTGTTCATCTGATGCCTACATTGTGTACAATTGTTTGAGATTAACGAAACTCAAGTGTTTCACTATCTAATCAAATCACAATTTATTAACAATTTTTTTTGTTATGTTTAGCTCAAAGTATTCAAATTGATATTTGATGTCAATATTAAATACTTAACACCAATTATATTGTGATTACAACAACACTTAGTATAAGATAATTGTTATTTCGGTATTACTTTCAAAACAAAGTTGTGAAAACTCAAGTCATCTCTTTGTTATCAAATTATATATAACTTATAGTTCAGAACAAAGAAAATCTTATTTGCGACCCAATTGAATAAATGATCCATTAATTTGCCATTTTATTAAATTATAAATAACAATCATTTTTTATTAATTAATTTTTAAAGTTAATAAAAATAAAATCTTATGCAAACTTATCTACCCTTTCGGTTAATTATTAAGCTTTTATGGAAAATATACAAAAACTATTGCTTTATAGACCAAAAGATTAATTGATTTTAATAAATAATAATATTTATAAAATAACATAAATTTATACTATAAGATGCTTATACTTTAGTAAATTTGAAAAATGTGTTTAGTATCATAATTTAACCTTGTTTATATATTTAATATTAATAATTAAAATGTGTATCAAATTCTTAATTCAAACACTGACTGGACTTATGATTTAAATCACTTATAGTTCAAATATCTATAACTTTAATCAGTTTTATATAACGCAAATATTATATACAATATACAGTTTTTCTAAAAATTATTTAATTTAAATTCTTAATTTATTTAAAATTTCAACAAACTTTTTACAAAAATATTTATTTAAATAACAAAATTAATTAATATGTAAATTAATTGGTGAGAAAATGTTTAACCATTAATATATATATATATATATAGATATGTAAATGAATAATAATATAAACAATTAAATATTAGTATAAATTGAATGATAAGACCCAGAAATAGGAAGACTTTGAATCTTAGCCCTGAAATGAAGTGCTTTGAAACTAATGAAGTAATCACGAGAATCACGTGCTGTTATAATCGCAGTTTTAATTGTCATAATATAAACCAAATTAATGATAATTAGCTCAATATTTTGTATTTCATGTTATCAATTGTGCTGATTATACATAAAAGTGGACATTTCTTTTCAATCTTGAGGTCAAATATTGTATCAATTATTTGTGTGATGTGTTTGCGATGACGCAAATGTTTTTCAATAATAGATAGTTTGCTTTTTTCAAATGTTGTTTTTGTATCTTTTACTTCATTTTCCTCATCCAACTCTATTTCGGCACAAATAGTCTTAATTACTTTGAATGGTAAGTCAACAGCAATTACTTCAATGATTATATTGTTCGTCACAAATGACAGAGCGCTCGACAAATGAGAGATAATAGTGTTTTCCTGTCGTTTCCTAATAATTGATTGAAGTTTTTCTCCAGTTATGAAACTAACCTTAATATTTGAACCAATAGATGATGACTGACTGTAATTAACTTCATTTGAATACATTAATTGACTATTAATTAATTTATTGCTATCACTCCTTGTGATTGGTGTCGACTCTAAACTAGTATTACTATAAACAGTGTTTAACTCAGTTTTGACTGACGCTATACTTCTGATAACATATTCAACGATATCGCAAACATTTCCCCCTTTCTTATCGATATACCTTTCCTTTTCATAAGCAAATAATTTAGCCATTATTTGATAAAAGTTTGATTGACTCGAATCGTAAGCTTCTTTGAGAGCCACAGCATATCTAACGCTATTATCTAAACAGAAAGCGTGCAAATCATCGATATTTTTCGGTAAATCTTCGGGAAAACAAAACACTTTGACTCCAGAGTTCCAAAACTCTTTGGTCACAAAACATAACTCTTTAAGTACTGAATCTGTGTTTTCATTAGTCAGTGAACAGACAACAACATCAATGAGTTGTCCGAAAATAGTTTTTTCTTTAGTTTCTTCTTCCAAAACACATTTCATAATTTTTTCCAATTCAATACTCAGTCCAACACATCCTTTCGGTTCATAAATTTTATCGTTATTTTTATTGATATTATCAAAAGTGGTGACCAAATCATCATAACGTCCTCCAACAGCTAAAACGCTGCGTTGTGTAGACTTTTTACGTTTGATCTCTCTTTCCAACTGAAAGATAATCCCCGAATATAAGACAGACGAGGAACCGGTCATAACAAAAGATGGCGATAATTTAATTGTCATTTTGCTTAAACTTCCTAATCTTTCGGCGCATTTAAGTATTAGATCTAACTCTTTAAGAGCACTTTTAGCCATTTGAAGAGCATTTTGTTGTTTTGAACTCTTTTTTCTCATTTGTGTCTTAATATTAGCCAATAATTTCTTAACTGAGTCCTGTTCTAAATTTATTAATTGTAAAAAATTATTTATTTTTGTTTCTTCAATACATTTCTCTAAAATACTTTTCTTTTGAATCAAAGGATCGTTAGACTCTTTGGCTAAGTTTTGATTCAATTTTGAGTTGCATTCACCCATAAGTCCTATAATTTTTTTATGCATTTCCTCTTCGATATCGCAATACTCAAGAATGGCTTTAATAAGTTTTATGTGATTTACTCTAAGAGTTAGTTTAGTTGTACTTAACATTGGAAACTGATTTATCACATGATTTAAAACACTTAACACTTCAGAGTCGGGCATAATATGACTGTTATGAATATCTGTGGGCTTAGGGGTGACGATATCAAAAACACATTCCCATAACTCTTTCGGATGATATCCTTTAGGACGTCTCTGTCGATAAACTTTTTCAATTGAATATCGTCTTAAATGAGATATTTTATTACGAGCTATATATCTAGCAAATGGTACTCTTAAGTTATGTAGTAATGAGATAACTGATCCATTGTTGTCAATAGCATAGAACACATCGGTAAGTGTATCGTTGGTCTGATATATTTGTGTCGAATATTTTGGTAAAAGTGTTGGCAGTGAGACATAAACTCCACAATGGCTTTGCATTATATACTCTAACTGTGAATAAACATATTGAAAGACTCGTTGTTTTGTACAAAATGAATACAAATCACTTTTGAAACTAAATATTGTACCGAATTGTTGATCATTGATATCAAAGACATAATCTTCAATTTCTGACATATCTTTTTGAAACAACATATTTAACATATATTTATTAATTTTTGTTCGCGTGTTTTGAACGGCACGTCTAATGACATTCTGTTCCTCCTTTTCCTCCATTTCAGGCGCCGGTAAGTAATCTAAAGCTAATAATTCAGCAGAAGATGGTCTTATGGTATAATCGTGTTGTAATAAATTCTTTAAAATTTCAATTTCATTGCCAGTGAAGTGTTCGTTGACATCGAGGGGTAAAATAATGTTTTTATTTCTTAAATTAATCACAACTTTTGTTCTCTCCATTAATGTTTGAAATGGATAAGACATTTCAAAGAATATAACTCCTAAGGAATAAATGTCTACTTTTTGTGTGTAATATATTTTGTTTGAATTAATATTTAAATTATCAGTTAGTTCAGGCGCTACATAAAATGGAGTTCCTATTTTACCGGTCAATTTAAATTGATCCGCTTCTGGCAATGGATTCATTTGTGATCCAGTGTTAGTATTTGTAGATTTCTCATCCTTACCGGTGATAAAATAAATTTCTTTGGCTAAACCAAAGTCTCCAATCTTCACGTGATCGTTGACGTCGAGGAATATATTTCCTGGTTTAAGGTCTCTGTGAATCACTCCCTGTTCGTGGATATGTACTAAACCTTCAATTATTTCTCTAAAAAGTCGCCTTTTTCTGTGTCCTTCATTATAAAGTCCACCATCGATGGCATCTCTCAAAGTACTTTTCTCACACAATTCCATTTGAATATACATATACTGTCGGCAAATAGGCTTTCGTAATACGAGATCTTCAGTCGATTGTTTATTATCTGCTTCTGTCACTTCTTCTTCGGATGTTTGTTGAGAATTACTTCTTTCAAAGACAACATATTGTGAATCAGATGAATTAGTGTTCATTTTTTGCGGTATTTCAATAAAAAAAGAAGTGCCAAATATATCTTCTTCAGCTTCAAAATCTACTTCTTCTGTCGAAGTGTCCGATGAATCATTAGAAGTGTCGTTAGAATCTGCTTTATCTTTACTTTCAGTAGATTTTGATTTTTTATCAATTTTCGAGTTATTTTTAGTACTAATTTGATTCAAATCACTGGTTTTAGTAGTGGAACTAATTTCACTGTCATCAGTGTCTAAATGATCTTCAGTTTCAATCCAAGATGTAAAATATCGGACAACATTTTCGTGGTTAAGTCGAGAAAGTAAATTCACTTCTCTCTTAATTTTCTCGTAAAGAGAATTATTTGATGAGTTTATGTGTATCTTCTTGAGTGCATAACACCTACCGTCCAGAATATTCTTCACTTTAAATACCTGTCCGAATCCACCTAATGTGTAAAAAGCAAATGTTTGAAATTGTTTTTATAAATAATAATAATAATAACCTTTTCCGAGTTCATCCAATACTTCAAACTCGTTAAGTCTAGAAAAGACTGACGACGAGACAATTGAATTAAATAAAATGTTTGACTCAATATTTCTATCATTTTTAATATCATCTGATTGTTCCGGTTTGTCATTAATTGAAACAATTTGTTGTACAACAATATCATTCCTATTGTCTATAGTTGCCATCAGAGGCTTTTTGTATGAAATAAATGAATGATTAAGTAATTTCTCGGGAGGCCAACGAGCGGGCTCTTCAATATCAAGACATTTATCTAAAAAATTTCTTAAATTATCGTTTGATTTCATTTGCTTTAATCTTTGCATCAATTCTTGACCATTAATATCATTAACGAAATTCCAGTCATTACTTATGGCAAAAACAATGAGTCCAAAGTCATAAATGTCTTTCATTTTTAATCGATTAATATTTGTTGAAATACTATTTGAATTACCGGTGCGGACATCAATAGAGTTTAAATCACAGAATATATCGTAAAATTGTTTCTCTAAATAATAGCCACTAATTTTAATCTCACCGGTAATGCTATCTATAAAAATATTTGTTGGTTTGAGATCTCCGTGCGGACAGTTGTGCTTAGAAAGGAAGTCTAGAATTTCTAGAATTTCTTTTGAATAATAATTAATTAGAGATAAATTAAATGGATGTCCTTTCATAACATTTGCTAAACTATGTAATGAATTGGCGTTAATGTGCTCTTGAAGTAAATCAATGACAACAGATCCATCTCTCACAGTATAAGTCATCCCAAGATAACGGATTAAATTCTTATGATTCAGACTTTTAAGTTTTGTGTTGAAAAATGTCTCCACTTTTGTTATCCGATCAACGATATCATCAATAGTTGTGCTATCATTTGGTTGATATTCATCAAAACTATTATTACGATAACTATCAACGTTAAGAACCCATTCGCTGATGACAAATGTTTGACCATTTTTCATATCAATTGCTAAATATTCAACGCTATGCTTAAAATTGTTGTGAAAAAGACATTTTCCTCTTTGTATTTGTCTTTCAAATCCGTTGACATCAAATGTCAAACAAACAAATTCATGATTTATATCACATCTTATGTCACAAGAAGTAACACAATTAAACAAAGTTTGTCCAATATCTTCGCGCGACTCTCTCCTGAGCCGTGATTCCTGAAGAAAAGCCAAATGTCTTCTTTTCATTTCTTCCTCTAATTGTTTTCTTTTCATTTCATCCTTACGTCTATTGGTCTCCAATTGTTTCTCAACTTCAAGATTTTTTTCGTATTCAAGTTTGGTTTTGTGTGAAATCATTTGGTCATAAAACGACTGAATCGGTGGCTTATTGTGAGTGTGTAGTGATTGTCGCACGTGATCTGTAAACGCAAATATCATGACTTCTCCCTTAAGACTTTTGGCCAATACGTATAACTCGTCTTTGATTTGTTGACAAACACTTAAAGGCAATCGTTTGACATTTTTGAGACAAATATCTTCGGGAATCACATTGGGATACCTTTTGCCACATTTGACATATAGGTCTGTTTGGACATATGGTTCGTGATTCAGTTCAGACATCGATACCATTGGCTTTAATGTAATCATCACTTCAATCGGTGACCACTTGTCATCACCGATGTCGCCGCCATTCATATGTTTGACCGATTGTCGCAAATCCTTAAGATCTGAACCAAATATAGCCTTTAAAGCACTCAATTCATCCTTTTGTCGTTCAATTGTCTCATAATTTGTTGCCATCGGTGGTCACCATATGAATCAATTCATTGAATAATTCACTAAATATTTTGATTTTGTTTTTACATCAAAACATTAACCAAATGTATCGCATATGACATGCATTACAATAACAACAAACACTTGAATCGTGTATTTAAAGTAAATGTAGTTTTTATTGCAGTCAACACACAATCACTCAACTTATAAAAACTATTTATTTTTTATTAATAGAGTAACACATCCTATGATTTCCTATTAATATTTTGTATCATTAGATTTAATCTACTGTACTGTAATATACTGTATATTTGACTTATTATTTTAATTTTATTAGTAAATTGAAAAAACAACTTTAAGCCCAGTTAGCTCGGAAGTAGGTGCTATGCATAGACACTCCTTGCAATTACATTAACAATAATTAATATCAACTATTGATACATTAATCTTAAATATATTATATAACAGTTAATTAGCTATTGATATAACTTAAATTTACAGATAATACGAGTAATATTTTAAATATTATTAATTATTAGTTGTTTGCCTCTATTTAAGTTTCAAAATTTATGTTAAAATTAATGTATACAGTAAACTATTTTAAGATTTTTTAAATGATAAATTTATTTTTAATTAAAAATTATATATACAGTATATTTGCATATTTTATGGACATATCCAACACTAGTTAACCGGTTAATCTTTGAAACAGTTATTATCAAAGAATTGTATTGCTATACAATTTATACGCTAGTGTTCATTATAGGTGTATATTTATTTCATACTTAAAATTTTTATATAATAAGATAATATAACTAATTATACAATTGACAAATTTTTTAAATACGTGAATGTAAATTATTTTATATATTATATACTAATTATTAATATTTATAAATTTATTTGTATAAACGAGAAGACTTATAAGATATATGTTTAAAATTAGAAAATTTAAAACATAAAACACATGATATGATAGACATTGTAATTAAGGCAATGAATACTATGAATAAACTTAATGTAAAACTACTGATTGAGAGACAAAAGTTGTCATTACTTTGCAATAGATATTCATTTTTAGAAACAGCGCTCAGATTTTGTGGATCAATATAGTCGACATCGTTGGGAACGACTACACGAATTCCACGAAGAAGTCGAATCGGTTCCACTTGAGTCTCATTCTTATGTTTTCCGTTAATAGATCTCTTGGCCCGAGATTTAACTGATTCATCAATTTGTTGACTTTGGCTTCTAATGAGGACATCACCCAATTCAGGACATGAGTTTTGACACTCATATTTACAAATTTCAATATTGCATTCAAAGTACACTTCAGTCTTTTCTGGAAACCTGAAGGCCTGCATATAAGAGAATGCAGTGACAGTTGATTCATCAGCATTCCTCTCCTTCTGGAAATTACCCAATAATTTCTTTTTAACAACACATCCATTTTCATCTGTTAATTGAACTGAATTTTTGACGTCTCCGTTGTGTGCAATACAATCTTTGACACGAATGTCAAAATTGTTGGCATCAGATCCGATCAATGAGACTAAAAGTGTTAAATCATCACCAATTCTGACAAACCCTTGAACTGGTTCTGCATGAAGTCCGTGACCATATTGGACATCCATAACACTTTCAACTGAATCGCCTCTATATGTAATAGTTTGCATGTCATGAACTTCGACATTGATTGATGTCTGAACCGTTTTGTCGAAGACACCACTCCAGGCACATCTCAAATGTCTGACCGAATCCCATATTTCTTGAAAGACGGGCTCGTTTTGAAAGATTATTGTATTTTCTAAAATTGTTTCTCCTTTTGGTGAATCTTGAAGTGTTGTTCCGCAATGGTTGAGCTCTAATGCAAATTCAAACTTCATTTGTCCCGATCGTGGTTTAACAAAATGACACATCTTATCATTGTAATGGTCTTTAGTATAAATTAAACCATCAAATGGTCGGTCATATGTTATTCTGACGTGAATTGTATCCTTTGAACATTTGGCTTCAATGGTCTGTATTTTAGGTTTGGCTAAAACCGGTGACTGCGGATATATACGACTTTTTTGATAATCTTTATTCAACTCTTGTCTACTTTTATTATCAATTTCTGCATATTGTTGTTGGCTTTGTTGGTGATGTTGTTCTTGTTTATGATTATTAATGTTCCAAACATTATCTTTATTATCATAATTTGGTGCATTGATAACAAAAAGAGCTGTCGGAGTGGTTACAACAGGTATTTCAATTGGATTGGTCTTAATTTGCTCTTCATTTTGAACAATATGTTGTCCAGAGTTTTGTTGAATATTTTCATTATTTTTATCAAACAGTTTTGATTGTAAATCCGATTGTAATTGAATTTTCTGTTGTCGTTGAATGTCATGCTTTTTAAACATTTCACTCCAAAACTGTTGCCTAAATCTGTCGGAATCATTGCCTTCTTGTACTTGTATTACACGTCTTTGATTGTCTTCTACATTAAAGTTGCTGTCAGTCTGCGCTTCATATTCTTTGCCATCGATCGATGGTTCAGATTTGGGATATATCTGATCTCTATATATAAATATATTGTAGAAATTAATAATAGCTATACCAATAAAAAGATAATTAGATTACTTGATGTCTAACTCTTTGGATCCCTGATTGCTGAGCGAACTTCCGATGCTTTCAAAAGCGCGTTGAAATTTGTTTGAATAGTAAGAGTTGTGACCATTGCTCAGGTATGGTATACCACCACCTATAGTACTCTCCAATGCACTCACATTTAGCATCTTTTATATATTTATCAAAATATAATTAAAATAAAAAACTTAATTAATTAAAATTAATAGTTATTAAATTTACTTACATAACAAATTAAAATAATCAATAATTTTAACATTATTTCTAATGTTTTTTTATCTAAAAAAAATAAGTTATTTGTACGATGTGTTTGTATGAAATGATTAGTTAGAAATAAATATAATATACTATTTGACATCTCTTTTTAAGATATTAAACAATCAGTGAATTAAAACGAGAGTGACATTAATTTTTTTGAATCATTAAAAATTGCTGAAAGTGTATTGATCTCTCATCATATATCCAGTACATCATTTGATATATTATTAATAATGTTTTTTAAAAGATAAGTATTGATAAAATTTCTAATAAAAGATAAGTTCATCAAATGACCCAAATATTATAATTAATAATAATAAAAAATATTTAATAATTATGCAAAAGTAAACTTCAAGTTGTTTTACAAACTATTATTAATTTATTATTATAAATATTCAATTATTAATTGTTTGATAAAAAATAAGGTTTTAAAATAGTGTTTCTATTTAATGGACTATAAATACAATAAACACATTTATAAAACAACTTTTTTATATAAAGCGTAAACTTATTGATGACATGTGGGTGTCATTCATGTCATTTAACAAAAATAGTATAATAATAATAATAGTTTTTAAATAATAAATAAACACTTTATCTGATTAAATTGCAATGTATTTTAAATTGAGAATTTAGGATTTTGATATTTATAAATTAAAAATACACAATTTTTTTTTAAATGAAAATATAAAACTAACAAATTTATTACTGATATGAATTTACTGTACTGTATAACATACTAGATATTGAAATTTAGTCCAAATTCAAAAATATATTTATTTTATACTGAGATTGATTTTTAAAATGTTAGTTTTTTAATAATATAAAATTATGATAAATAAAAATTTATAATTTTTTAAGAGTATATTATTGATTATAGATAATTGACCATTATACTTTAACATTATACATAAATGTTGCATAAAACTAAAACAGTATACTGGTATGTTACAGGTATCTATAGTATAGTTCTATACTATATTACTACAGTATATAATAATTAATTATTTAGAAATGTTTGTTTATATGTTGATCACGCAAACAATATACACGTGTAAAGCTAACTATTGATTTACATTTTATTACACATCGAGATCTATCTATTAGTAACAACATATATAAGTTAGTATAACAGTATACAGTATAACTAATATCACTGAAAATAATAGAAACTTAAAATTAATTATTGAAAGTAAAGCAAATACAATATGAATATAATAATTGCTTTAATGTTATAAATTGTTATTGTAATCATAAACTGAAAAGTCATAATCTTCACAATGATTTGGACGCGGCATTTGTCGATGAAAATGGTTAATACAAAAAGATAAAAACATCTGATATCAATTCGTGGCAAAAGTTTGTCGCCGACATCAAAGTCTATTATAAGTCAGATATTATTGAACATCCCTTTCAATTAAGTCAATCACTCGACAACCCTAAAGAAGAAGATGAGAACGAGAATCCAGATAATGATATCACAACTCAATCAACAAATAATATCACAAAAGCTAACGTTTCTTCTAAAGACACAAAAATTGTTGTCATTTTATCTATAAATATATTAATTTTAAATATGTTTTGTTTTGTTTTTAATTCAATTAAATAAATACGTAATTTTATATCTTTAAACACTTTCATCAGTGGTCTGTTTGCTATTATTTTATTGTTTATCTCAAAATGTCGGTTCACTGAAGACAGAAAAACGATAAAAACGAGTTATAAAACACCAAAAAATAAAACAAAACTAGAAGAGTGGTAAACATAAATAATCTTATATTTAAAAATAATTACCGGTACATAAAATCATTTTTATTATATTTATAAATATTTTATGCTTTTATAAAAGTTTACAATTTTATACTTTAAATTCATAAAATACATGTAAAAACTGTATATAATATTTACGAATTTAGTTAACTAAAGTATATTAAAATTGCTATTTATTGATACACGAGATTGTTATACGAGATATTGAATATAAAAACAAAATTTTAATTTATATATTCAACCATATTTTTAGACAGTTAATGGGTTCATAAAATTAGTAGTTATTAATATTAAATCATTTTTATATAATATCATAAGTAATATTAAAATGAAAGAAATAAATCATAGCACAGATGTCTTAGAGGACTTGAGCCGACTGTTCCTAAATGAGAAGTTAAGTGATGTGGTGTTCATAGTCGACAACAAACATATTGCGGGCCATAAGGCAGTGTTGTCAGCAAGAAGTCCCATATTTAAGGATATGTTTTTCAATCAAACTGTTCTCACAAACTGTAAGCGAGAGATACACATCAAAGACTGTTCGGCCCTGTCTTTCAAAAGTTTCATCAAATATATCTATACGGGAAAGTTGTCGCTTATCGGTGTCGATGATAAAGACATTGAAGAGTTATTGTCATTGGCTCTCAAATATGAAATCAAACGATTGACTGAAGCACTTCTTGAACCTAACGCTAAAACTTCTACAATAATTGAAAAACAATTACAGAAACTAGATTTGGATGAACTTCAGAACATTAAAAAGCAAAACAATACTCAAAAGAGTGTCCAAACTAAAGATCTGAGCTCTCATTCAGGGTTTGAAAACATTGGTTTGGGAACGGCTGTTGCTATTGAAGGCATAAATCCAGAAAAATTGTTTGTCGACAAAAACAATTGCGACGAAAAGTCATTAACAAAACACAAAATTGAAGTCAATTCAAAGGGAATTATCATAAGATTTCATATCCCTGTCCTCATCAATATTATTCGGTTTCGTCTTTTGGATACCGATCCTAAACGACATTATAGTTACTTCGTTCAGTTGTCGGCCACTAGCAATCAATGGGATATTGTTGCCGACTATCGCCAATACTCTTGTAGGTCGTGGCAAACCATTTGTTTTGATCAACGATTAGTAAAATTTGTGCGAATAATGGGAACCAAATCGAGTGAAAAACTATTTTTCTCAAATACTCTTTACTTTACAATTGTCTCATTCATGTGTGGTCTCATACAAACACCTATTAAATTGATGAACGGCTTATGGGAACCACAAGAGAATATGGCGTCCAAGAGAAAGGGAGCCGTCGTTATCATTAATGGCAATTTTTGTAAAGACGCCAAAATGATCAACGATTACGAGTTTGAGTTCAAAAAGTATAACAATATTTGCAGTGAATTTCATTTCAACACTGAATCTCAACTAATCATTCATTTGGCACAACCTATCATCACCTCATCTATCAGTTTCTATATACATAGCAATCAAAAATTTAAATACACGGTTCGGGTCACTGCCAGCTCTATTGACAAAGAGTTTAAAGTGTGGACAGTTGTGGCCAACAAACTCACACAATTCAATGCCCCGAAGTGGCAGATCATCACATTTGCCAAAACAAGAGTACTTCTCATTAGTATTTCAAGTATCAGATGTCTCGATGAAAATGTTAACATTTTGCCAATCCTTGCCTTTTCATGTCCTTAACAATCGCAACACTATTATCCCAATTCTTGTTGATTCAGTCAAATGATCGACATTAAGACAACTTTTATGAAATTATCTTCATTTAAATATCCATTTCATTCAAAATATTGTTTTAAGTAAATCATTTTTTTTAATATCTCTAAATTATATTCAAATAAAAGTTTAGTATATTTTAGTTTAATTTAATAAAAGTTTTATAAAGTTATCATCGATATAGCCATTAGTGTCAATAGTGGTGATAATACTTAATAACCATATAATTACAGTAAATGATTAACGCTTTAAACCTGTGTTGACCTGTTCTTTGTCCAAACGGATCAAATGTCAACTAATGTTAAGACAAGTGGTTTAGGGATTAATTTAATTCTAAATATTCTGTGGAGAAGTACAGTACAGTTGACTTATTATTATTAATAACTAAAGCAAATACCGGTATATTTAGTATTTAGTATTGAGTGCTGATATCAGTCATAGACTCATAGCATATACTGAGCGCATGTCTTAATACAGACTATGGCTATAAAAGCAATGATTTTTAGTCAACGGAAGTCTCTATCAATTCAATCACTAAATGAAAGCATGTCTTCAAATAAATGATTATAACTTAACTATATTTAATATGTTTTACATTAATTAGTTTAAAATTATTTATTAATTTATTATCTATTTATCATTATTTGTTATAAATTGTATTTATTAGTAGATTATTATAGTTTTAATTAATAATTACTTCAAATTAAAACTGATTGTTATAATTGTGTTAAGAAAAGTATCATTTGATATGAAAGGACACGTTTTGATGAACTCGTATGACGTGTTGACCACTTAATTGTAAGTAATGGTAATTAAAGATATTATCTGAAGTAAATTGAATGATATCTGTAATGACTATAATGTCTGTAATGATGACTACTATTTGCTACTCTTGAGTTTCTCTTTGACGACAACTAACACCACGTGTTCACTGATATTACAGACATTAATGTTAATTAATTTTCATATAAACGTTAAACAATTGATTAATTAACTAATATTTATTTTTTCTGCAATTTTTCAGATTTCATATTATATATCCTATTAATTATTGGTATGTATTACATAATAACATTTATATAATTTGTAACTTAAGATCTAATGATGATTTTATAGTTCAACTGATAAATACAATGATAATAACTAAAACCATTGTCTTTCACCCCTATCTGATGATGATTATCATTAGCACATGTTTTCAATAATTGGTGACCAAATTTAATTGATTATATTATTACAAATATAGGATAAGTCATATGATATTGGTGTGGATGATCCACATGGAACAAATGGACTTGATCAATTTTGTAATTTAGGTAATTATTTATGAAAATTATATATAAATTACTAAATATATGATGAAAACGATATAGACTTCCCAAATATTATAACCTATTGATTGTGAAGGAAATATATCAGCCTTACTGATGACTAATTTAATGAATAGTTGTCATTATATATGTTTGAAATTGAATATTAATTTTTTGTTTTAATAATTTACAGACAATGTGATCATTAATTGATGTATTTTTCTAAATATTTTAAGGTATTTATTTGATTTGATAATACAATTTGTTTTATTATATATTGATATATTTAATGATGACATATATATTTCTTGTTTACCACCAAGATCTCTGAGCAATACAATGATTATCTATTTAGCTCTATCTGACTATTAATTGAAATTTACTTATATATATATATATTGTTATAAATTTTGTAGTAATTTATTTAATTATCATAATATAGTTAAATACCGTTTTCCTTTTGTATCAATGTCTGGATGGGTGTGTACTACCAAAAAGGTGTGTAGTTTTTAAAATTTATTTTTTAATTTAATAAAATGATGAATTGTTTGCTCAGTGGGAATCTCATTGATTTGTATAATGATAATAAAAGCAATTAAATTAACTGATGTTATTATATTAAGTATTTTTTAAGTTTTATAATTTAATTTATCTAAAGTATTGTATTTTTTATTTTAAAAATAGATAACGATTGAATGCAACCATAATTGTAAGTTTTTAACATTATTTTATGATATGGTATTTATTAAATGATGATTTATTTTGCCAATTGATGAAACCAATGAAAATTAACAACCGTTCCATTAATTAACTGAAATAAATTTATTATTTAATTAGTTTAATGCAATAAATTAATAAACTTATAATTACTTTTTTATTGTTTTTCAGTTATTTTAATACTTATGTGGACAGCAATTGTGGTTTAGTTGGCATTTAGTGACACTAAGAGTAAGTATTGTTTGATTTTATAAACTATTAAGAAAAGTGATGAGACTATAGATAGGGACAAATGAGTGATATATAGATATCCCGCCGAAATATATGATTATTTTTCTTCATCTGATTTATTATATTTGATTGTTTAGTTAAATTATATTTGTTGTCTTTGTTTGTAATTATATTTTTTTTGTTTAATTTCAGGTTATACTCACAATTTTATCAAAGGTGTGTATGAATTGTTTGTAATATTTGATTAAATTTGTTTAAAGGATGACAAACAAAGATAGGGACAAATGATATAAAGATATTACTAATATCCCGCCATTTTGTGATTATTTTTCTTCACCTGATATTTATTTTTAAAATAATTATTAACTAAATGTGATTGATTTGATTAACTATTGTTTGATTTCATATATTTTGCAGAAATTTGTTGCAATTACCTGAATCTTGTGATCATAGATTAAATAGTAAGTTATGATCTAATTATGATTTTGTTTACTTAGAAATGATGACATTTATGACAATTCAATGATCTGTTAGATATTTTGTAAATATCCCGCCGATTAATGATTAGTTTATTTCTTCACCTGATTTCACTTTTTGATTATTTTCTTAATTTAATTTTATTTGATTGTTACTAATGAAGTAATTTATTTATTTGACAGAATGGCTTCATTTAGAGTTAGTTTAGACGTAAACTGTGATAAATTGGATTTAAATACAATTATTGAGAAGACATGCGAAGAATGTCCCTCAATATCAGTTAAAATGACACCAATTGATGGATCCGTCAATATGTTTGAAGTGACATTGTCTTCAAGTAGTGAGTCTGTAACGTCAAAATCTGATGCCATCTTTCGTAACTTATTACCTGCCAATGTATTGACCTCAAGATATTCACCGAATTCAAGGCAAAGTGTTGATACTCTTATGAAGTATTGTTCAGATAATGATTATGTTAGACATAGTTTCGATTTGATTAACAAATCTTTAGACGATTACAAACCTGAAGAGATTTGCGTTGCCTTTAATGGTGGTAAAGATTGTACGGCTTTATTACATTTGGTTTACACTATTTTCATAACAAAATATCCGAACAATTTATTGAATGTCTTTTTTATATCAATTCCCGATATATTTCCTCTGTTGGATAACTTTGTACAACAATCGGTTGAAAGATATAATTTGAATTTAATATCTTATAGCGAATCTAACTTTAAACTTGCTTTAAAAAAGTTAAATACGGAAACTAAGATAAGGTCTATATTTATGGGAACTCGTATTAGTGATGTGCCTAAGCATGTGATGATTAAGGAGTGCCAAATGACTGATCCGGATTGGCCTCAATTTCTTAGAATATGTCCACTACTTGACTGGTCTTACGGCCAAATTTGGTGTTTCCTTCGCGACAATCGCGTGCCTTACTGTTCGTTATATGATTGCGGTTATACATCGATCGGTTCGACTAACAATACGACTCCAAATCCATTACTGAAATTTATTTCCCATTCCGGCTGTACTTACTATTGGCCGGCATTTATGTTAACCAATGAAGATCAAGAACGCAATGGACGCACTCATTAATAGTTATTTATATTAATGTATAAATTTGTTAAATTTAATATATTTTATTTTTTATTGATAATAAATTATTTTAATATAAAAAGATGTAATTATTTAGATATTATTTTAATGTTAAAGTTATCGCATTATAAGTCATGAGAGTAACATTGAATAAACAGTTTTATTGATCTAATTTAAGTTATAGTTGTATTTAATGATATAATACATATGATGACTATATAATATGATAATTACCATTAATATAAATGCAGTTAATGCTATGTTATATTTTAAATATTTACAAATTAAATTTAATAAGATAGTTTAAATGCAAAAGTTTCAACTGTATAATTGTACTTAATTTTATTTGATAGGTTACTATTATAAGTTATTTATTTATTTATAACAAATCAACAACAAATCTAATCAACAATTAAAGACAAATAATATATAAAATTTAATTTATAGTATAAGTCTCAGTGAAAGAAAAAATTAATATTTAATTTGATAAATTACTGTATATTGTTTACTATTAGACAAATTTTACAAATACTGTTAATGATTAGTACATTTAGTGTCACTAAAATAATAAAAAAATAGTAGAAAATAAAAAACAGTTTTTTGTTTATATAATTTAAATGTTATAATCAGTTATCATAATACCTGAGATGTGCTAAAAGCCAAACCCCAATATATATCGATTGTCGCCAAAAATGCAGACAAAATCAATATGACCTTCAAATTCATAATTTGGGCTCAAATTTATTGTCGACTACTGTTTTTATTCATATAATATTATACAATGTATTATACAGTACAGTACAGTACACTCATACATATACATTGTACAGAATATCATTAATTATAACTTAACTAATAAAAAGATCACTGTTTATCGTCATAATTATTTATTATATTATTAATTATCAATTATTATTTATATGCAACAATATATTCAGTATACTCAGTATATATAATATAATGAAAATAAAAAATTATTGTATTAAATGTATTTGAATGAAATGATAGTAATTTTATCGATTAAGTCATTTGACTCAAAAGTATTATATCTAAATTGCACTAAATTTGCACTAAAATTGGTTTATATATTTAGATATATTAAAGCAATAAAGAATAAAATTATTAAAGTATTTTTATTTGTAGTATTTATATAATATATTACATTTCTAAATCAATTTACTGTCTTTTTAATTATAATATATTAATTACATATTATTTATTGCATATTACATATTATTGGATTAGTTTTAAATAATTATATATTTATCTATTTTATTTGTATTATTTATTGTTGTTATTATTTATATGAATTCTGTAATTTTAAGCAAGAATTGTGCAAATATGTCAATTAAGTCATATATTGTTTTACAAAAAATTATAATTAAAAAATGCATATTTATAGAACATTTGAATTAATAAATAATATATAATTAATAATATTATATAATAAATTTGTCAAATGATAAATAATTTAGTATAAATCCTATAAAACAGTTCATGAAAATTAAAAACAAATTTTTAATAATTATAAAATTAATTAAATATTAAATTGCGACATTATTTTTGAAAAGTAATATAATTTTTAACTTTTATAACATAGCTTGTTTATATTATATTATATTAATTTTTAATTTTGTTTATTTATATGTTTTATAAATTGTGTCAATTTCTTATAAAAATATAATTATTTAACAAATCTTTTTTACTTAATAAAAATTTATACATATTTTACGTTAAATATTATCCAGTATTAAAACATAAAAATATTTTATTAATTTTTTATATTAATACCATCTATTATATTCTTCTTCAATGTTCACATTGTCTTATATTAATTAATTATTTTACTAAATGACAAATTAATAACAAGTAAAAATAAGATCACATAATTATATGACCACTGAATACATAACTAGAAATATGTTTAGTTTAAGTTATAAAAACTAAAATTATTATTAAATATAAATTTTAAGATTTAATTTAAAAAAAATAATAATTTTAAAGGAATAAATTCATGAGAGCTAAATATAAATAACAAAACTTTTATATTAATACATAAAATCCAAATCAAACTTAATTTATTTGATTATATGTTATGATATTTTTGATTTAGTTTTTTTTGTAAAATTTGGTTGATATGGTATGAAAATGTACCGGTAGTTAACATATCTATAATACATGTATAATACGCGGTACAGACAGTTGTCTGATTAGTTGAGCGCCGGTGCAAACCATTGCATATGCAATGCATTTATAGCATTCGTTCAATTGATTGCAGTCATCATTCAGTATAAAACTAGCATTTGTTATATGTGTGTATAGGTTGTGATATTTGATTGCAATGATCATCATTTGAATTGATGACATCCACATCAATATTTTTAATTGGTTACTACTTTTGTAAATTGTGTCAAATTATTTCATTATAACAACATTTTATCACAATTTGTTTGACTATACAGTAATGAATATTGAGGTAAAAATAATATTAATTGTCATTTTTTCTTGTTTTTACTAAACTATTAATTATAAAATTTTATTTTATATTCATAATAATTAAAATTAATACAATATAATATCATGTCATGTTATAATAATAATTTCAAATATGCATTATTTTATACAATGTTAATAATTACAGAATATGATTGTCGATAATGAGTTATTTAGTAGAATTTACTTGAATTTGATGATAAAAAATGTTTTTATTGCTAAGTATAATAGTTATCATATTATTTATTTTATTTGATTGATTAACTATATTTATAATGGAAAAAATTATAAATTTAATAAATAAATCAACGTTTTAGATAAAATGACATTCTTTGCAATTATTTTGAAAATCAGCATTTTTATTTTTTTTTATTATTTATTTAATTATTTTTAAAACTATGTATTATAAAAATACACTGTATAGTGATAATATTTTATATAATCTATAAATTATTGATTACGAATTAAATTATTTTTATATAAATATAACTAAAAAATTTTGCACTAAATGAGTGCTATATTATTATGCAATAAATTTTCATTTACCTTACACTTCTGCCTATTAATGACATTCAATATTTTTTTTAATCTACACACACATACACATACATAACCAGTTCATTAATTAATGCTGATTTAATGTGACTTAACGACTTGTTTATAATTAATCAATAATTAATTGACTAAAAAATATTATCATATACTCTAAATATAAAATATTGCAAATTTATATCAATAATATTAGAACAATATTAAAAATTATAACAATAATATTACAAAAAAACTATTCAATTTAATTAATAATCAAAATATTATAGTAGAATACTGTATAACATTTTCGATAAAGAAATTTAATACAATGTATTTAAAATAATGACCTATAGTTTATAACTTCAGCCAAAGTTTCAGATTTTATTATCGATAAATTTAGTCAAAACTAATTAAAACCTAAGTTCAAATAGAGTAGTTGTCCCCAATAGATAGTATTACATCCATGTGCTCTACAGTTACTACAAATATATATATATATATTTAGATCACTTTTCCGGACGGTATCTCCCATTATATCATAAGTTGGCTTGAATTCAATGAAATAATAACAATATTTCGAATAATAGATAAATTTTTAAAAATAATATTAATTTAATTTTTAGTTCACTGTTAAACTTTTCAACAAATCATTACAAGTTTTGAAGTTATTTACAACCCATTGAATAATTAAAAAATTTTATAATTAAAGTGGGAATTATAAGTAAAAATACATTGGTATTTTAATATTATCTAAAAGAAAAATAATTTTACAACAAATTCCCTGTTTTCAGCTTTAATAAATGTTTATAATGTTAACAAAATAGTAAACAAAATTTTAGAAGATTATTGAATAATAATAATTATTTATATTAAAAGTGAAAGTTAACATAATTGTTAGATAAAAAATTAATCCCATTCTCAAAATAGGATAAAAATAAAAAATATTTATGAAAATAAGTCATCAAAAATAGTATACTGTAGTGTAGTAGTAATAGAGTAGCAATGATACGATAGTACAGTACATTATCATAGTGTCAATGCCTATTGAATGGTAATATTACGGTAGTACTCTTTTTTTAAATATAAATATCAATGTCATTCATAGATAAATATGTTTGTAATTTTTATATAATTTATTTTATTGAATTTTTTAGTAAAAAACTAGTAAATAAAGATACAAAATAATTAATTAAAATTTTGTGAAAAATTTGGAAAATAATTAATGATATAAAGTCCTAAAGGCTTGTTATTGACTTGAAATTAAATGATGATATATCACACATAAGATAGTTTACAATAAAAAAAATGTCTTAATATATGATTTAATAATTTTAAACATAAATATAATGTAATGAACAGGCAATTTGATATTAGTTTGTATTTTTACTTGATTTTAATGTTCATTAATTGATATTGAATTTTATGTTTCAGTTAAAAGCTTGGATTGATGTGCAATAATCTGTTGCCAATAGGAGTTGGATCTCAATATTATGTGATAAAAGACTGGTTTTGAACACATAAGACACTAAAACGCTTTCAATTACTTCACAAGAATTTGTCAAAAAAACGTGTTGTGCCTCACATTTATCGAGACTGTACTTCACTTATTAATATAACTTAGATTTTTAATCATTTAGTTGTGATTTACTATGAATTCAGTGAATAAAGAAGTAGTGATCATTGGAAACGGTCCGTCAGCCATAACATTAAGTTATATGTTATCAGGCAATTGGCCCTTTTATAAGAAGGATCAAACACTAAATCCAAATGAATTCCTTCACCAAAGATTAATAGATGACAGTGTCATCAATAAATCATTAGTAGAACAAGATTTGGAATATTTGAGTGATGGTCTTGAAGGTCGATCGATTAATAAAGTATCCCTTTTGTTGGATCAGTTACAGCATCCAGAAGCTGACTTCGGTGTCGAGAATCCATCGACACTCCAATGGAAATATTTTCCCGATAAAGCTATTGATCACGTGGTCATTGGCAAAGGTCTTCCGGGCGGTGCCTGGCATTCAATGAATGATTGCAAAGAAATTTTAACCATAAGTTTGGGATCTTGGATGCAATTACCAGATATGGAGATAAGGGAATGGTGTTCACAACATAGGAGGGAAAGTAGAGTCAGTTTGTCAACTGTTGCCAACTATTATTACAATTATGTTAAAAATAAAGATTTAATGAAGAACTTCAAGCACTTTTCGACTGTCACTTCTGTTAGATTTGATCGTCAAATAAATAAATATCAAATCGATGGCTACGATTCCAATGGCGATGAGTTTAAATATCAAACTCCGCGGGTAGTGTTGGCCACCGGTAACTGTGATCGTATTAATCGTTTAGGTGTTCCGGGAGAAGACCTGCCATTTGTATTACATTCACTTAACGAATTGGAACAACTTATTGCTCAATCAAAAGTAAAGTCCACTACAGATCCCATTCTCATAGTAGGTGCCGGTCTTAGTGCTGCCGACGCTGTAATTGCCGCCAGATTTAGAAAAGTGCCAATAATTCATGCATTTAGAAGACATCCCGAAGATCCGGCACTGATATTCAATCAGTTACCTGAAAACATGTATCCGGAATATCATTCGGTTCACTCAAAAATGAAGGCAAAGTCATTGTCCAGCTCTGGATATGAAGCGTTACCAATGCATTGCGTCAAAGAAATTAAATCCAATAAAGAAGTAATTCTTGTCAACAGAATTGGAGTCGACGACACTTGTCTAACAACTTCAGTCAAAATTAAAGTTTCATATGTTTTGGTACTCATCGGTATGAAACCAAACCTAACATTCGTCGAGAAAGACCTGTTATGCAATTTGGGAATCAAGAAAAATGAAGATATATTTTCCCGATCTAATCCAATAGCCATAGACACGTATACTCACGAAAGTCTGGTCGCACCGGGACTTTACGCAATGGGACCAATCATTGGTGATAATTTTGTCCGTTTCGTACAGGGAGGCGCACTGGCCATCACTAATCATATCCATCAACAGAAACTTTCATTATGTTAATAAAAAGCTGTAATTTTTATAATAAAAACTTCATTGTCTCATATTTTAATAATACGTTAAAATGTTTACTATTAGTCAGTCGAATGTTTATTATTGATGAGCACCGGGTGATTGTAGACACCATTTCCTATTAATCACCTAATGATGACCTGAAATGACAAAACAAAACTTTCCTTATAAAAAACTGATGCAGATTTGACTCCTTTTTTTTTTAATGTGAAATCAATTAATGTTTTTTCTTTTTTTTTATTTTTTTCAATTTATTTTTTTAAGTACAATATTTTCATTATCTCTTTTTTACATTTTTATTTTTTAAATCATATTTTTTATTTTTTATTATTTTTTTATATTCAATTATTCACATAACTTTTCAAACAAAAAAAAAATTCTGCATCAGATGTTAAGGGAATTATTCGTACCATTTATATGTGAGATAAGAGATAATGAATATGAATTTTGAACAATGGTTGTGAAAATCTTGTATTCTGTCATCTAATAGTGATCCTTAAAAAGTCACTTCAATAGGGACTGTAGCCAAACCAACTACCTCTGCGACTGATAAGCAAACAAATAAAATAGGTATAAAATGTTTATAAATAAAACACTAATTAACTTACGGTCTTCTTGAAGGTCTGCCAAACCACGGAGCACTTCGGCCCATATAAGCTCCACGTCGGGTGCCTCGCCCTCTGGGCGGCCGATTAGTTGAGCTAATACCCGGTCTGTTGGTTCGTTTGGCGGATACCTTTAAATTATATTTGGTTTAAATATGTAATAATTCAATTAAAAATATAAAAATTAATTGTAAAATTGCTAATTTAAATAAATTATAATTTAAAAACATCATATTTACTCTAATTTGTCGGCCTTTAAATAACGACTCGTCGAGTGCAGTGGCCGTCTCTACCGAGTCCTTGTCCGCAAACTCTATGTATGCAAATCTAGATATAGGAAATATTAATTAAAATTTATAATCAAATTTAATTACTTTAAATTAATCAATTATTTGATTACCCTTTGGGATGTCCTGAATACTTATCACAAAGAATAGTCACTCTATTAACAGATCCGCATCCGTGAAAATGTCTTTCCAAGTCATCAGCAGTCGCGGAATAATCAACCTTTGATTATATGTTAATCAATTATTTTTCTTATACCGTAATATATAACTTAAATATAATTATTAATATAATTCATATTATAATCAGTAATATAATTGTCAACAAAACTTGTCAGAAGTCTAACATGTTTTACAAATCATCATAAAATTGAATAGTATTTCGATATTATATAATATAATAGACAATCAATAATACAAACATTGCCGACATATACGGATCGACCGTCAACTTCCATCTTCTCTTCGATAGACATACCAGAAGTACTCGCTATTCAATATAAAAACATTTAAAACATTACTATCACTGAATGGTCATCAATGTCTTAGTCAACAATCATACCATTAGGACTGTCGGCATCGTGTTTGTCCTCATCGTTCATCACTTCCTGCATAATCTTAAGTCTTTCAGCTTCTTCTTCCATTTCACGAACTCTTGCTTTGATGGCTTCAAGTTCTGGGTCTTCGGTGGCATCACTGGTACTGTTCATGTGATCCGAATGAATGTCTGAATCGTTGTGTTCATCGTCGGCCAGCGCACCGGTTGACTCGTCGCCGCCATTCGCATGGCTTATGTCTTCTCTGTCGAGTTCAACGGATGAAGACATAACTGACCATTAAATATGTGTTTTAACCGATTGGTGTGACAACTGATCCAACCGAAGACGACTTGCTTTCGGCCAACAAAACAATGTTTTGTGAACACAAAAGACACGATTAGTCCAACACTTAACTGATTGGACACACAATACATACAAACACACTGTCTATAACTGAAAACTATGTTAAACTGAGAGCATTGTTGACAATTCATATATATATTCAATGCATTCACTCCACAAACGTTTGCAATGAATTCAACTTTTTATAATAAAATCGCGGTTTAAATCAATATTTAACTAATTATTAATTAAATTATTAATTAAATTCTTAATTAGTTATTTGTACAGTAATTGATAGCTGAATATTATGAATACATAATTACTAATAATAAGTGCGATTAGATATATATTGTTAGAAAAGTATTAAAAAAGTTATAGACTGTAATATAAGTATGAATAGTATAATGAGGGGTATATAAGCTGATGTATGTTATATATGTTTGTCCCGTGTCGGCGGGACATATACTAAAATTGGAACGATACAGAGAAGATTAGCATGGCCCCTGCGCAAGGATGACACGCAAAATCGTGAAGCGTTCCAAATTTTTTACAATAATATATTATTATCATTTAACCTCAACAGTGGTAACAGTGGTAACAGTGGTAACAGTGGTAACAGTGGTAACACTACTTTCTATTAATACATTAATTATTAGTATTTAAATTGGTTTTTATTTCTATATTATTTCAGTAATTATAATATTTTTTTATTGAAATGATATCTAAGTAGTTATCGTTTGATATAACAATAATAAATAATTAAATACAGTAGTTATATAATTTAAATAATTTTTTTAAGTTTTTATTTATAACTTTAGTATTATTAATGTATCGGTAGTTAAAATATTATGACAAATTAAAGTAAACTAATATAAATAAAATAATAATTCAAATTTAATCAATTTTATTGACATTATTAGCTTTTAAAGACATAAATGCAAACATTAATTACAATAATCTCATCTCAAATACACAAAATACAAATAAATAGACATAAAAATATATATAAACCGTTTATCACACTAACCAATAGATACAATTTAAACCAAAAAATAACCTAAATTATAAAATATATATAAATTTACTGAAAATAAGTACAAATAATTTAAAGTTTAATAAAATATAGCAAATCGTCAATAAATAGCTGAAGTTTACGATCCACTTATTATTGTGGTTGTGGTGGATAACCGGCATATCCTTGACTTGATTGATCATAGCCTGAATATGCACTCATTTGTGGTCGGGGCGGGTAATGTCCGTACTGTTGTTGGTTATAATTAGGTCTTTGTTGAGGCGGTGGTGGAGCGCCTGCATTAGGAATTGCTCCATAACCACCATTTTGTGGTTGTGGAGGTCCTGATGGTGGACCATATGTGTTGCCATAATTTGGTTGTGAGTATTGGTTGGTTTGGTTATAGTTAGGATTTGAGTAACCGCTGTATTGTTGAGATGGTGGTGGAGGTCCTCCACCTATGGAGGGTGGTCCTCCACTATGTGTAGTGTGTGAGGCATGGGTTGGATTAGGAGCTGAATATGGCTGAGTCTGAGCCGGCATTGGTGATGATTGTGGATACCATTGTTGGGGTGGTTGTTGTGAAGGAGGACCCGGTTGGCTCACACCTGATGGACCATATCCTTGATAACCTGTGTATTGGTTAGAAGGAGGCGGTGGATAAGTGTTTGGACCGGATTGTGGTGGAGGACCGGGTGGTGCTGTTGAAGAATTATTGGGATAATTATAAGGAAATCCAGTGCCTGATTGTTGTGTATAATTTGGCCCGTATTGTGATTGTGAAGCATAACTATAAGCATTAGGTGGTTGTGTTTGTGAACCATATTGTGAGACAGGGGGAGGTGGTGGGGGTGGAGGCATCATTCCGTACTGATTTTGTGTAGTAGTCGGTGCTGGTGGTCCCATAGGAGTCATAGCATGAGAACCAGGCATTGGCCGGGGATATGGCGACTGTTGCCCTAACTGTTGGTTTTGTGATTGAGAAGTGGGAGGCATTGAATGCGGTGTTGGCTGTTGTTGTGGTTGTGTTTGCTGTCCATTCGATTGATTTTGAAGCGGTGGAGGAGGTTGTGATTGAGACAATGACTGCGACTGTGATGAAGGTCTTTGTGTTGGTTCTGCAAAATTATCATTTGCCGTTGCATTGGGAGATGTTATGCGACTGTCAGCTGCCATTGAAGGGGGGGTTATTGATGGAGACGTTTGTTGTGCTGACTGGTGTTGTGAGTGGTGCTGACTTCCCGTTTGATTACCGGCCAGTTGTTGCTGAGCTGATTGTGTTGTCAGATGTGACGGCGGCTGTTGCTGTTGTGTTTGCTGTGAATGCATCCCTTGATTGTGAGATCCCATTAACATTGAATTCGCATTATTGGCCATCGATGGCAATGATTGTGACATAGATGGAGAAACTGATCGGTTATTCATCATATTAGTCGATGGAATAAAGCTCTGCGGCGGAGGAAGTAATGCCGAAATGTTGGGATTGGTTTCGGCAATTGAAGCCAAATAGACAAGATTTCGATGCAATTGTTGTTGATATTGAAGACATTCCTGACCTTTGCCTTTATTCTGGTAGTCAACGATGCATTGAATAAGATGTGTATTCTCGTCCAACATCTGATCCAAATCATACAAAAAAAAACATTAAACAAGAAATGGATGATAAAGTCATTCAAACCTTTTGTATTTGTTGTGAACTAAGATTCGGTCGATTTTTCTGCTGAGGAATGAATGCGACCGACATTTTAGTTGTCTTGTGTTGCGATTAATTTCAATCAATCAATTGTATGGTTATATCGACGATAATATAATCAACGGATCAGTTGATTGTCCACAAAGTTGTCAAACATATCGTCATTTTGTTGAACACACAGACAATTGATTTATTGTCAGTTTGTTAGCGCATGCGTCACACATATACCGGTATTGGCTATTATAAGACAACAATGCAGTCAATTGGCGTCACATTCAATACATTCAATCATTTATATCATAACATTAACTAACAATTACACGGTTTTAATGTTAAATAATTTATGTGATAATAAATATATTAATTTATTAGTAAAATTTTAATACAAACTTTTTTTTAATTATCACAATATAAATATCAATTTCTACATAATAAATTCATTTTATTAAAAATTTATTTATTTTAAGCATTATTTATTTAAATTTACTGTATATAATATTTATAGATAATTATTTAAAACATGATTTAATAAAAATTAATCAATTTTCTCACTTATATCTTAGTATTTCTATATACTAATTATATAATACATTATATAATCTAAAATTATGACAAATTCAGTCATTCAAACTATTTTTAAAAGTTATATATGATATATATTTCTAATCTTTGAAAAGTTTTGCCTCGAATTTATTTTTGTTTGTTTGTAATATCTATCAAAAATTTATTTAATAATATAATTATTATAAAAATTTTAATTCAATGTTTGTCAAAACTACTTCGTTATATATATATATATATATATCAATTAGTTTTGCTTTTTTAGTTTATTTAATACTAATATCTTTAAAGCTAAGTTAAGAAAATAATATATTTTTAATTTTTGGAAAAATTAAAGTAATTTTATTAAATACATCACGTGTTGGGAAATTTGCTCATAATCTTAAATATACAATACTTTCTATAATATATACAATACATTATTTTGAGCAACTTTGCATGTTTAATTTATTGATTAGCAATCTAAATAAATATTATTTATGTAAAATTGATAAATAATGTAACCAAACCTTATTTAATTAATTAGATATTAGTTTTAATTAATTAACTTAAATTCTTAATTGTGTTTTTTGATTTAATTAATTTTTTATACACTGTGACGAAAAATTTATGAGCATATATAGTTAATTTAACAAATTGTCTAAACATACTTTAACATTGTAATAGTATTTTTTTAAGTTCTAAGTTTTTTCAAGTATAGTTATTTTCCAATGTTAATGTATTTTCAAATTTATCAAATTTATCAAATTTATCAAGTTAACTTTATGTTTGAATCAATTCATATACAATTGTATTGGCTCGTCGCTGAATAAAATTTTCTCAAAAATTTCACTTAAAAATATGACATTTATTTGTATTTATTTTTTTTTTTAAATTTATAACATTTTTTGACAATATTTCATTGTTTATATAAATACTGGACGTTTATTAATTATATGCACAGTATATAATAAAATCATTTATATGAATATAATTAATTTTTGAAAAATTCATTGGTAATAATTTAAAAAATGACTAAAAAAATAATGTTAACTTGTAAATTAAATTTATAAAACAATTGTTTTAAACAAATATTGGTTAATTAAATATTTTAACAAATAAGGTATATTACTACAGTATGTATAAAAAAATAATAAAAATAATTTTATTTATTGTAAATTATTTAGTCAGCACTCAAGTGTTAAATAAATTTATGGGTTAATATTGTTAATTCAAATTGAGAGTTAACAACAATTGACAATTGTTAAATTATAGCCAGTTCATTTCATTTCATTTCATTTAAGGTAATCTTATAACAATAATTTTGTTTTATTTATTGATATATTAGTGAAAGTAGTGATGATTATCAATGAATTGGTTAACCCCTTATAAGTTCAGTTCAGTTCATTAAGCAATGGTTGGTATAAGTGTTGTCAGACATAAACTAGTTCTTCAACTGCCATAAGCCATACAATGACTCATATAATACATTCATTTGAATTTACATTTAATTTATTACATTTAATAGACATTCATTCAAAAATTATCTTTAATACTCATCACTCATTTATTCATATTTATATTACAATAAATTTAATTCAATTTATCAAAATTTATATAAAATTAATAATTTAATATTATATTTTAATATTTTCTATAAAAATAAACAAAAATTGAAATAATTTTATTTAAATAAATTAAATAAATATATTTTAGCAAAAATAAATTGAAATATTTAATATATTAAACTTATTAAGGTTAGAAAAATTGTATTACAATATATCACATTTTTGACATTATTTAACATTTATTTGTAATATGCAATAAATATTTGTCGCTATTAACACTTTAATCTTATGTCACAAACTTAATTAAAAAAAAGTTTATTAATAATAATTACCACTATTTAAAGTTTACAACAATAAAATTTAATGCATTTTTGATATTTTTCATATATATATAACATATTCCTGATTACAGATATTGTAATCACTATTTTGTCATAATTGGACACAACTTCTTGAAGAACATTCATTATTTGTAATCAGTTGTTTGTAATCAAATAAATCGATGAAAAGTCTCAAATAATTTAGTTGTTAATTACTAATAATTATTAAAACAATTAACAATATTTTTAAAACGTCAAAATGATTACAAAAATATAAATCAATATTATTAATTTGATCTATTGATTACAATTAATTTTAGGCAATAATATGCAAATAATAATGGGTTATACACAGTATTCAAGTAATATAATTCAAATTATTAAATATGTAAATACAATACTTCTTTAATAATAGTGATTAAAAAAACAATTTATTTTAAACTGAAATAACAAAATCAAAATTTAAGTTATATATGTTATCAATTGATTTGAGAACAATATATTTAAATAATTAATAATAAAATATTAATTTAACACAAAAATACATTTATAAAGATTAATTAATTTATCAAACTTTATAAAACTAAAACTATTAATTAATACTGTTTTCAAAACACAAATGTCTTTAAAATGTTAATCAAAAAACATTTGATATATACTTTTATATTTTAGCAAAAATTTCCTTTTATTTTAGGATCAATAGTGAAAAAGAAGAATTAAATGAAAGGTTAACTTTGGGTGAAAACAGAGAAAAAGAAAGAAAGAGAGAGAAAGAGAGAGAAAGAGAGAGAGAGAGAGAGAGAGAGAGAGAGAGAGAGAGAGAGAGAGAGAGAGAGAAAGTATCTAAGAGAAAGCTATTGATTGAGACAATGTTCACATAACGGCACAGTTGGGCACACATTGACCTACAAATTGAACCAACATTTGAATGCTTTGTATTTTGGAGGTCAGATTGTGTGAGAGTTAATGGTTAGTAATACTAGTATAACAGTTATGTAATCAATATGTGTTTTGTTGGCTTAAGTTGTTTAGTGAGCTAAAGATGAACTCAATTACTGATGCCTTCCGGACATAACATCACAATCTAAATGAAGGCCAATCTCTGAGAGTGTTTTCACTCACTTTCACTCACTCTTGAGGTCAATATTGTGTACTTTCAGATATTGTCGTCACTGTTATTATTGTGAGGCCATCCAAACTCATAGTTAGGCTAATGGGCGGACTGTTTAGGTAACGGCCCTTATATTCATCGACAATACATGTCAATCATAGTTGGGGTCACTTTCTTTGAGACACTATAGCTATATATTGATCCATCACTTGCATCTAACAATTCATTTGAATTTCTCAAAGTTTTTCTTAATGTTTCAATAACTAATTGATTTTTAATTTAAAGACATTTACTGTTAGCTAAAAAAATATTGTAAAACTAATATTTCTAATAAAAGAAATGAATAAATTAAGAGTAAGTCTACTCTTTTTTAAAAAAAAATAAAAAATAAATATATATTTCAATCAAATTTGTTTTGAATTGCTTTAAATAAAAGTGTTATAAATTTGATACAGAGTTTGTTGGTTTGTTTGTTTGCCATCATATTTGTGGTCAACACATGTGAGGCATCGATCGGTTACTTTGAAAACTACGGTTGGCCTACATATGGCATTGTTAAACCCTTTTGGTTGGCTCCGTTCTCTGACCACCCGTCCCGACTAATCAGTGGTTATTCCCGCAAACATAACGTTATATCTGCCGGTGAAGTACAGGGAAATCCACTAAACCAAGGAAGTCGTACACTGTATGGAATGTAATTTAATTAAATGTTACATCAATTGTAATCACTTATTTATTTTACATTATATTTATATAATTTTTATGATTATTGCTAATTATTTATTGAAAATAATTGTTGTTAAAAAATTATTTAATTAAATAAAACTATATATTTAAAATCGGTTAATATTAAAGTATTTTGTTATTTATTAATTTTACATAAATAAAATACTTTTAATATTTTTATTAATAATAAGCAAGATAGATTTATTAAAAAAAAAAAAAAAAAAAAATTAGGAACGCTTCACGATTTTGCGTGTCATCCTTGCGCAGGGGCCATGCTAATCTTCTCTGTATCGTTCCAATTTTAGTATATGTCCCGCCGACACGGGACAAGTAGCTTTTACATACCTGAGCTTAAAATGTCATATAAGTTATAAGCAATTTATTTATTACAGTTTCTTGTTTTCAGTTTCTATTTTTTTTTATAAATAAGTTAATCTGTTTAGTATAATCTCATAAAATTTATCAATATCTCAAAGCATTATCATATTATTTACAGTAATACACTGTATATCCATAATGTGCACAACATTAGCACTGAACATATATTTGATTAATATTATAGCAAACATTGAAGACTATAATAATAATTTATGATTTTAAAAATAAATTCATAAATGTATTAAAATTAAAGTAATTTAATCAATTTAAAAAAAACAATCTATAATATAACTATAACTAAAATTCTATATTATAACTAAATTCTAAAACAAATATAATTGAAATATTAACAATTTATACAACAATTTTATATACAAGACTTATCTGTAATTTTATTTTATTTATAAATTATGAAAAAATGAATTTTATTTGTAAACTCGTAAAAACAAAATGATAAATATTATAAAAATAATTATCGGTAATTTATAAATGAAATAAAAAAATACACAAATATATATAAATTATAAATTATTATTATTATTATTATTATTTGTTTTATTTGACTCATTGTTTTGCAAATCATTGAGTTTTTGTTCCGATTCTTGAATTTCAATCTCTAAGTTAAGACATTGTCTTTCAATTTCATAATTTTTGGACACCAATGCCACCCATTCTGACTCGAGATGTCTAATCCTATCGCCGGCCGCAGTCTGTGAGCTCTTTCTTTGCCAATTGACTTCTTGTATGCGTTTCCTTAAGTCGTGAAGATTTTTTTGAGCGTTTGACTGTATTTGAGTTAACAGTTGATTGTATTGTTTCCAACTTTCGGGTCCAAACTTCTGCATGAGATCCAAGTTATCGATACGTATGGCCTGATGTTCGAGTTGTGCCATAGAGTTGTTGACCGATTCAGACCACGAGGACATGTCTGTCATCTTTCCGGGCGCCGGACCCGGCATTTCGTATCTCTTCATTGACAACATTTCCATTGGCTGTCTGTTCTCAATGCGCTCCAACTCATTACGCAACAGATCCGTCTGGAAGTGCTTGAGATTCATGTCCGACAAGTTCTCCAAGTAGTTCTTCGTCGGCTTATATCTTCGTGTCTCTTCAGACACCATCTCAAGAACAGCTTCGCGAACACCGGGCTCTTCATATCCTAAATCAATGTATGGCAACGCATCCACCAATATATCCGACATTATAATTACCAGTTGATCCAAATTGTGATAATTGAGTCAAACAACTATTAGTTAATCAATAGATACAAACAAATGATAATATTTTGATAATACAAATACTTCAACATTAATAACGTAATTATAATTATAATTTAATTAATTTCAATCAAATCAAATAATATTGTGATTTACTTGAAATTAATATCAAAATATTTAATATAATTAATTAATTAAATAATAATATTAATAAAAAATAATGATTTTATGATTACTAGAGATAACCAAATGAGTGAACACAACAACACGTGTTTGTATTGACATAATTGATGTCAACATTAGACGCCATTTAAAGTGAAAGCTATTGTTTGTATTAAAACAACGTTTTTTTATCAATAAATCGATTGTTAATTGAAATCACAATTTAATTGTAAACCATTTGATTGACAACACATTTTAACCTACACTTGACCTTCAATTAGATCCAGAGATCACCGCTCAAGAGGTCCACAATGGCTGAGGATTTGGATGTGGAGGCGATGCTCGAAGAAGCCATTAAACCAAAGGTTTGCCATTTGTTTCATTGATTTCTTGATTTGACAATCATTTAAGTGATCAATAAATGTGTCGATTATATGGTATTTGATTATTATATTAATAATTAACTCATTTTTGGTTAAATGGTTTGTATTGTCTAACGGATAACCACTGATGTCCACCAATTGATAATTGATAAATGGATCAAATAATGGTGACGTTAGAGACATTAATTTCATTGATTTTAAATGAAATGAAACGATTGTCTCATTTAATGATAATTTAATGATAATTGGTGTCAATAAAAAACTAATGAAAATCATATCATTAATCAGTTTATCATATAATGACTAATGAAATGAATGCTAAAGAGTTGTATTTGTTATCATACCTCAGGGGCTTAAATGGCTTTATTGGCAAAAGAGACACAAATCCCGGACAGAGACCACATGACAAACAACTGTCACTTCACTCATATGACTGATTGTCTGCCCTAAACATGACTGCCTTTGTATGTCTTGTGTCCAGTGATTCAGTGATAATAAGTGTGAATGTGTTGACTGACTGATTGTTTGAATGATTTGTTTCCGTTTGATTTCAGTCGAAATAGTTGTCATAACTGTTGATTCAATGCTTGAAATTGTCTTTAATTATATAAAATAGTTAAAACAATTGTAATATTAGTTGAGATAAATTTCAAGCAATGAATTGATTGAGTGTTTGTAGTATTTCTATAATTTTTAAGCCAAATGTTAGGACAAAAATTCTCTATTTTTTCTAGACTTGCGATAATCATTTGTTCAAATCAAGTGTTTAAAATGTGGTAAAATTGATAATGAGATTAACTGTAATTAATGACAATTAATGACACGATCTCTAACATCAATACAAAGACTAAACGTATGTTTTTTACTTTTTCCCCAAAATCCTCCACAAAACGCATTAATGATACCTTAACCACACAAACGTTTGGTTTCAAATTGATGTCATATTAGGACACTAACAATTCGGTGGCCATCAATGGATCCAATAAGTCAAAGAAAGAAGACAAGGAAAAGGACAGGTATTGATATAATTAATGTTTGTTTTTATTAATACAATAATTGCAATATTTGTTATTTTAGAAAACGAAAGCGTAGTCGAAGTCGAGACAGAGATCGCAAACCAGACAGAACTAAGGATAAAGAAAGGAAAAGGAGTCGCAGTCGTGACAGAGATAAAGATAAAAAAGAAAAACGAGACAAAGATCGACACAACAATCGAATTCGTGAGAAGAGGTCAAGAAGTAAGAGTCGTGATCGCCGACGAAGAAGTAGATCTAAAAGTAGAGATAGAAAAAGAAGAAGTCGGACACCTGATCGATGGGGTAATGGACGACGATATAGATCTCGATCGCGCTCCAGATCTCGATATGAAGAGTTGCCACCTGAAGAAAGAGATCAAAGAACAGTATTTTGTATGCAATTGGCCGCTAGAGTCAGGACTAAGGATTTGGAGGACTTCTTCACAGCCGTTGGTAGAGTTAGAGAAGTAAGACTTATAATGGATAACAAAACTCGTAGACATAAAGGCATCGCTTATATTGAATTTTATGAAATCGCGACAATACCACTAGCATTGGCACTATCGGGACAAAGATTATGTGGCGTTCCTATCATAATCCAACCGACTCAGGCAGAGAAGAATCGTATGGCTACCACTACTTCAAGCGTTCAAAGAGGTTATACCGGACCCATGAGACTATACGTCGGTTCACTTCATTTCAATATAACCGAAGATATGTTGAAAGGAATATTTGAACCGTTCGGTCGAATTGATAAAATAGAGCTCATGAAAGACGGAGAAACAAATCGATCTAAAGGTTATGGTTTCATAGCATTTCATGACGCAGACGACGCTAAGAAAGCTTTGGAACAATTGAATGGCTTTGAATTGGCCGGTCGTCCCATGAAAGTGAATCACGTGACCGAACGACAAGAGTTGATTCAGGGACCGTCCATTCTTGACTCGGATGACTTGGAAAGAAGTGGCATTGAATTGGGAACAACAGGTAGACTACAATTAATGGCCAAATTAGCTGAAGGAACTGGCATTCAGTTACCTAAAGCTGCTGTCGATATGCTACAAATACAAAAGTCGGCGCCACCGCCTGTAATGACCACTCAAGCAAATACAGTATCGGTCGCACAGACAATAGCGACACAATGTTTTATGTTGAATAATATGTTTGATCCCGACAGTGATGAGGCCAAGAGTAACTCTTTATATTTCGATGAAATTAGAAATGATGTAATCGACGAATGTCGCAATCACGGCGGCGCTCTTCATGTGTTTGTCGACAAAGCTTCCAAAGGAGACGTTTATGTCAAGTGTCCTACGGTTGCAGCTGCGGCCGCATCAGTCACTGCTCTTCACGGCCGATGGTTTGCGGGTACAGTATATCGTCTTTTTATACCGATTTGTCTTTAAATGGTTGACTAATTTTGTTTTATTATTTTATAGGACGCTTAGTAACTGCAGCCTATGTTCCTGTCCTTCATTATCACAATTTGTTTGCAGAAGCGGCCACAGCAACGATACCTCTATGAAGAACCTAAACAACAATTTTTTGAGAAGAAAAAAATGAGAACTATTCTACCGATTCTACAAAATGTTAAAATAGTGAACTTATTTTAAACAAATGTCCATTTTTTCATTATTATGTTTTTGATTTGATATTATATTTAATTAATTGTCACATAATTACGAAAACCAAATTTGCATATTGTTATTGAAATCATTTGTTTTGTCGTAAATGTATTACAATTATCACTAAAATGTTATTTGTATTTAATGTATAGACTATTATTAATAAATATGATAAATTATGCCATAAATGTTATCAATTGATTAGTTAATCTTGTGGTAAATCAATGCCATCAACGAAACCATAAAAGCCTTCACTTGTAATTGATTTTATTTCATTTAATTGAATACATTTAACAATATATTCACTGAATTTGTAAGATTTGTAAAAATCTAATATTTCTTTGGCATTAAATGTCTCCCTTTTGATGCGTTTCTTGTTTTCCGTATTTTGTTTTATAAGAGCTCTTTGTCTGAATAATGAGTTAATGAAAGTGACGTGAAGTTTGACTGTATTATCGCCACAATCTCCAAGAAGACCTGCTTTAATAAATTTATTGACAATTTGATCGGCAATTGTCTGCAATGTGTTTGTCTCTTCTTTAACCTCAGCATATACTACATGAGCCCTCTCTTGTTGTCCTTTAATCACTTGCAGTCCTTCGAGTGTTACTTTTAAAGGCTTTCCATTGAGCACTGGATTAATAATTTGATCCAAACTATCGCGAAGTAATTTTTTGGCTAAAAGTATTTCGTTATCATTAAGTAAAACGAGAACACAAACAGTCAAATGAAGTTTAAAAGTCTTTTGAAACAAATATTCATCGATTCTGTTGCCATCGCTTACAAAGTTTGTCAAAATATTGTCTTTAAATTGATTGAACTCGTCTTTCAATGAGTCACTAATGAAGGGAACAGTTATCAAGTGAGTGAACGGTCGCAGTCTTCGGCTGTTAATAATTAATTGGTTAAACTTTTCCTTAGTTACAACCACTTTATCTTTGTTTTGATCAGTAATGGTAACCAAACACTTGTCATTTGATTTGATCTCAAACTTGACATTAGTTTTGATATTTCTTTTCCAGTCGTTCAGTGAATTCTTTACTTTCTTTGTGATCATTGAGTTTGAGACCAATGATTGCCATCGAAACAAAGTCATGTTGTTATTGTCCTTATATGTAGTCACTTCTTCTTCAGCTAATTGATCACTTGTCTGATCCTCACTGATGTTATTATCACTAATCTCTTGATCCATAAGACATTTAAATCAAACGCATGTATTATAATAACAAAACAAACTATTGAATACTTTTTCAGACAATTTGTTCCCTTTTATTGTTTAGTTGTGAATATATTTTTCAATGTCAAGCTTTAGCAACATTAAGGATCAAATGAAATGCACTGATATATTGTAAAGCAGTAAAAATCAAAACAACTTTTGATAAACTGATGAAATGTAAAGATATTTAAAAACTTTTTCAAGTGTTGGGCAAATGTTTTGACCATCGATGACGACGAGTGGATTCACTGATGGCTGACGAGATATTCAAAGATTTTACAGAATTGGAACAGTTTTTTAAAAATCTCGGAATTGAATATCGGTTTAACTGTTATTTCGAGAAGAATGCTCAGGGTTTGTGTCATCAATTTTGCCATCAATTTTGCCATCAATTGATGACAATTATTATTTAAATAGGATGTCATCTTTTGGGTGAATACATGTCCAAAATACAGAATGATTTGATCCGATCAAACAAAGTATTCAAAGATAATTGCAATGATAACAAGTTTGGTCGCAGTTGTACGCAATACGGCATTAATCTATTGACCTCAAGAGGTATTATTATTATCTTCTTCTCAAGAGTTTAACAATCGTTTTTGTCATTTGATATATTATTGAAAGGGTGTCCGAAGGATCTGAAGAAATCGCTCGACAACTTCTTGAAAGGCTGTGAGTTAGGCGACAACGAGGGATGCTTTTATTCCGGACAACTGCTATCCGGTAGTGATGGCGACTATCGGTCAGACATTGAGCCGAACATCAAGAAAGCGATGGATTATTTTGAAAAAGGTTGCGAAATGACGGCTAACAGTACAGTGGCCGCCGAGTGTTGCTTTTACGCCCACTCACACTATCTGTTCGGCAAAAACGGCTGTCAGAAGAATGCCGACAAAGCATTCAAATTTGGTGTCAAAGGATGTGATTTAAATAATTACGATTCTTGTAATAATTTAAGTCAAATGTATGCCTTAGGCTTAGGAACAATCAAGAATCAAACGATGGCTAAGAAATATAAGGATAAAACTATTGATATGATTCAACAGATTAAGAAAGCATCACATATTGACACTCAAAGAACTTGATGTCTAATGTCTTTATTTTTATAGTTTTTATTTTCTATCAAATTAGGAAAAATTAATTTTTATTAATTTAAATATATTATTAGTGATAGATGTAATAGATTTTTCAAATAATCAATTAAATCAATGCAAAAATATTTATGTTTTTTTTTGTTAATATAATTGATTAAAAAAATTGTCAAATAATTTAAGTAATTGTTTATTGAATTTCATTTCATAAACACTAAAGAATTTGAATATAATATTAATATTAATATTATTGTCAATCAATGTGTAGATCGTATACAATGAGAGCGCATGCGTTGACTATTTGGAAGCCATGATTATTGAGTGAATATTTAACACACATTTTGTATTGAATTGAATTGTAATTGAATTGCAATTGAATTAACTGTTTGTTTGACATAATAGGCACCGAATCGACTCATTTGTGGCCAATTTGTCGACAATGCTATCGAGTGGTCAAACACAGAGTCGTAAGTATTAACAACAACAATGTCTTTAAGAGGATTGTCGTCAATGATTGCTTTGTCTGTTGATATCTAATATCACCGATAGACCCGACGGCCAATGAGATACCAAAAAACCGGTCACTGACGGGAACGGTGACCAAAGTGTTGGAAAACTTCGGTTTCATCGATGACAGCGTTTTCTTTCAGTTGAGGTAATCAAATGACATTCATTTATCATTAGTCACTGTTGTCTACAGTCTTTCAAATCATTATATTATATATCGATTATAATTATTACTTTTAATGACATGTTTTATGTAATTAATTAATTATATATAAGTTTTAAAAATAATTAAATGACAATAAAATAAAAACGAAAAAAACAAACAAAATAAATGAGTGAAACGTTTGTTTGTATTATAAGAGTATCTTAAATGAGTTAATGTTATTTGTATGGCCACTGACTAGTGTTGTCAAAGGAGGAGACGTTATGGTCGGCGATAAAGTCCAGTGCGAGTGCTCTTATAGTGAACACTTGCCATTCAAGTGGAACGCAACGGTTGTACGACTAGTTCATACAAACAACAGACACAACAACAACACTTCAAACATACAAACACCGCAAACAACACAAGTGGCCACCACTTACCTTCAGCACCGACTTCAACAACAACAGCAACAATCTCGCGGCGGCGATGATTCGGCTAACACAATGTCCGCAATGACAAACAGCTCACAAAATTACTACTCGACTTCGGCTTCGGGTAACTCGTATTCCTCTCAGCCATCGTTTGACTTCGCGAAGACACAGCAAGCAGTGGCTGCCGCTCAGCAATTGGCTTCATATTATGGACAACCACAACAACAACAACAACCACGAACTGATGCGTCTAGTAATGCGTTCAGTCAATTGCAATATACGTCTACTCCAGGTTCGGCATTTGTTTCGTCTACCATTCCCTTTACACAACAAATTCAAAATAATTTGTTGTCAACCGCACCGCGAACTGCCACACAAAACAACTATAAGACGAGTAATTCTCGTTGGGAACGGGATGATCGTCCCAATCGGGGGGACGACCGAATTCGGCCACGAGATACAGTTCGGCCACGTTTAGCCGATTCAGGTCGCAGACGAAATGATTCGCGCGATAGAAACATTCCTCTCAAGGATGGAAGGGATGGAAACATTCCTCTCAAGGATGGAAGGGATGAGTTTGGACGAGACATCAGAAACGCAGATAAAAGTAAGGATAGAGAGCGCGAACGAGAGCGTCGATATAAGCGCTCGGAATCACCGGTCAGTGTTAGCAGCAGTCAAAACGTGTCGCGTGTGTCTCGACGTCGTTACGAACCGGTCAACATTCCTAAGTTGACTATTCTTAAGAGTCCACTCAATGTCTATGATATCAAACAAAGATATTCAACTAATCTTCATATTCCATCCGATCTTAAAGAAGTTATTGTTAACACGAAATTCTCTTTGAATATCAATGAAATTCCTAAACCCATTACTTTTCGAGTGATTGAAGTCAACAAAAAGTCAAAAGATGTACCAAAAAAGTCTGAGTCACCGAAAGAAAATAAAACAGATAAAGAAAATAACAAATCAGAAAAAGAAAATGAAGTAATAGAAAAAAATGATAATATCAATGGTACCAATGGTACAATTATTACCGATACTACAGATACTACTACTACTACTACTACTTCTGCTGCTGAAAACAATGAAGAAACAAATAAAGATGAAAATAAAGTCGAAGTCATAGAAGTGGACGAATCTAACGATAAAACAGAAGATAAGAATGAAGAGAAAGAGAAGGAAAATAAGGAAAAAGAAAAACCAATTTTAGTGGAACAGCCCATAGCTATGAAAAGCACCTATAAATATGGTGTCAAAGTTTTGATATTATCTTTGCCAGTGATGACTGATATCTACGATCGCTTATTTGGTTCAGATTTTGATGCCATTAGTAGTGGAAATAAGTCATATTTTTTGCATTTCAACAAATTGTTGGCTTTTCTTGTGTCTCGAAATTCAAACGATGGCTTTTCATTGATTGGCGGCAAATTCAATGCTAATTTAGATGGATATCTGTTAGTATTGACTTAATTACTAATAAATTACATTTACTTTGTATTTAATATTCATTAATTTATTTACTCTAAACTATAAGGTCTGACTCCGATGAACCAAATTTGATCGCAACTGCAGTCCGTATTGTTGAAGAACAAACGGGAATGAATTTATCGAAATGTGGAAAATGGAGAGTAATATCAACTTTTGTTTACAATCGGTTAGTTTTTTAAAACATTTATAAATTCTATCATAAATACAATATTTAAAAATTTTAATTTATGATATTATAGTGACAGCTCTGTGGACCCGTTAACAACTAATCTGGAACTGACGCGAGTCTATATGCCGGATGTCTGGTCAGCATTTGATGGAATATACGAGCCGTTAAAGCACTTGAAAACTAATAATGATTTAGACATTGATAATCAAATTGATTCTATTTTAACAAATGATAATTTAGAAAATAATAGTGAAGTTATTGATAAAAAAGAGTTGAAAAATAGTGAAGACATTATTTCTTCTGATGCCACACAATCAGCAAACGTTTCTGTATCTCAAGACTCATCACTGGTAACTGACACTGACATTGATTCCAAATGTCGATCTTCGGATTTATCTCAGACTCCTATCAATGAGTCGCAACTCATGGACACTAATGTGCCTCGCGTTGAGTCGACACCTACTGTTGATTTTGCTTCTTCAGAAACTCTGGTTTCGGATTCAATTGTAACATCGGATGCGCCAATCGTTGATCCTTCATCTGTTGATTCAGTCAAACCACAGGAACAGGAATTGTCTGCGACAAACATTGAATCAGAACTCGATCTAACTTCTGACATAACGGATGATCAGTCGTCGCAATTGAACACATCCAACGAAAAGGTTGTACCTTCAGGTGATTCCTCTGAATTACATCAATTGCTTTTGCGAATAAACGACTTGAAAGTCGCTGAATTGCGCGCAGAGCTTGAAAAACGAGGCGTTCGTCTTAAAGGTAGCCTTAAAAAGGCTGATTTAGTGACGAAATTGCGTGAAATTATTAACCAATTGCTTGAAGACCAGGAAATAGTAACTGATGAGGTTAAGAACGATTGGTGGGCACAAAAAATTATGAAAGAGAGTGTCACCTCTGAGGAGGGTAACGATCAATCAATAACTGACAATAATGAAGAAAAAGTAGATAATGACAGCATAAGCAGTCAACCAGATGTTGACGGTTCGGTTATTTCAGAAACAGTACAGCAATCGACTGACATTGATATGACTGATAATGACACACAAAGTCAGGAACAGTCGACAATTAACGTTAATGAAGAACCAATGGCTGTTGAATTAACTGATGATAAAACAAATGATACGAACACTGAAATAAAAAGTGTTGACAATGTTGTCAATGATGTAAATGATGGCCAGAATAAGGAAACAAATGGTTAGTTTTAATTTGTATTGCATTTCATGAAACATTTGTAAACATTTTATTCAATTTTTTAAAGGTATTAAACGTAAAAATGATTCACAATCGCCACTAAAAGATAATAAGAAAGTCAAGAATGGAGAGCAAACTATTCCATCGAAAGTAGTCGATGGATGTGTTTATGTAAAAGGAGGCGAAAATTTAACTGTTATTACACTTCATGAGGCTTTGAATCATCAACGATATGATCAGTTTGAGGTTTGTTAGCAATTATTGACAATTCATTTATAATACTCTATTTTATTGAATTATATGTATATATATTAGATGTCAATTGTATCAGAAATCATAAGGGAATCACTTATTCATCACTTTTCACACTATATATTGTCGACATTAGTTAATAATAGTAAGAATCCGCTGTCAAAGGAGGAGAAGACTGCTTTGGAATTAAAGGTAAAACATATTTATATTGTAATTAAAAAAATATATTTTAATAATAAATCGATTTAATTGAAAACAGACTCAATTGCCTGTAAATTATGTCCACTTGTCGTTCGCATACTTTGATTCGAGTCATTGCGGATATGTTTTGTCCGAAGATTTAACAAAACTAATAAATAACTCTAATTTCACTCTTTCGAGACGTTCTTTCGAAAAGTTAGTTAACAATGAAGACAAAGTCGTCTATAGAGACCTTAGCGAACCAAAAGAATTACTGCCAATTGTTTCGAGTGCTGTCGACCTGATTAAGACAAATGAAGGACAATCACAACTGATAAATGCAAAGATATACGAAAAGAATGGAACCGTTTATGATATCAATCAACTCATTGATCAGTCAGAAAATGACGAAAAATTAAAAGTAAAACTCAATGAAGAGTTAACTGTAAATCAGGAAAAAATATGTAAATTTATTTGAATTAACAATTATTTGTTTTTTTGACAATTATATTGAAATTATTGTTTTAATTTTTTAGACCAATTGAATGAATATATTCAAGAATTAGAGAGCAAACAGAAAAAGATGACGATTGCCACTGAAAAACAAAACGATGAGATATGTAGTATTAAACGGGAACGGGAGTCAATCAAAACTAAGGTTTCACTCATTATTCATTTTTTACATACAGTCTATTCAATTAATAAACTTTTTATTTTTTTTATTCCTATCTTTTATATAGTATGAAGCCATGAGAAAAGCAGTCGAGTCGTCAGTTTCGGCATTTAATAAAGTGTTGGAAAATCAAAGCGAAAATCAGAGTAATAAATAAAAAAACCAATAAAAACAATCATAAATATTGAAAATCTTTATTATAGATTGATATTTACATTTTATCTAATATTTAGAACAAATCATTACTTTTCTTTTTAGACATTTATTTTGTAAATCAAAAAATTCATAATTCAATAGACAATACACTCAACAATAAATTAATCGTATTTTAGAATTATTATACAATAATTATTTTGTATTTACAAACAAATTATTTTAAATTCGAAATAAAAGTCTACAAAATAATTATTTAATATTAAAAATATCGTATTTTAAAGCATGACTTATAGATTATGAAAGATTCAAATATTGTGACAAAAATGTGTTTTTTGATAACTTATATGATATAACTTTGTTTCAAAAGATTAAATTCTAATGATTAGAGTCTTCACTATTGAATTTAATAACAAACTGTTGTCGACATTTCATAACCACTAAGAATATGAAGAATATTAGTATAAGTGTTAGTGAAATGAGTATTGCACTGAAAATGATAGCAAATTGTCTGAGAGTAAGTCCAGACCAATACCAGAATCTCACGAATCGGTTCTTTTTAAACAAGTTTTTTGTATAATCCGGACATTCAAAGAGATCACTGTTTTGTCTATAAGTCGTACACTATTTGATATCAAATATATATTAATGATTTTTTATTGAAAAAATAATTATAAATAATTAATGAGACATGTCTTACACCACTTGAATCTTTCATCAAACAATGTGAACCAATTCTGTTGTCATCGATGAACAAGAGGTAACTTCCGTTATCATATGATAACAGTGCCTCCGCTTTGTATGTATTGAATGGTATTGAATGCGAATAAATGGCTTTATATTCGGGAATATATGGACTGTCGAAGTAGTAACCAATTGGATTAAATAGTGAGTGATGTTTGAAATAGAAAACTACAAACGAGTCTTTTACTTGAGATATGGCTAATAATGGATGACTTTTCGGAAATAGCGACCAATTGCCAGTATTTCCCAACTCTTTAAATGTTTGATTATTAAATTTAAACCATATATTATTCTATTAAAATTTTAAATACTGTATATAATTAGTTATTATGTTATGTTAGGCATAGTTTTGATTAACAAATTTAAGTTAAAAACCTGAATAAAGAAAGTATTGCCATTCAATGGATTAGTTTTAGACGATATATAAAATGATGTCTCAATATTATTAGGCAGATATTGCCAGTGATTTGATATATAACTGGCATTTCCTATCACTTTATCTAATCTATCATTTAATTTCCAAAACCATTTACTCATAAATATATAAGTATTTCCATCTGCAGTGCGGACAGCAGTGTCCAGTTCCCCGTCGATACACATCGCAGTTGTCTTAAAATAATACAAACAAAATTGAATTTTAAAATATAAGATATTATAATCGAGTCGTTAATGAGTTAAAAGTTTGTAAAAAAGTAAAAAATGCTTTCATTTGAATTTTAAATAACGTTTAAAAACTATGAAATTTGAAATGAGAGCTCAATTACCGGATCTATTAAAGTGTGACAAACTTTCAAAGCAAACATAATGAGTGTATAAATTACTATAATTTTAATTTTCAGTTTTTTCAAAGACATCAAATCTATGGTTCAGTGATTTCTTCAGTGAATACAATGTTTAAAACAATTGAATGAAATGCAGATATAATCTTAAAATTTTTAAAATAGCAATTTCTTGAGATACCATATATTGTTACTTATGATACTACAGTAAATATAATACTTAATTTATTTTTTTACATTTTTAAAATTGAAATTTACGTTTAAACTTAATATAGAATTTTATTGTTAAGTTCATGAAAATAATTAAATTTATAAATTTTATTGTATTTTATATTATTAATATATAAAGTCATATAATGTGAAATAGGAATACAATGCAAAATAATAACTATAATTTGTATTGTATACACTGTATACCTGTAGTTTTTGATAAATTTATTTTTAAACAATTACAAACTATATTATATAAATATAGATCGATATAAGACGGATATAATGTAAATTTATTGTTGATTTATTGTGTAATTTTCTTAATAAAATTTATTAGTTTAACTAATGACTATCTCTAATGTTTAAAGATAATAGTTTTATACATGTTTTTACTGTATAAGTAGTTGAAATTATTAATAAAACAAACATTATTTTAATAAAATTGAATAAAAAACAGTAATAGTATTGAATGTTAATACTACCGGTAGATATACTACTGTATAAATTATTTTTAATTTAGTTTGAATTTGAAAAGAAAGTCTTAAAAAAAGTTTAATGAAAAAATGATTTAATATGAATCTAATATAAAAGTATTATAATACTATCAAATCCTTCTATTATACAATGAATCAATTAATATAATACTTTAATATTGTATAACACAATAATACAGTACTTACTTAATTAAAATTTAATTGTAATATTTTTTTTTAACTTAAAGGAGTGCTGACTATCCCATTGAACCCAAGCCCTCATTTCACTTAATTTAATAGATAATAATCTTTTAATTCATTTTTATGAAACTCTTATTTAATAATACAAATAAAACTTTTGTTAAATTTGATAATAATTTCAGCTCTAATTATAAATTAATTTAAAAATATATTTTTGACATCTTTAATAATTACTTTATTATGAATTAATGTATTATAAATATACATTTTATACAATTAAAAATTGACAAAAAAAATATTTAACAAATATAAACAAATATATTTAACAAATAAAAATTGTTGACTAAAATCATTAATAAAATTATTGCAATTATGACATTTGATAATTTTAAAAATCATTTGAGTTATGAATTAAATAAAATCTTTTTTAATGAATTAATGGATTATTGACGATAAATATTATTATTATGTATTTGTTTCGGTAATAAAACTTCGATTTTCAAATCCATTTTTCAGTTGAGGACTACTTTGCGATACAATTGTTGAAGAGTTTCGCAAACTCTTTGGTCCACTTTTAGCTAACTTTCCATTTGATGATATGTTTGTAGTATTAGTGGAAAATGAGTTCAAATTAAAATGATTAGCAATTTTGTTGTCGACAACGTCTTTCATGGCTTCGGATGACTTATTATTTGTGGTTTGTTTGCCAACACTTTGTTTAACACCATTTGACTGAATGGCTTGTGTAGCACTTTTGAGGTCCATTTGCTTTAATTGGTTTTTAGGTATCTTTTTGTGTGGCAAAGCGTACCTCAATTTCTCCCAAAACCATTTCTCGCCCCAAACCAGGTATGTCTTAGTCGTGAGCAAAAATGCCAAATCTTTGTCGAGTTCCTCTTTAGGAGGCAACTGACCCTTAACCACAACAATCAATCGGTCGATCTTGTCTTCAAGCATTTGATAGTAAGCGGTGTGGAACTCGACCTGAAACCAGATGGACTCAATGAACTCTTTGGACAACACAAGAATAGTACGCTTCGAGTTCTGTACACTATTGACAATATTCCAAGAGATCAGATTCCCCGGCAACCAATCCCTCTCATGAATACATAATTTAAAATATATATCATTATTGGCAATATTGTTGTCATTAGTTTCAATTGAGTGCCGATTATTCATCGATAGGCTTATCTGAGACTTTTTAAACTCATTTTCTGGTATAATCTGATCATTCATTCCCTCGTGAATGGAAGCACCGGTAGTATTGTGTAATATAAGGTTGGCTTCATTATTAGGTTTCTCAAGCATTTCAATCAGACTCATGACTACATCCCTGTCGGCACTGGAATACGAAACAAAAGCATCGTATATCTTATCGCTGTCCAAATCGTCTTCACTAAAGCTCATACATATAAATATAGGATTCAAATGGATATAAATAAAGGCTAAGATTGTCTGCTTATTGCGATAATAGAGCACCGATACTATAAACAGACTAATTGCTAATATAACACATGTTATGGTAAGTGTCAGCAAAAGTGTTTCATTTGTTGGCTGATAAAACACGGGACACAAGATATCGTCCGGCATTTGTCTTATAGTGGAACTGGAGTTAAGGGTTAAGTTATCACATTTAATGGCATTCAAATCACCAATTCTTTCGTTATGATTGTTAAGCCATCGCTGAAATTCGCGTATTTGGCACATAGATCCCGGAGCTGACGGCTCATTATGACAGTCATATGGATTGTCTCCGAGATATAACTTTGGATCATATAATCCATTTTCATTAAGAAAAGATGCGAACGAATCAAAGTTTTTTAAAATACTTAATGGCATTGAAGTGATGTAATTGTTTCTTAGAGATAGCACTCTAATCAAAGGTAAAGAAGCGTTTTTGAAGCTATAAAACTGTGGTATAATATCTTCGCTGACATCAGATATCGTATTGTTATCCAAATAAATGTCAACAAACTCTGGTTTTTTCATCATTTTATTGCCCCAAATAAACATCTGATTAATTGGTTCAATGTCTTGAATATGGTTATGCTTAAGATGAACGATAACACCTCGAATATTATCAATGCGATGGTTAAATTCAAGTGATATATTGTGATAACGCGATAAAATTAATTCTTGTGGTAATAATTGTAGACCTTTTTGGTCACAATCGATCACAACAGTAGAATCACTGCTTTGATAAACACAATCACAATTTGAAGGACAGATATTTTGGTCGTTAAGCACACATATGAGTTGCGAGAGCTCTAACTGTGCCAATGGTTCGCCCTTTAAGTGGTCCGGTTTGTCACACATGGGTTCCTCCGTTTCAATCAAAAATATACTCTTTCTATATGTAGTCTCCGATGATCTGCTGGCATATAATGTTGTTTGAGATGTCTTAACATAGTTAAGAAATGGTTCCAAAAAACAGTCACAATTTATAGGATTATTATCGAGCCGTATGTGTGTCTCCCATATGTTAGTCTTAATCAAAGAGTTATCTCTTGTTCGTCGAATAGCTTCACCGGCGGTCACATCTTCATTGTGATTGTAATCAATGGATAGCTTATCATAATTAACAACATCCTGAATGTCAACAGATGTAAACTTATTAGAGCTGAGGTCGAGGTTAACGATGGGTGCAATGGATGAGCTAAACACTGGGACACGAAATTTGCCGCTAAAGTTATTATGTCTTAAATCAAGTTCTGCTATATTTAAATATAGACTCCAATTAATTGAATTAAAATCAGATTCAAAATTATTTAATTCATTGTAACTGAGATTAACTTTTCTTAACTTTGATCCCAAACCAAATGGTAGTCTATTTTGTTCGCTATTAGTTGTCTTCAAATTGTTTTTATTTAAATACAGTTCTTCTAGATTCTGAAGCGGCAAAAATAAATGCGGATTTGTTTCAGACAACTGATTGAAACCAAAGTTTAATTTTCGTAAATTTCTTAACTGTGAAAATATATTTTCGGGCAACTCTTCAATTTCATTGCCATAAAAATTCAGTTCAATTATCTGCGATGAGTTTGAGCTAAATATTTCACGACTTATTTGTGATATATTATTGTATGAAAAATTAAGTGTTGATAGTTTGGGATTTGCACCAAACAAACCATTAATTGTCAAATTTGTTAAAAAATTTCCATTCAGATGAATATTTTCAATGTTTGGGGAGTTCTTGAAGAATATGTGAGGATTTCTACTTAGTTGTGTCAGTTGACAATCAGATGCCGTAAAATTAATCAGTTTTTCCAAGTTTTGCAATAAATTAACGGGAAATGTAACTAACTTTTGATTTGCACTCAAGTCTATAGCACTGAGTTTGTTGTTGTGTCTGAACATTGTTTCGGGAAGTTTTGTCAACAAATTTCCTCTTATGCTAAATAAACTCAAACTTTTTAAATCTTTTAATATATTTGACGGCAAATCACTAATTTGATTGTTAGAGAGATCCAGTATCTCAAGTTTAGTAAGATTTGCAAAAGCATTTAAATCAATTTTGTTTATATTATTGAAACGCAGATATAGTTTTCGTAAAGTTTTGCCCGCATATGAAAAGGTAGACTTTGTGATGGTTTGCAAATTGTTTGCGTCTAACTCTAAATACTCTAATTTTTGTGAACCGCTTAACATTTCAAACAATAATCCCGGCATAGAATCCTTCATAAATGACTTTAAAATTAATATTTTTAAATTAGGAAAGTTTTCATCAAATTTGAATATATTGTCGCTTATAAACAATTTTTTATTTGTTTCTAAATTTAAAGTATTATTATTATTATTATTATCATTTGTAGAATTATTATTATCATTAATATCAGTAATATTAAAGCTATCATTTAATAAACGATCTGATGGTTGGTTTGTAGATAAACCAATAAAATCGTTAATCAAGAATTGATCTAATCTTAACTGTTCTAACGTTTCCAATCCAATCATAACATTATTAAATTGTTTTAATGAAATTGAGTTCTTGAGTGATATTGAAAGGGATCGCACTTTACTTATTCCGGGTTTTTGTGACACTTCTTGATTCTTGTTATTTATGGTTACACTCGGTGTACCTTTTGGTGGCTTAACGGAGGACACGGATGAAGTCCGATGTAAGACAGCATTCAATGGCAATGAGTCGGGAAGCGGACAGTTCTCAAAGCTAAATGTGTCGATCGATTCAATACCAAAGCCTAACAAAAGAAAATTAATGTTTATTTTACAAATCAATTGATATTATGTTCAGAAAACAATAAGAAAACTAAATTATGTTCAAACATATAGCCATAAGTTATGGCCTATAAAAATATCATATATGACTCACTCATACATAATTTTGAAAAATATAAACTATAGATAAACTATGAAAATATAATATAAAATAAATAGAAGTTAAATCAAATAATATATAAATAAAATTATTTGTTTAGCCAAAAATTAATTAAGATAATTAAATTTAATTGAAAGTAATTTTAAAATTCTAGTTTTATAAACGAAAATTGATCACTACATTTATTATATATAAAATTGCAAAACATTTATCAGTCATATCACTAAATTTTTATTGTATACATAATAAGTTATAAATTAATAATCATGTATTATATTAAAACTTTTTACTGTTATATATATTGATAGTTTAATGCATAATAATTTATGAAATGTTAATAATTTACATGAAACACTTCAATATTAATGTTAATGTAAATTATTACTATAAATAGTAAAATCCTAAATACATTAATATAAAAAATGTAAAAAATTTGGGGTTAAATGTTAACATCATATCACAAAATGGTATTTTTGTAATAATTGCTTTCATATAGTCAACTGATAACTTGATTAAAGCATATCTTAAATCAATAAGTTTTGGTAAATAAAATTTTATATCAGAAATTTAAGCTTAATTTCTAAACTATAGTATTATATGAATCATTTATTTTACTTTTAAACAACATAAAAATATGTCTGATAATTTAATTATTGAGAATATATGGCTAACAATAATAAAAATATAAATTACTAAATTTTTTTTGTCGAAAACTGTTTTAACTAAAGATAATATTTGATATATAATATTGTTTTGAGAAAAATGTCACACAAAGGTAGTCTCAGTTCAATGGTTATGATATATATCTATAGATAACTAATAAATTGGTGACACAAACAAACCTTGAAAGAGTGCGGGTCTATAGTAAGGAAAACCATTATCACATGTGATGCGGACCTGTCGTCCGATTTCATATCTAATGAAGAAAGCATAGGGCAATACTATGATGTCATCCAACTCTATGTGTGATTGTTGTGTTGTGGGACTGTTAGGTGTTGGGTGTCCACTATAACAAGTGATCTCCCAGCCTCCCTCCTGGATTTGAGAACAGTCACAGTTTGGTTCACTAGTATTAACTAATGTGTTGTATATCTGAGCCGAAGGACAGGTAGCAAAACAATGGACGCGTGAAACACTTATATAATAGACGACTATAAATAATAATAGCGTTGACAATGATTTGTTTGATGAGGAAATGTTGTGTCGATTATTATCCGAGAAGAGCATTGTTTTTGCAGTGAATCTCCCGTTTGGGTTCAGTATTGGTGACACTTATGTTATGATGATTACAAACTTATGGCATGACATGGATCTCATGTATAAAAAATCAAAGCTTTTCAGTTATGTTGTATTCATTTAATTTATATATTTAATTATCCAATTATTTCACGAATAAAAAATCCCGAAAAAACTTTTTTTTTGAAGTGAATTACAATAATAAGAAATATGTTGTCAAATGAATGAAACATAAGCACATATATGAGTGCTATTTATTATTATTGATAAAATTAAATATTGGCTAAACTTTTTCAGTCCTTTCATTCTCACCAATGAACTATTGCCAACATTTTGAGCTCAATATCAATGATAACTACAATAATAGTAATAATAATAATTTTGTTTCTGCATTAATATAAAGAGTATATGAGTAGTCATGTAAAGGCTGTCCTCGCTTTCAGCCACAACTAAACTACAGTAATATAAAGTTTGTTAGTAATACATACCATCCCTATCGGTTTGGATGCGTTATAAAGTTGTCAAACAGGTTGGAACAGGTTCTCAAACCTTTAATATTAAAGCACAAGATTTCTATGATTTATATATTTACAGATATGTTATGTCGAGAGTGTCGGGGGCTCTCCAACAGACACTACAATACATTACAAACATTTTATGAAACTGTTTTGGCTTTTCATGTGATTAGTATTATTACCGAAGCTTGAATTACGTCAGATGTTTTAATAGCTTAAAATATATTGTTAGCAATAAATGGCACATTTAGTATAAATATTAAGGGCTGTGCTCCCGGTCCGCTGTTTATACAGATATTAGTCAACTGTACCCTATTGTCAATAATTTCCTATATAAACATAACAATTGCATTATATAATATGATAATAATACAGGAATAATAATAAATATTAATTTAAATATAGTACAGTATAATAATAAATAATTCAAATTGATAATAATAATTTTTAGAGTTTATATTTAAATATCTGTGAAATTTTAAATAAAAAACTTTCAAATAGTTTTTTGATTTACAATTTTTAAAAACGTCTTTTTTGTACTCATTTTTATGTTCCACTAATTATTAAGTGATTGTAAATTTAACTGTAATTTATATGTAGAATTCAAAACAATTCATCCAAATATATCAACAAAAAAACTATATTTATGTTATGTAACGATAGTCTAATAGTTGGCAAACACTAATCGACCCGTTATTTCCCATAACGACTGCCATTCAATTACAATAATTTCCGCTTCAATTGTTAATAAAATCTTATTTGATTCATAAAAGGATTTATTTGTCAAAACAATAAAGAAAAACAAATTTTTTAAAAATGTCTGCAAAGACCTGAATATTTTAAACTACTTTTTCTGATGTTTTTATTTAAACACTACTGTATATTACATATTTTGTATTTACTTTACAATGCTATCGGCTATAGTCACCACAAAATTTAATTGATAGTCTCGTTTTCTCTTAAATTCCCTACATTTTTATAAACGATATATATTTTTATAAATAACTAGTTTTTGGTCACAGTTTATTCAAACGTGTTTTACTTTTAATAAGGTTTTAATAAATGAAAAAAAAACAATCTTTTAATCATGATTTCAAGATTCACTTAAATTTTGATACTATTTTACTGTTATGACAGTAAGTATTATATAAAGTGAAAGTACAGTATTTCAAGTCTAAACTTACAATTAATTAATTTTTAAAAAATAACATGTAATATACTATTTAGCTAATGGATCAAAAAACATTATTTATTTTTATATAATTTTGGGTAAATTTAGACTAAAATAGTCGGGTATTTCCGAAATTACACTAACCTTAATACAGTTAACCTCTTTTAACATTAATATTTGTAATGCAATGTTATTTCACTATTTAACAATCGCACTTTATTTAACATTTTATTATATATGTAAATTGTTTTTAAAAATTCATTACAAAAAACTAATGATAAATTAATAATTTAATAATCTAACAATAACAATAAACACATATGCAAACATTTTTGTCAAGGATTTTTAAAACAATATACAATATATACTGTTTATAATTATTAATATTTGCAAAACATTTTAGATAATTTTTTTATGCAATTATAAAACATTTAAATTAAATTATATTAGTAAAATTAATACACTAAATTGCACTATTTACATATTATATATAAATTAATAGAATATAATTCATAAATAAAAACATATTAAATCTGAAAACATGATACATGAAAACATATGGTTTTATAAAACTAACAATTATTATAAAATTTAGTAACAAAATATAACCTTGCTTATATTTGATACCATATCTGTATTGCAACATTCATAGTATGAATTTCATACAATACTATGTTATATGATATTTAAATAATATTTTGTTAGCCTTTAATTAATTTGCATATTTGTTGATTGCTTTAAAGCTTATATAACTCTCTAAAATGTTAAATACTGTAAAAACATTTAAATACATAAAATATTTAGAAAAACTTTATTTAAGCGAAAGTTATCATTAATTACATGCAATTAGTTGTGTGAATGTAAACCATTGAATAACTTTTATAATCATTTTAATTATGGATTTAATTAATGTTTTGACACAAAGACAGCGACAGTTAAGACATACTCAAGACTTGGTTGTCAGCCAACCGTGTGGTGATCACATCAATCAAACCAATCAAACGTTAGCTGAAGACACTGCCACAACATTTAAACCAGTTTTGATGGAGTCGTTGACCACAATCAGCAACACTTTGAATGACATCAATCAACACAAGAAGTCCTCAGTCAGTGAAGTGATTTTGTCGCGAATCAAGACTATCAACACATTGCTCGACAAACAGATGCTCGTCGTCGACAAAGTCAAGACTATCGACCAGTCAGCCAATCAATTAGACAAATATGTGGACAACTATCTCAAAGAGGCAGACAAAGAAGGACTCATCAAATTAGATGATGTCCACAGTTTGACACTCAAGAGAGACCAACTAATTAAACGTATAAATGAATTATCACCTAAAGTAATGCAAATAATGGAGTTGAAGAATGAGATCAATCGTTTGTCACAATCAATGAAACAGTTAACAGACAAATACAATGGACTTCTGGCTAAAAACATTGCCTTTAAATGTAGGATTCAAACGATGATAAACAAGAAAAACGAATTGAAACTTAAGAGGAAACGATTGAAGACATCACATAATTATCACTTGAAAAGCTTTTGACAATTTTATGTATTCAATGCTTTTAATTAAATTTCAGATTAATTTGCGACAACATTGATGTCTTATTATTCATACCAAATGATCACCGCTTTTCAAATCATTTTTATATTTAATATAAATTAATGATTATTTCATTTCATTGAAAAAAATATAATTGAGTTATTTTTTCATATGTATTATTCATAATATTTTTCTTACTTAATAATTCACAAACTATTAGTGCCAACAATAATATTTAAATAATTAAATTCACTTGAATTACAATATAACTATTTATTAAATAAATAATTTATTTTAAAAAATTTGAAACACGTTTTCACAATTTCCTAAATACCTTTTTTACCCTACGATTAATATTTTGAAAGTATTCAAAATTGAATAACATTATAAATATTATCTAAATATTATTATTATTTCTAATTATTAATAATAATAATTGATTATAAATAAATATTTAATTAGGTAATGTTTGTATATAATTATACTATGTTTTTAAAAATATATGATATTAAATACTGTATATTGAATTTTATTAACAAATAATACCATATCATTTATTATACTAAATAAATTATGATACTAACAAATATAAAATTGTTATTTGAATTAACCGTTAATATTTTTTGAGTTATTTAATATTTTAATTTGTGATAAATTTGTCAAAATATCAAATAAATTATTAATAAAATAGTCGTGACAAATAATTTAAATAATAATTATAAATTAAATGTATGCACTAATAATATATTTTTAATAAAGTTTTATTTACAGTACATTACATTTACATTAACAGATTAGTGATTTATAAGCAATAATATTGTTTCTACTGTAAGGTTATATACTGTATAAATATATACTAACTATACTAAATATATGTACTATACTAACAATATAGAGATCACAATAGAAACTTGATTACTTTAAATTTATTATTATTAATAAATTTTCATTAGTATATTATATTATAAAATTAATAATTAGAGTTTAAATAAAATTTTTAATTTATAAATTGAAAACACAAAGTAATAAATTGTTTTAGTTTCGTAAAATATTACCTAATAGTATAATATTAACTAATATAGTTAATAACTATTATCTTAAATATATGCTAAATATTATTTCATAAGACGTTTTATTAATTATTATTTCAGAATATTAGCCATTCTCTAAATATTTGATAAAAACTTAAATTAATAATTTTTAAATAGCATTTGCAAAATAATATTTATAGTAAAACTGAAAACAATAGAAAATCAATTATTTTAGTCTTGAATTTTAGTAAATTCAATAGAAATAGTTTATAGTCTCTAAGTTTATAAACAATACTCTACAATATAATTTTTAAGTTTAAAAATATATTTATTTAACACTATAAAATTATATGAATGATAAATTAGCAATGTCATATTGTGAAATGCTTCAGAAAGTGATATCAAAATAGGTTTTAAAAATGTAAAACTTGAAAAAATCATTTATATGTATTCAAAAATATGTATTAATCAGTAATTATTGTCTTATTAGTATTTTTGCTACAAAAATCACTATCGATTCACATATTAAGTCCTATACTTATACTGCACTGAAATAGGTATTTGTAGTAAAAGTCAATACTTTGATAATTAATAAAAAATATTTTTCAATCGCTGATCATATTTCTAAAAATATAATATTTCTCATTGTTTTTGCATTTTATATCATTTATGCCATCTTTTGATTATAAAATAAATTGTTTATAAAATTTTGATTTGTTTGCTATACTACTGTACTGTACAGAGATATAGCAATCAATTTAACACTTTTTTAGATATGGTGTTAGTGAATAGCAATCAGAGGGTTTATGTATGAAATAGTACTAAATTGTAAGCAATATATAAACAATCATATGATGTGACGCTTTATTGATATATTGCAGTCATTTGTTGTCAATTGAAGTGAAATCTAATATTGAATTTACAATTGTTTTAATTAATTGTTATTATAATTAAGTGAAACAATTGATGACATTTAGTGACACTTTAATTATTTATTGAGTGATTTCTTTAAGTATTTATTCATTAATTGATTTATATTTTGAGTCATTTACCGATTGATTGATTGTTTAGATAAATATAAATTGTTTGTTAAAGTGTTTAATGATTTAATCGTTAAAACAAATAACCAAATCATAAGTCATTAGTGAAGATGTCATTAAACAAGAACGAAGAGAAGGCACCACTTCTTAGTGGTGATAGTTATGTGTCAAACGGTCATATGTCAGGTATAGCGTCGACATCGGCGGCCTCTTCGACATATTCATCACTCAACGGACACTATCCTAACAATAGTTGTAAGTTTTATTTTGGATCAAATAAAGTGATTTATTAATGACATATGTTTTCAAATCATAGTCAACACATCCCAATACAACGAGACATATGTAACGGTGCCCTCTATAGGACCCGATGAGTTGCCGCCGCCCTATAGCGCGTCAATCTCTGGTGGCGTACCAGTGATAGTGGCCTGTCGTGTCTGTGGGTCAATGATTGACATCACCGGTAAAAGAGAGCAACACGTAGTCAAATGTGACAATTGTAACGAAGCAACGGTTTGTACTGATTTGTGATAACATTAATGTCAATATTTAACTCAAATGTTTACTTAATAGCCAGTAAAGAGCGCACCGACGGGAAAAAAGTATGTCCGCTGTCCGTGTAATTGTCTGCTTGTATGCAAAGCCAGTGCTCAAAGGATTGCTTGTCCGCGCCCTCAATGGTAATGATATATAATATGACTTAATTATATCGTGTTTTACGGTAATCATATATTTTTATAAACAGTAAGCGAATTATCAATTTATCGGTGAATCAAATGTCGGTCAATACAACAACATCGCCATCAATGTCGCCACCGATGCCTGGGATGTGTCGTGTTATATGTGGTCACTGTCATGAGTCGTTTCTCTTCAATACTCTGCAGAACAATCTCGCCCGATGTCCGCACTGTCGCAAGTTATCATCGGTTGGCCGAGAATTTGCCAGAACTCGAGGCATAGTGTTCTTGATCTTTGCTCTAATCTTTTTGATTGTCTCATTGGGCGTCATATTTGGCACACTATCAGTGATAAGAAGTGGTTCAAGAGGTTTGATTGCGTTAGACGTTATATTTTCATTGATTTGTTTTCTACTGTTTATCCGATCCATGCATTACTTGACAATGAAAACCAGTCTAATTGATTCAAATTAAAAGTAAATTATATTTGATTTATTCATTCCATATAATTATTATCTTATTATATTAATGTATAATTATTAATGATATTATTTTACTTTAGAGTTATATTTAATTACTTTATATACTATCCTAATATTGTTTGATGTGTTTTTTTAATTTGAGTATATAAATTTCTATTTTGTCAGTTATTAAAAGCAAACTTTTAATATACAAAACAATAATTATTTTAGTGATTATATTAATTATAATAGAATTAAATATATTTTGTTTTAATATATTATATTATAAACTTCTTTGTTTCACTTTGTTTAAAGTAATATAATGTAGTAATACTGTAGATTAAGTTGTTTATAGGGGTGTAATATTATGCGAATAGTTTTACATTAAATTTCAGTATAAAATGATTAATATTCAAGATATCTAAATTATTATAAATATTTATTATAATTTTAATATATTTTCAATATTTTAATTTATAATTTTTTAATTTTACATTTTATAATATATGGTTTATCGATAATATTATTTAAGTAAACTAAACACTATTACTAAATTTCCTGAAATTTAAGACAAATTCGCCTAATATTACAATAAGAGAAAGTGAGACAAACGGACAAAAATATTAAACAATATTTTTCAGTAAAGTATTCATAAATGAATCGATGAACTACCAAATGAATGAATTTTGTTTATATTATTGTAAAAATAGTTATCAAAATTATTGCTTATCGGTTATTATGATATAATAGAGTGCATGAAATTATATTAAATATGTTAGCATTTAATTGGAATAATTTACTAAATTATTTGATTTGTTTAATAAAAAGAGGGTTTGGTTTTGCTTATATTGCATACAATTTTTCAAATACACATTTCTGAAAATTATTTCAATTTAATTATATACAGTTTATTAGTAATTACTGTAATATTAGTTTTTATAAAGTTATTATAAACTAACATCAATATTACTGATCACTATTTTATGAAACGTCATTATCAAAACATTTGTCAATTGATTTATTACAGTAGTTATTTGCATCTCAAAAAGTGCCACAATTTAGTTTATATACGAATGTATTGTGTAATTGAAATATACGGTAATTACCAAAACTTAATAATATGCAAACAATTATAAATTGCTTTTTTTTATTAAAAATGTTTAGATAGTCATTTTAGTTATTGTTTATGATAACATATTACGCTTATTACTACTACTACTACTGTGTATTTTATTAACATTCAAATTGATGATCCAATGATTATTACTATTTAATCGATACATTATTTTAAATTTTAGTTTAATTTAATGTATTATTTTATTTAAAAAAAAACATTGTATACTGACTGTGTCTCAAATTCATTTTATAAGTCTTTTAAAGTTTTTTAGTGGATTTAGACAAAAATCTAATATTTATTAAATTATTTTTGCTGATTCAATGTCTCCTATACATTGTATAACTTATACAATAGATGTATTAAATTATCAAAAAATATAACTTATATTAATTAAGAGTTAAAATAAATATAATTTTAAACTAATAATGTTTAATATCTATGAGTTTGACTTTGTTTTTATTTATTGAAAATCAACTCATGTTTAGTGATTAATCAGAGATCAGTTGGTAATAAAATAATTTGAAATGAGATATTTATAAAAATTACTTTTAATTATATATTCAACAAATATATTACACAAAAGATGCTAAATTGTGTAAAAACTTCATTTTTTGTCTATTTTTTCATAAAATGTAAATTAATTAAAACACAAAAAATAAAATTTTTGAATTTTTTGCCAAAATGTTGATAATTAGTTGTTGTCTACCATTGTTTGCCCACATATTTCCATTTCTTCATAACGCCGTGTCGTCTAAAAAAGTTGACGATAATTGGTGTCAATATAATGGTTGCGGTGATCCTTAACGGCATAATAACCTTATGGAGAGCGTATGCCACGGCAAAAGTGCCCGAACCGGCCATTATTTTGGTCACATTCTCGCCGAACCTCTCGAAGAACTCATTCTCCAGCAGTTTTGTCACATCAAAGCCCAGGTATATAATGGTATAGAAAGTACCCAAAGATATCAACGAAAGCACAATATGAAGAACAATAGCAGTCGACCCATAGTTTTGGATAATCCTCTTAAGTCTTTCGCGATGACTTAGTTTGGGATTGTCGTCAACAAAGCTTCCCTTCAATGGCTCTGTCTTTGGTCGACCACTATTACCCTCCGTTGATGCCGACGACGACAAGTGTCTTGAGATGATTAGCCACGGCTTGTGATTGTTGTACTCAATTGTATGTGATTTGACACATATTACTGAAGATCTTATTGATTTGATTATTGGTCTAAAGTATTGGCTATTAATTAAAGTCAACACTTTATACGCCGACATATTGTTTGTCTGTATATCACAAACACTTGCAAACAATCATTTGTCAGACAAATCAGTGACAATATATCAGTGATGCCAACGATGACAACACATACCATCACATGATGTCTACAATAATTGTTTTCATTGAATGTCAAACTCATTGGCACTCATCAGATGTCTCTTAATATTTATACTAAAAAAATGTTTTAATATTAATATTAATTAATTGTAAATGTATTTAAAGTTAAGACTGTTTTAAAAACAGTTATTAAACAATAATTAACTAATTATTATTTCAAAGTGTGTCTCAAAATTAGAAAATATTAACTTTTTTCATAATAATAATAATAAGAATAATATGATATATAATTTGCAATTTATATTATAATTTTATTTTTGTTTGTGGATAATAATTTAGCAATAAAACAAAATGATATTTATGTAAATGACCAATGCAATTTATATTAATATATAAAATCATTTATCATTATCAATGTTTAAATATTTAATACGTATTTTTAAATAATTTTTTATTATTTTATTTAATGATTAGTTTTAAATATAAACAACAAAACTAATGGTTTGTTGAATAGTTCATTGAATTGAATCATTAATTTTAGTCATGATTTTCATTACATATTCGTATGTATTGATTAAAAATTTTCATTTTTTATAACTTTATTTTATTTTATACAAAATAAATGATAAATGAAGACAAATATAGCATTTATAAAATGTAATAATCAGATTGTATTCAAACAAATTTGTTATGCGTTTTATTAATTAAATAAACTCTTAAGCCATGAGATATTTTATACAATATAAGAAAATCACATTTGAAAAGCTTATATAAATTAGACAATAAATTAGCAAATGTTATGTTATGTTACGGGCGGTGGTTTAGGTCAGACAACAATACATGAGCCCATCAATCGACAAAATCTTATACATACACTCTTTATCTATAATTGAGGTCAGCTTTGAAGCATTGTATTATAAATTTGATTAATTTATTGACAAAAATGCTAAATATTTCAAACTTAAGTATTTTCAAATGAGAGAGAGAGAGAGAGAGAGAGAGAGAGAGAGAGAGAGAGAGAGAGAGAGAGAGAGAGAGCTTAATGTGGTTGAGATTTACCGTTGAGTTGCATAAGTCATAAGGAAAATATAATTATAAGTCAAAAGTTGGATATTTAGATATCATATCATATCATAAATTGCTGGAAGATATGAAAACTCGATCTAAAAAAAATGTTTTTACAACACTTTGTTATTTCTTTTTTCTATCAATACTTTTAAAGCTTTATATTTCATCAGAAAAGGAGGCTTTCATTTAAATCTCCATTTGAACTGATGCTGAGCTGAATCGTGAGTATCGCCCAAATGTATGACTGGTCTCTATATCAATGGTACCAACTGTGAGCACAATATGTATGACTTGAGGCCATTTAAAAAGTTTTTATGTAGTATATAGTGTGCAGTCGTTTTTAAGACCTCACCCTAAATCATGCCCTAAGCTATCATCTAAATAGTTTATATATACTGTATATATATATATATATATGTATATTGTATTTATTATATACAATATACAGTATAATGTTATTCAATAGATTAGAAATGCAGTAAATGCCGTATAAAAAGTGGTGTATTTTAGAGTTGTATTAGTAATGCATTTCTCATCAATGCTTTCGGCATAAATCCAGTTCACTATTATTTCAATATTTTACTAAAAGCTTAACAATTTATATACAAATAACTGCCCACATAATATGTGTGTGTGTGTGTGTGTGTGTAATAATTATAAGTTTTTTGCAACACAATTACACTTAGGTATTGCACATAATAATGACGAAAATATTATTTAGTTTCAATTAAATTAATTCTTATATAATTTTATTAGTGTTATTAGTTTACAAAGAGAATGTATACTCTATTAATAATCGTATCTAAAAAAATTACAGCTAAGACTTGATGTGAATTGAATAATATTTATATCTCTGTAATGTTATACTATAGAGTATTTGGAAAATAAATTTGTAAACTATAGCAACAAATAAGCATTTTTTGAGAGTTTAAGAGATTGGATTCAGTTATTGCTTTTATGCCCAACAGGGGACCCGGATTTAACATATACCCACCCTTTGGCGCGGTATTACCCCCCGAGCTATATCAATATACTTTCTGCTGGACCCGTGATATGACTTTTTAGTTATATAATCAATAGCTTTACTCTAATTAAGACACTGTGAGCTATGAATTATAAAAAACATGTAGTTTAAATAAATCAATTTTAAATATTTAAAAAATGCAATTAATTATATGAAATGTGTATATTATTTAAATATTTGATTCATTTAAATAAAGTAATATCTTTATACAGTATATTTTTAAGTATAATATTGAATAAAAACAATTAGCAATTAGCAATAAATCAATAAATATTTATAATATAAATCAATGTATTTATTTGTGTAATTTTTATGAGATATTTAAAGTTTCATATTATGCATAAATTTATATAAATACAATAAATTTTAATATATTAATATCATTTATTATAAATTAGAAGTAAATGAATAAAATGTTTTTATTGATAAACTTAATATACAATTTCTAAGCATTAAAAAAGATTTCAATATTTACAGTAATGTATAAACAAGTTATTTAGTCAAAGAAAATGTTTGTCAAAAAATGATGGATATAATGGATATGATAAATATGATGGATATGATGGATATGCACTCATTTCAATATATTGATAAATGCCATCCAACTATACAATTATGGCACTTGTATTCAACTGCAGTTATTTTAAATTTATAACATATTTATAAATTAATAAATCTATAATTTAATAAATTTTTACTTAACAAACAATATATTAATTGTGCTTTTCTTTTAAAAACTTTATGGTAATAATAATACTAATAATAGTAATGGTATTTTTAAATTAATGTTTGTACAAATAATAAATATTATATAATAAAAACATTTCATATTTAAATATAAAATGTGATTTTTTGTAATAATTATATTTAAAGAGATCATAATTACCTTGTTAATTGTATCAATTAAATCAAAGCCCTAAAAAGTAAAATTTTGAATACTTATATAGTATTATTAAGTAGAGTATAATTTTTATTTTACACGTTATGCAATATTTATACTATCAATATATAGGAAAATTTATAAAAATTAAATATACACATTTGTACAATAGCTGGTCATATCATATAATGAAAACCTATTAATATATCATATTATTGCAACAAATATCCAGCACTATTACAATAGCTAGAATTTTATCAATAGGTTACTGACTTTCTATAATGTATTATAAAAGTAAATACTTTTATAAAATGTTTATAATACGGATTTTTATGTGTAATATAAAGTTTATGTAAATAAATGTTAAATTATTATATAAAATCTGATTAACGGCTTAAAGCGGTACACATTTTCGACCCATTAAGTACTCGGAAAACTGTTGGCCCTCAACCCCACCACCATTGGAGGCGAGAATTTTAAATCCATTATTCAATAGTCGTGTAATTGTTTGCAATGAGTTGAGCTTACAATAGCCATTCAATGGGAAACGGATGACATGTTTTGAGTCCTGATTCCAGGCGACACCACTTCTTGAATCCATCAATGTTTGGCTGATTTCTGGAAAAACATCTTCAATGAGATTTCTTTCACCGCTAATGCAAACTCTTTCCCCTAATTCTGGACTTATATTTAGTGCCAAACACTGAATTCCCGTTTCCATGTCGTGATGAATGCCTCCAGAAGTGGGCGATATTGTCATACGTGAGTCGACCGAATTGTTTTGATGGTTAAAACAGTTTCGGCCATTAATGTTGGACTGGTATTTGTTGCCGGAGTTTCTATTTTTGATGCTATAGTTATACGGAAATAAATTACTATTTGTTGGAGAAGTGCATCGACTGTTGCAACAATTGGATCCATTATTCTTCTCTTTCTTCATTTGTTCCAATAGTCTGTCAATCATTTTTGAAAACAATCATTTATTATCGACATTTCTATCATATTTTTAATATATAACCAATTGTTATAATAAGAAACTATATTATAAATAGTACAGTATATAAAACAATAGATTACAAAATTAGAAAAAACTAAATTAAAATGCATTAAAACATTTAATAAATATGCAAAACATGCACCAGTATAAATTTTTATATATAAAATATTTATGTTATAAAGCAAAAATTAATAAATTTAAGTTTGTGCAAAATGCTATACATAGGTAATAGTAATGTACTAATATTGCTAAATTAAATAATAAATTTAAATCATTTTGTAATTTAAGCATTAAATCTAACAGCAGGTTATCTGACTTGACATGAAATTTGTGTTTATTATTATTTTTTTAATTTGCGGCTGTTGTCCACATAATTTATTATAAAATTATGCAATTAATTATAAAATTATGCAATTAATTATAAAATTATGCAATTAATTAACAAAAATCAAGTGCATCAAAATAACAACAAACAAAATGTGTAATAAACGTGTAATGGATTTATTAAATGTTACTTTTAAAAAGAAAAATTGTAACAATAAATGCCATATTTGATAGAATATAAACTTTATAATTATATGATATAATATGTCAATAATTTTAAAGAGCAAAAAGTCTAATACATATGTAAATCAATTTTAGCACATTTTCTATTAATAATAGCTGCAAAACTGTTTTCAATGATTTTTATTTGATATACTAAATTTAGCGGTTCGTCAATATTATCTACTTGTCTATTGGATTTGAAAATTTTATTATCAATTAATTTTCTTTAAACGCATCAATTGGTATTGTATTTATTATACAGTATTATATAATTTATTGTAAGTTCAGTCTACAAAAGTCAACACCATATTAAAGTGTAAGACTCTGTGTAATGAATATAATTATTTTATACTCAGTATGTGATCAATGCATCCATTTATGCTCTGATGTCATGATCTAAGTCATTGATTATATTACTACTGTATGTAAACAGTTATCATATCTTGATTTCCAGACCACAAAACTTTTACTTTATTTCTTTGTATATAATTTATATATAAACAAAATACTACTAATTGTCTGAAATGATACAATACTGTAAGTGCTTTTCAATAGAATTATTTTTAAAAATTATAAGATTATTAACTATTAAACTACTTTTTAAATATGCATAATATATAACAAAAATGTCACTCAAAATATCTCAAAAATAATATAAAATAGATTTTGTCATATTTTGATTATCAGTAAACGTAAAAATTCTACAAAAAGCAATCATAAGATATAGTATAACCAATTACTCACAATTGAATATTATTAGTGATCACAATTGTAAATCACAAAAAATACTAATTTGCTATACGATATCCACTTTATCAAACAATTGTATTCAATAAAAATAATGCACTTTTTATTTGATGATTGACAATGAAATTAATAAAAAAAAATTAATAAAAACATAACTAGTCTCCAATATAAATATATTATTTAAAAAATGACTAATTAATTGGTGATTACCTCAAAAGAGCTGGTATGTCATAAAACTTGACCTCTTCATAAAGCAATTCAAATTCAGTAAAGTTGTCGGATATAACTAAGGAATTGGTTCGCAAAAAGTTAAGAATATGTCTAAACATTTTGCCGTCTCTATCGATAAAGTAATGTTGTTTAAGACTATCCAAGACTATAGGTATGGAACCGTTGAACATTCGCGCCAATCGACTCTCCGGATGTCTGACAGTTGATATAAAAATGCATAATTAGTAATTAGTTTTTAAATTATTTACAGTCAAAATATATTTAGAAAAAATTTTTCATAAAAATAACTAATTTAAAAAAGCCTGTTATTAAATCTAATTTAATTGTTTTTAATAACTAAGATATGTTGCCCACCCTTTTTGCCATAAGGCTGTCCTCATTTAACAATTGAATTTGTTTTCTTTTTCATTAAATTAAGTTGAATTAAATTATAACTTAAAAGTAACTGATTGTGTGATATACTGACAAAAATGAATACATTTCCATATTTGCAATTTATATGTATATAATTCATACCAATCCTTAGTAAGCATTAATAAAATTACAAAATTAAAAACTAACATTTTGTGATCATCATAATAATAAGGTTAAGATTTACCTTATAAACATTGCATGTGTTTTGCAATATAATTATATACAGTATTAAGTCAATTAAATGATTTTTTAATTAGAGGTAACTTTCGTTTTAAGCTTTTGGCTAAACATTTAAAACTGAATAACTAATTGAGTTTATTATTTAGAGAAGTTTACAACACATACTTTGTTAACGTTTCCAACGAAGATGTATAGATAGATCCGCCAACATCTATATGAACCGGTGCTGTATATCGGGAAGCGGCCGCAACACATGGTATACCAGATATCTTGTGGTTATAATTACCAGTTGGTGACACCTGTATCGGTGATGAACTACCACTAAGACTTTGACAATGGTCTCCACTGCCTACAGACGATGCACCGACTGATAATGTACTCATGATTTTAGAACCACTGGTTATGTTACCCCACGAACTCCTAATATATGACATCAATTGAAAAATTTGTAAATATCTATTTTCAGATAAATTAGTTTGTCAGGCCCTGTCACTGTGTGTGTGTGTGTGTGTGTGTGTGTGTGTGTGTGTGTGTCAGTAAATTAAATTGAAAATATAGTTTGATTTTATTTGAGGCAAAATATACAATAATTATTGTTGTTCATCACATGAGTTATTTTATTGAATTAATAATTGATGGCAAATCCAATGGACATCTGGAGGCCATTCACGATATACACGCGCTTATGGCCTCCGAGAGCTATGTTAGTCATATTTAAATAGAAGCCCTGAAGCCATGGGTTCCGGTATATGGAAAGTGTGTGCCATAACCTTCGCTTCAAAAGAGTATTTATCACTCGAGGCAAGGATAGGGATGGCCATAGGGTAATGGGGCTTAACATACACACCAAAACTCATACACATGGCATACATGTATTATAAGTTTATAACATATGCATTGCACATCACATTCACATACTATACATGAATTTATTAATATAATACTTGAGTTTAATACTGCATAATAATCACTTCGACATCGTTTTTATGATTTTCTAAAAAAATAAAAACTAAATATTTGCCAACAAATCATGTGTTTAATATCATTCCAATAATTATTTACATTAATTATTTGATGTCTTTTCAACTAAAAAAATAAAATTAGTTTATTATTTTTACTATTTAAGTTATAGGTTATGCTTTTTAAAATTAATATAAAAATTAATAAATTATATATATATTTATATATATATATATATAATGTCCAGTGCCTTCCTTAGCATTTCTTTTATTTTAAATTTCTGTCCGTTTCTAAAGTGTTTACTTAATTAATCCCCGAAAAAATTCATACAAGTATCACATAATTATATACAATATAGAAAACAAACAAAACTTATGTTATATAAAATTTCATCATAATTGTTATTTGCCATAACTAGTTTGTAAACAAAAACTCAATAATATAAATTTATCTTAAATCTAAACCTAAATGGTATATTCAAATATATATTTTACATTAAATAAAATTAAATGGATTAAAATAACATAAATTAAAGATTTAAAAATCCTTATATTTTTCAATACTATAAAATATATCTATTTTTAAGAGCATATCATTTAAGAATATGTTTTTTAAAGCATTTACACGATATAGTTATTAATAATCTTATAAATGAATACTTTGAAAAACATTGAAAGGATTATGTTTTTTATTAGTTTTTATATGCATTACTTTAATAATATAATAGTCTCTTATTTTATTTAGTGAATAAACACTTTAATGTTATATACAGTAATGGGTAATAAAAATTGGTAAAAGAAATATACATTAAAGTCAATGCAATTATAAATTAAACTTTGTTTAAAAATTTTGTTTTGTGTTTTATTTTCTAAATAAATACAAAACAAGATTTTTTTAGATTTATGATTATCTTTTTCTATGTTTAGATTACATTTTGAACACATACTGTATATTACTTTACTTAAAACTAACAAATTACAACATTATCCATTAAATGTTATGTTATAACAAAAATAAATATCAAAAATTTTACTTATATAATTATATATTTGTTATTGGTAGTTTTAAATAAAATTTTATAACACCACATCCTTACAAAATTATATAATAAATATTTATTATTAGTTGCTAAATGTTAATACAGTATATATTATTAACAAAAATATATTTTGTTTGTTTTGTATTATCATAAGTAATTTTTAATTTAAATAATTTGCTAGATTGAATTTGTAGTGTAATATATTGTTTTTTTTGTTGGTAAAAATAAGCTAAAAAAGTCACAAATTTATTTTAATTATTAATATTTTTTAGAAATATAATTTTTATAGTTTTATGTAGAAATAAAATATACTAACATTTTATATTAATCTTTATTTTGAAAAATGTGTTTTTTATAATGAGATGTTAAAAACATATTAATATACCTCTATTTAATGATTTTGATAAAGTGATAACAAATCAATGTTTCATTTAATAGACCGCCAAAATTGCTTAGCATTTATAAAATAAATACCATAAGATTGATGTTTACTAATTTTTACACACACACACACACACACACACACACACACACACACACACACACACACAAACATATATATATATATATATATATATATATATATATATATATATATATAATAAGATCGAAAAATAAGCTTTGATTTTATATATTTTAAAGTAGCGTTTTAAAAATATTTACATATATTTTATTAATGTTTTCCTGCAAAATATGTTTGTTACAGCTTTTAAGATTTATAAAGTTAATGAATCTTAAAAATAAAAGCTTTCCTCAAAATATCTATTATTAACTAAAATATTAATAATAGCTGCTAAATGTTAGTATAAATGTTTATAGATTACAAATTATAAATAAAACTTAAATAATTTTAAATATAAATATAATTATATTACTTAAAAAATAGTTTTGATATATGGTATCTGAAATGAAATATGAAAAGTATGAAATATGATATATGATATATGGTATACTATATACTGTAAACTTATATTATATAAACTTTAAATTTACAATTAAATTTGTTAATAAGTTATAAATAAACTTATAATAAAAATTATGTAATATATTTGATAGCAATTTAGTATATATAACTTACAGCGAATTTGTAATCATTAACTTTGGTGAAGATTTTATTGATTTGGTTTAACACTTAATAAGAGTGACATTAATTAAGAAAATAAAGTTAAAGTTTACACACAATTATCAATCAATGGTTAGTCACATACAAACACATTGAAAAACTGATAAACACTGGTATGCGTTGAGAAGTGAATCTCTGTATTTCTTATAGACTTTTAGTAGTAAGTCATAAGTAAAACAGTTTGGTTGTGAGCACTGGTAGTGTAGCACTCATTTGCCGCTCACAGCGCTTACTGTTAGTTATTCTTGAGCTTCACTCCAATGGCTCAGTTAGTGCGTGAGTGTGTATATGCTGTGAGCCCTATTGAACACATCCAATAGTAATTATTTGGCTCCGGGACATACTGTTTCCATAGAGATATTTATTTGTATTAAAGCTTTTAGGCAGCTTTTCAAAGCACATACACACACACATATATATATAGACACTGTTTTACGTGAATCCCAGTGTTAGCTTCGGGCTATTTCACTGTAATACCAGTGCATCGCCAGATGCGACAGCTCTAGAACTCCTAAGTTTAGTCCTAACAAGTATTGAGTAAAAGGGGAAACATTTTTAATGAATTGCCGCACAATTTGAGAATAATATAAATTTTATGTCTATTTTGAAATTTCATTTTTTATATGTCAATTGATTTTTATTACTGGTTGGTTGGTCTCCGAATAATACCATATTTGCAACTTGAAAGTCACTTTTTATGCATACGAAACGGTATGTCCAAAGTTACTACTTGTCCACAAGATATTTATTAATGCATTTATATATGATTGTCGTCATTGGGGTTGTGTTTACTTATCTAACATAAAATCTTTGACATCAAAGCTAAAGCACACATACGATGCCTTCACTTCAATAGATTGTTGTGATCTTTCTATAAGAACCTCCAGAGAACAGCTCCGGTATCTCTCTATTACTCTTCTATCTAACTATTGCTATGTAATGCCTTCCGGCAGTTTTGCCACAGTTCTTGAGTACCAAACAAATGCTTTCAATACAATATTTAATACAATATTTGATACTTAGCTTAAAAATTTTACATTTTATTTTCAATGATTCATTCATCAATTTTAATTAGTTATATTTGTTCTCAAAATACATTTTGTGACTAAATATTGTTTTAATAATATATTAATTATTTTAATATATTTGCATAAATTGTTGTTGTTGTTACAATAATATCAATTTTCAAATTGATAATAATATTTTAAAATTTGAAAATTAAATTTGTCATAAAAAGACAATAACATTATATACATTATATCAGTATCACACTTAATCGCTTTTTTATTTATCAAAATTAATTTTTAAACTTTCAACTAATTTATTAATAGTATAAAAATGTCAAATTTAATTTTATACAACTAATTAAACACAATAATAAAAAAATTAAAAATAATTTATTTTAAATTAAACATTTAAATTGTTAATTATTAAATTGACGAATATCACATTAATAATGCTAAAACAAAATTTAATAAAATTAGAAATAAATCTAAATAATTAAATAAAATATGTAGTTTTGTAAGTAATTTATGATAAGCTAAAATTAATTTTAATAAAATGTTAAATAAAATGTATTATATATTTAAAAATTTAACATGATTTTTTAGTGTCTAGATTACTTAGTTTTTATATAATTTACAAAATTAAACATAAATAAATTGTTTATTTATTACAAAAATTAACATTTATATAAAAACATATATTTTCATTTTATTATATTAATTAATTATTTTATAAAACTAATTATTAAATAAATTAAATATATTTTATTAAAATTAAATAATGTAAAAAATGTTCTATAAATTATTTTATTATTAATTACAAAAAATTAAAAAAGTAATTAAATTAAAATAAATAACTTTAGATTTAAATAATATTAACCAAGTAATAATTTATATAAATAAGCATATATGGAATATCTATTCAAAAAAAAAAATATTGTAAAAAATAAAATAAAAATTATTTTGTTAAAATAAATATTTTTAAAATAAGCACAAAAGTCTAAATTATAATAAAATAACTATTAATTCAATATAAATATTTTAATAATTGTCATTAAAAATCATCTATTCTAGACAAAGTACAAAATCATTATAAATTATAAGATTTAATTTATTTATTTATAATTTAAAAATAATAATTAGATTAGATAGAAAACTATATAAAACAAATAAAAAATAACTTTTAAATAATTGTTATCTCAAGTAAAACAGTAAGTAATTATTTAATTAATTATATACAAACAAATTTATATTAATATAAATAGATTCAAGCTTTGTCTATTTTTTTATAAAAATATCTTTTTAAGTAAATAACTTTATAAAGATATATTAAATAAATATAATTATTTAGCAAAATTAAATATTATTCTGTATTTTGAAAGATATGCAAACTGAAAATATACTGAATCGACTTTAAAATATTATTTAAGATTTCAATTTAATTTTAGAGATGAAAGCAAAAAATCTGGAAATAGTTGCGTTTTGAGGCAATGTTTTAGATATAATATATGATGTGTTGCACTAAGAAAATAGCCAAAAGCTGTATAACTTAAGGCTAAATAATAGGGGTTTTAATTTGAAAGTCTCACAACTGAAAACAAAAACTTAATTTTGCACTTTTTTAAAATTTGAATTTCTTTTTTTTATTTGAAAATTTAATTATACATTTCAATCTCTATATTGTTTGATTTTCTTGTTGACTAAAAGATGAGTTTAAAGTCAATATTCATGATTTTAATATGATTGACGTATACTGTAGTAAATTCATATTAATCAATAAATTTAGCATAAGTTTGCATAAAATGGTTTATTTGTCAAATAAAATAGTTAATAGATTTAGCATTTTTGTTTGTTTGTAATTTACTGTTTATAAAATTGTTATCAATAAAAAGTTAAGTAAAATGTTAAGTAATTTCATAAATTGAAATAATTAAATTGTTTTTTAAAAAATAAAAAGTAAAAATATATATTGTATACTGTATTTTGACCCCAAAAAATCTAACAAAAGTATTAAATTGCTAGTACTGTCAACTTATAAAGTGATTGAATAAAGTGTTATTAAGTGGTATATTAATGAATTCATAGTTTAGGTGATAATTACATGATAGCATACCTTTGAAACTATAGTATTGTTAACTCTAAATATTTTTCAATGTTATAGACAAATGTTATGCCGTCTGTTGTTATACAACGCTATCACTATTTTAGTTAATAAAATAATTTTATAATAAACTTTATTTTATAAAAATTTTTATTTTATAAAAATCTTTATTATTAGTGTTTATAATTTTTTGTTTGTTTTACAAATTAGACTTCGTATATAAAATTGATAAATACTTATTGATTTCATTTAATAAAATAAAAAACAAAACAAAAACTTAGAAATTTAAATCAATAAAAGAAAGTCTATAATCATATATATATATATTATATATATATATATATATATAATATATATATTATATATATTAGGCGATTTTACCCCTCCTTGGATCGAGATTTTGAGATTTACACCCAGACTTGTAGACCAAATAATAAAATTGTTGCTTAAAAACGAAGAGAAATAGATCTCTCCCAAAATTTTTTAGTTTAAAAATATATAATTTTAATAAAATAATTAATTAACTGTTAGTGTGTTTTAACAATAAATTAAATTATTAAGTAAAAATAACGTTAAAATTAATCTAAATATTACATTATTTTATTTTAAAAATATTAAACTAAAATATTAGAAATTAACTATTTTTCGATAAAATAATTATATTACAAGTAAAATATGATTTTAAGATATTACACATTATTGTAATGTTTTTAGTAATTATTTTTACGTTTTAAATGCATAATTATCTATTTATATTTAATCTAATTTTAATAATTTAATAATATCAAATAACAATTGAGTCAGTATATTAACTGAGTATAAGAAAAATAAGTAGTATTGCGTTAATATTTATCTAAATAAACCATTATTTCATTTAAAAATTAAAATTAAAATATATAACTAAAAATTGAAATATTTGTTCAATAAAGTGATTGTATTACAATCAGATCATTTAAATATAATAATAATAAATATAATGTAAAGATTAATATTTTTATTAATTAGGGAATTTATTGGGAATATTTTACTATTTTCCTGGGAATTTCCTCCCATTTAAGTGAGAATATTTGAAAATTAAAGGAATTTTTAGGAAATTTTCTCTTGATAGTCTGGATTTTAAAATTTTGAAAAAATTGAAGTTTAAAAATGTAATAAAACAATACACCCACTTTATACCCCTTAAGAGTTTTCCATATTACCCACCATATATACCCCCCTAAAATCCAAAACCTAGATTAACTCTGATATATATTACTTACATATATATAAATTTTTTATACATAAATATATTTTAATTTAAATAATTTACTAAATTTACATAAATAGTTAATTTATTAGATGAAATAAATTGAATAAAATAACAAACATATAGTCAATGAATCATTTGAGACATACATTTAAGGTAAGGGTGTTTTGGGTGATGTTATGTATGAATGAAATAAATTTATAAAACTGTTTTTCAATACATTATACATTGAATGAGTTGTTATGTTTAGTGAATGAGTGACACGTATTGAAGCGTTAATGCATTCAATGCACTCATACTGTAGTTATGTTTCTATAGTATTGTTTTGATTGTTGTTATGTTTATTATATGATATGATATGTCTTTCACTGAATTACTTATTAAAACTATTTATTAGTTTATTAATTGATCGTTAGTTTTGTTAATTAATTAAATAGTTTAGACATATATATAGATATAAATACAAAGAGGTGTCAAGTGATGGACAACGCGGACATAATAACATTGTTTTATGACTTTAGAGATGTATGTTATGGACGGATCCGACACAACAACTCAGATGACAATATCGAGGTATGTCTTTAGGAAAGAGATGGTTGACTGGTATATGAGTGATGATATTATAAGTATTTTATTTGTTTAGTCAAAGATGGTGTTTATGGAGACAACAATTGAAGAGCTTTTTGAACAAAATCTGTTGTTAATCGAGACAATCATTGAATTGCAAAAAGAGGCCAAAAATAGATGTCAAGAAATGGATAAAAGATTGGCATTGAGTGCAAACAAAACAGGTCTACCATTTGATTTACATTAAGACATTTGTCGCTTAATTATTAATAAATTATTTATTCAATTGACAGAAGAAGTGGTGTTGTCGCTCAACAAATATGAAAAGGATATTAAATGGTTAGTCGACTCCAGACTCTCAGCCATCGAGGCTTCAGATGTTATTGAAGAACTAAATTCACACATCTGTGCCATCGATATTGAAAACAGTTATCTTCGCGAACAAAACGACAATCTTAAACATGATTTGAGTTCATTGATTGAGTTAATGAAGAGACGTATCGGTAATCAACACAACGATGAGATATCCGATGATACAAATCATAAGACAGATTCAGAAAAATGTCTTACTTTTTGTGATGTTGATCCCGAAGACATATTTGGACCAATTGAGGCCATAACAGCTTTCAACAGCAACGGTTGTTGTGTAGATGAAAGCGTTCAGACAGTCAACGGTATCACCGAAAATGGTCGAAATAGTGACCGATCGCTATCGCGATGCAGTGATATATCAAATGCTAACAAATTTTTAGTTGAAGAAAAAGAATTATTAATACATAAACTTCAGGAACATTTGGAGACAATATCTCATGAGTTAGAATTAAAAGACGAAGTTATCAACAATTTGGAGATTAAGTTAAATACTACGAGAAAAGAGAACTCAGATTTTAGACATCGGTTGGATGTCTTGAATGATAAGTACAACGAATGTGAATTCAGACTACAAGAAGCCGTCGATAGGATGTCGACATTGAATGAACATAAGAGATCTCTTATGATTCAATTGGACGACGAAAGTGAACAGAGAATTAAATTCAAAGATGAACTCAAATCGCTTACCACAAGATTGATGGACAACATGAAGACTGTTGAACAACAGTCGATTACAATTCAGCACTTGAGGGAAGCCATTGTCTCAAAGTCCAAATCAGATGCCACACCACTCAATGGGCATATCATTTAGATCTAGTCTTTAAACAAATTTTTAACTAAAACTATAAATCACTGAACCATCCATTATATTGTGATCATTGAATACAAATCAAAATAATGCATACAAATTACATAAAGTTAAGCGCAATTAATGTTATATTTTGTTATATTTATTATAAATTTAATTTTAATTAAGTCGTTAATACTATTATATTATATTTTTATGTCATTTAAGCAAATTTGATAAGATATGGTATAATAATTTAATAGAAATTATTATATTTACAAATCCCGGTTCACTATTTTTAAAGGTATTATCAATTATTTAACGAAAAAGTTTTATTTATGTTTTGTTTTATTTCAAAATAAATTGTATATAAATTATTTAAAGTATAAAATGTTTAAATTATGAGTATATTTTCAAATTAAATAAATATTTAAATTATTATTTGAATATAAAATAAATTATTTATTGACTTTAAGTGCAATTTTGTAAGAAATCAAATAAACCTGTCTTTTGGTCGACTTTTCTCATCTTATTATTACTCAATAGTTTCTGCAGATATTGTTTCTGTTTAGCACTTCTGGCAGTCATCGAGTCAGACATCGGTGTCGACGTCTTATTCGGTGTTTTTGGTGTTTTCAATGAACTCTTTGATTCATATCTTGATTTAACTGTTGGTGTTTTAATAATAGATATGTTGTCTTTAGATTGACGATGAATGCCATCAAATCTATTGATGTGTTGACAAACAGTACAGACGGCCACCAACTGGTTTGTCTTTGACCTCACTTTACTCTTTGGTTTGATTCTCCACTTCTTAAGCTTTGACAGACATTTGACACAACATCTGTGTTCAGAGATTAGTGATAATTGACTATTAGATTGACTGTTGTTTTGTTGTCGATGTCTTTGATAACCAGCGAGTCTTTGATTGATAAGATGTCTGTAATGAAGAGCACTGTTATCACTGCAATCATAGCTAACAATGCGTTCAATTTGTTTCATGTATTGAATGGTTTGTTTGCAAATCATTTGATTCATATTTATATAATTAGACACAAAAACAATTCAATTAATTGTTGACAAATAAATCATAGAAATGTGTGAAATGTGTGAACACATCACATGTCAAACAAAACATTTACCAATAGATGTCACACTCATTGTAATCACATTTTACTTATAATAATTCAAAATTTAAATAATATTTATTATAATAAATTTCACTAATAATTATTTAATTATATTTTATGTTTTTTCAGTAATATTAATTAGTAATTTATATTAAATTTATTAAAATTAAACATAATTAAAAATTTGTAATTTATAAATGTTATGCATTATTATTTTGTATTATTTTTATATCTAAATAATTTATTGTATTAAAAATAATTACACAAAAAAATCTAAATATTTATATTTGATAACATATTTAGTTTTTGATATATTGTTTATAGAGTGAGTGATATATTTAAAATGTATTTAAATGAATATCTAAAATATTTAGCATATTTTTAAACACGACTAAAGCTGTTAGTGAATGCATTGATATGATGTTTGAAGAGTTAGTCGCTATACTGTATAGTATATACTGTATATATACTTACTTTAAATATATATATAAAATATCAATATATAAAATTTATATCATAAGTATTATAATATGTATATCGAAGTAGGAGTTAGTGTTTAATCTGAAATCATTAAAATGATTACATGAATTGAAAATTTCAATGCAAGATATAGACAGTGGCAGCGGGTGTTTGAGCACCGGTGGGGTTCACATCGACAATACTGTCAATTCAATGGCTAACTAAAGGCTATTATTTTTTATTATTGTTAAAAAGTAAACACTATTTACAATATCTAACGATTTGAGATTTAAGAGACTTTTATAACATTAGGGATAATCTATTCTTTTAAGCAAATGATTCAGCACTCAGAACTGTCGTCACTATAACCTAACAGGCCTTTAGTATGGCATTTGAAGTAGATTTCATTGGCATTACAGGGCATATCATTTTGAGATAAGCCATACATAAAATAATAGTAACGATGATTGTAATGGTTTGCAAATGTTTTTCATTCTTCATTCTAAAATCACATCCCATTCTTGTCTTTATATTATATATTAAAACGACTAAAATATGTATTCATATAATATTTTTAAGACTAACTAAAATTTTTTACTCAAAAGCTACGGCTTATTTGAATGTCTTACAATAGGGAGAGAACATTGAAAACAAAGATAAATAACATATATTTCCTTTTTGGCTATATATAGCTGTATGGGATGTCATAATACCAGTGATGATCATCTCATGCATACAGAAAGTGGTGGCAAAAGCTGTGCCCGATTTTTCTCCAAAGCTATTATCACATTTTGGTCGTATGTTTTTTAATGGCTACTACTGTTCCCTTTTCTCCCCTCCTTTAGCATCCATTTCCAACTATTTCATAGTTTGCATGTTTTCAAATTGTGCTTAAATTTTGCACATAAATCGACTATAAATCGTAGGGATTATTGAAAACAGTATAAAAACTTTTATGGCGTAAAACATGATAAACAACTGCTAACGGCTGGTCGCGTCATCAATGGTATGATATCATAACACAACCAACAACTATAAATGCAAGTCCTTTCTGGTTAAAAACTGTTAGATTAGATGAACATCAATGATGATGCCAATGGTATGTTAGTGATATGCTAGTGCTGGAGATAATATCATAGTTATCACTACTTATTCAAACAACGCTGTATTGCATATTATGCCAAATACTTTGTGTGCTATCCCTTTCATTTTAAGTGAATCCTTAATAACAATAATAATCATATATTTGGATGTATTTTGCATTTGTTGGCTCTCATTGTCTCATAACAGACATAACACACATAACACTCACATCCCATTCCTCCCAATTTTTACTCATATACTTCACTCATAATTCCAATTAATGCTTTTGCAAAGTCTTAAAAGTTTTTATAAAATTTTTTACATGTTTTATAAATTTAAAACTCACTGACGTTTTTATAGGTCTTTAGAGAATCCAATGTATTTAGTATGAGATGAGATATGAGGGGAAAGGGATAGAAAAGTTTCATCAAAGAAAAAATAATATATTTATATATTAACTTTAATATTATGCTTAAGATATGTATGTTTATAATGTTAGGCATTAACTCACAAAATATGTTTTTTGTGTACTTTATTTTTATATAGACTCCTATTATTGCCATTTTAATTATGAGTATAATAAAAATAATAAATAAAATAATAAAAAATAATAGTAAAAATTATAATAAAAATTTATAATTAGTTTCACTAATAATAATAAGAATATAGTTATTATTATTATTATTCATAATACCTTATACATAAATACATTTTATTTTTTTAATAATTTTATTTTTAAAAATTAGATAGAATTTTTAAATAATTTTTGATTAATTAAATTTAAAATATAAATTAATATACTGTATATACTGTACATACTGTATAATATACAGTATATACTGTATATATATACAGTACATGCCATTAGTTTTGAATATATATATATATACTGTAAATGAATGTATGTATTAATATGTAGGTTAAATATATTTTATAGAATTTATTTACGTTAATAATATTTTTATTGTTTTCTGGAGAATTTGAGACAATTATTTGGAGACTTTTCTCTGTCTAAAAATATCATTCATTCTCTATTTAAAACAAAAACAACAAAAAACAGACTAATAGTAAAAGTCAGAAAAAATAAAAATGTTATAGAATTGATTGAATGGCAATAATAAAAATAATAAGCAATAAGTAATTTAATGTATAACACAAGTGTATATCATTTAATCATTTAAATGACATATTCTGGTCATAACTGTTTCATTATTAGACACAAAAACTAGTATTATAAAGGTTTGCGTGTGTTTTAGTGAAACTTTTATTGAATGTAAACATTTATGTTTGTTTTATTGCAAATAATTATCTTCCAATGGCAACGAATGCCAACTTTAGATACTATGCCAAACCATATACCTGTATATAATGAATAAACAACTCAATTGCACTCACTTTACTGGTTGTCCTCATATTTGAGCCGTTTTTTGTCTCTAAACAAGACATTTGCAAACGCTTTGACTTTTTAGGCAATAGTTTTTCCCGAAATAATTATCTCCACATATAATACAATATTAATGAATATGAGTGGAAACGCCTTTATTTGCTTTATTTATTTTTAACATTTTTTCTCTTATTTCTCTTACTTAATGGAAGTTATTGTTATTATACACACTATATTATTATATAAGGTATAACTTATAGTTTTTGAATATACTGTACTACATATAAAATACTATATATAATATGAGTTTATGACTCGGTTAGCTCTGCATATAATCATAGTATGATTTGCTCTGACTATTGATAGAAATTTAATGGATTTAATAAATGTATCATTAAGTGAGAAAAATATAAAAAATTGAATTGAACGATAAAATAACTTATAGTTAACTAACTAATATTATTAGTAATTGTTTAGCTTTATATTGGGCTTTGTTTAGATCATATTGTTATGAAATGAGAGACAACCATAAGGTATGACATGAAGTCAGATGTACTAAAAGTTAAAAATCATTATTATTTTTAATAATATATATAACATTATTATATAACATCTCAATAAAACAAACAACTGTTATAATACTGATGAGAATTTAATAGAGAATCAAACTCTTGTTTGAAGTTATTGTATAATTAATTGAAATTTAGTTATTGAGTTACCGTTGCCGACACCCGTCAACCCTTCACACCGTTATTTAGGAAATTGGCTCAACATATAAGTACTAATATATTATAGGAGATTAACAATCAAATAAGATCTACCGTTTCTGTCTATTTTAATAATAATCATTCATTTATAGATTTGTTTTTATTAATACCAAAATCTAAACGGAGATGAAAATTCATGATTTGAATCAACAAAAATTCATCAACAAATATAAACTTAATTTTTGCTAAAATAAAAAAATATTTTTATTTAGCAAATACTCAATTTATTTTCTAAGTTAAAAAATATTGAGTTATGTTTTATTTACTGTAATTCTAGGACTTTAACCATTACTACAACTCAGACAAACTGTATTAAGTTGAG